AACTTACTTGGTACGAATTGGATAACAGAATTCCAATTATGGGATCTACCGATAAATTCCTTCTGTTACAAGGTAGAAAGTTTAAACACCGAAGCCCAAAAATTAGTAAAGAAACTTAAGGAAACATTTCCTACTACTTTTTCTCCAGGGTTGGGAATGTGTACCAAGATGGAGGCAAAATTCCAGCTAAAAGAAAACGCTCAGGTGGTATTCAAAAAGAAAAGGAATGTGCTGTTTGGCTCAGTTGAACAGATAGATAAAGAATTGGACAGATTAGAGAAAACCGGTGTACTTAAAAAAGTTGAGTATAGTGAATGGGCAACACCAACGGTATACGTGAAAAAAAAAGCCCCAGAAAGTAAAGATGAAGCTGACACCGAGAAAAACTGGGGAGCAAGTTACCCGCAACCAAGGACATGCAGTATTATTAAATGATTTAAGTCAACTAAAGTCACCACAGAAAACGTTAACAAGCATAAGATCAACAAAAGGGAAGCTAGAGGCTGAACAAATAGAACCACAAGAAGAACCTACAGAAACTGTGACTCCATCCTGAAGCTCAAAGTGGAATGTTGTTTCTGGTAACACTATAGAGGTACCAAAAAATAGAAAAGCGGATTGGCAATATGATGTACTTGGTGAAAGGCAGAAAATTCGCGTGCAGACGGCACGTTAACCAGATCAGACGACACCCTTCAGACATGGTTGACAGCGGTCCCACGGAAGAAACGCCGATGGAGGTGATTTTCGATATGTTTGATTTAACAATGCCTGCAACGATTTTACCTGAGGTACGCCAATCCAGGAGAAAAAGAAAGGCAACTGAGCATTTAAAAGTGAATCCAAAACGTAGGAGATATGCTATGATGTTGCTAAAAAAATGAAGTTTTTTTCTTCATATTTCCTGTAAAAAATAAAGAAAGAAAACTGTTTTACTCCTACGGAGTAAAGTTTTAGGAGGGAGGTATTATGGTGAAACACACCTATTCTATAGCTAATAGACTCTCCCACCTAATATAAGTAAATGTAGTAAGAGAAACGACGGTCAGTCGATGTCGGACGACAGTTGTCAACAGTTAGTTGAATACAAAAGTAGTCAGCGACCACAACAAGATTACTCTGCGTAATACCTATTATATCAAGTTGCTAACATTTTGTATGTTGAACTATTTTAGGACTGATTTAGTACAAATACAAGCCTCCACTGCAAAATAACTCCACAACATGGAGAAAGCTCCTGAAACCATATTCCCTCTTACCAATATTAACTGATAATGTACAGAAGAGAATAAACAATAATTTTTACATATAACAAATTTAGTCTTGTATTCTTACTTGTTTTTACAATGATAGTGTTACATGTCACAGATTTTCAAAGTTTGATGTTTTGAACAGAATTTGATTACACAGCAGTACCCCACTTACTTTTCCTATGTTGTGATGTTGATGTTAACCAGACTGACAAGATGCTTGACATTAAATAACCTTTAGATGATTGCTATACCATAAAACTAATCAGTCAACAACTGTTAAGATGATTGAAGTTATAACAAAGAACAAGGTTAATTTGGTTCATGTTGTTATAAATGCACATTTGATAGCACAAGAAAACAAATGAAACAATAAGTGCCGCTAGTGAGGAGAAAAGAAAAGTTCAAGATAAAATTCTTTGTATTGCCAATGTAATAGATCAAAGTGGAATGTTTCTTTGTAGCAGAGAGAAGCAACCTGGAGGATAGAGAGAGTTTGTAGATTCTGGAGTTAATGTTTGTGCCAGGTCAGTTGACTAAGGTTACTGGTGGTGATCTTGACAGCTTGCCTGCTCAACTGTGACTGCCATCAATGTTGTGTGCAGTGTTCTTAAAAGCAGAGTGGATCATGACTCAGCTTTTTTTTGTTGTGCTTTTGCTTTAGCAGAGTGTATCCTCAGTGGTAGTACCTTTGTTTTGAAGTGGTTAGCCCTGCTTTACTCAGGTGAATTGGGATGCAGAACTGTAATGGCCCATGGCCTACATCTAACTCTCACACATGGTTGCATAGGCACTGTCGGCCACACCCCAATCAATGTCATCAACCAGCCGGTTAAACTGTGTGAGGGTAGTTTGAAAGGTTTCCTAACCTAACCAGTGAAGGATCCCGCCTCTCCCCAACCCACCAGTGCCAAGCAGCCATTGACCAATTGCCAGCCTTGGAGTAGGAGCTGCGTCTCAGAGGTCATCAGCTTTACCAGTTGGCAGAAGAACTTCTGAGTGGAGGGACAGGGTAACCTCAACATCCCTAGTGCTAAAGGAACTGGCAAGCCATTGCAAAATTTTGCTTTGAATGCCACCATGAACCACAATTACAACAGAGGGGAGTGCTGACCACAGTGGTGCAAAATGTGGTAACTGAATAAATGATGATGATTTGCTTTAGCAGCAGTGTCCATGATTGGCACTTTTTATATTGTATTTTATATATTTGGGAGAAGTGATTTGCATTGTGAGTCTGATGTTATGCGTGGAGCTTCTGCACAGAGAGCAATATTTTTATTTTTAGTTTTACTTACCTAGCATTCACATCTGGCCAACAGGTTTTGATAAAGACTGATTCAGAAAGAGACCTAATTTGAAGTAGAGTTTAACAATGTCAATGTTGCAAATACAATTATGAAATGAGTCATGTTAAGCAAGTAGCGTTTAACATTATTTTCACACTTTAACCTTTTTTACAATATTTTATGTCCAATAAAATGTGTTAATACATATGACCAACGAAAGGAGTTAGCTTCAATTAATTACCTTGTAATAGAATTGTTTCTTCCTGAAAGAAGAGAATATGCCCTTTCTCTTATCCTGAAGATTAACAAAGATGTAAACAAATAAAACTTGTAACTACTATGTGAAATTTAAAAGAACAAATTGAAATAAAATTGTTTGAGAAAATAAGAATTAGCTTAGTAGTAATCTAATTCTTATTGCCTCAAAACTTTTACTTCAATTTAACTAACTCTGCATAGCAGCAGAGTTTGCCTGACTATATGTGGTCAGGACAGCTCCATTAATGAGGGAAATGGATCATACTACATGAATATTTATTGCAAAACATATTAAAACAATAAAACAAATACAATATTTTACAAGATGGACTTGCACAGAAATTTCCTTTTGTGTGCCTTATTTAAAAAATAAAGCAGGATAACATATAAAAAAAATACAAGCGATTTTAAGATTTCAAAACAACCTCCAAAAAATAAAAAAAACTTTGAGAAGGTAATATAAAATTTGAATAAGGCAGATCATTTTAAAAAGAAAGGTGCACCTGACCTATTCTCTCAGCACTCCCATATATTTAAAAAAAATTTATTTGTTTATTTATACTTTTTAATTATTATTTTTAATAATTTTGTATTATTAACTAATAAAATTTTTATATTTGAGTTATAAAAATGTGGGATTTCCCATCATTTACAAGGCAAAAAAAACACCTTGTTGAATTACAAGATAGGCTGTGTCTTGGTGTATTATATTTATTTGGGGTAAAATGTATTTTTTTTTTAGATTGCCCTACACTTTATAAAAACTGTTGATCATGTGTTATACTCTGCTGCAATTAGGTCTCTTTCTGATTCACACTACATTTTGGCTGGATTTGAGTGCTAAGAAAACACAACCCAAAATAAAAAAAATCATCTTCTCTGCTGTGGCTCTGAGCATCACATTCAGTCCATAAAACAAATCCATGTGAAAATCTAAAATACAATAGCCAATCACAAATATTACTGCAAAAAAAAAAAAAAAAAAAAAAAGAAAGAAAAAGAAAAAGATAACCATGGAAGCCACCAGGCTTGATTAAAAAGAAGCATCTCATAAATGATTGACAGTAGCTGCCCACTGGCCACATGTCAGCACGTGGGCTTGCTCTTGTCATCACTACTGTGACTGCCTCTCTTGTTGCCACACTTAAGCTTCACTAATTCACTCCAGGCCTCCCTCACTATCACAGTAACCTAAGTCAACCAACTCATCAATGCACCTTAACATGCTTTACTATGAATCAACCCATCACCATGACGTTGGTCAATCAACCTGTCAATGCACCTTACCAGGCCTTACCACAATTCAACACTCTCAGGCAACAAGCTGTTTAGTTTCAACAATTCAGCCTCATTACATGACCACCAACCCATCCACACACCTCAGTGGTGTCAATTTCAACCACAAAGAAAGGCATATGTCAACTCTGCCAACACCCCCATTTGGCTTCTCTAATCCACTCCAGGGCTCTCTCCTGACATCAACTGTGGCCTCAACCAACCAACCCATCAAATTGGTTGATTCTTGGTCTTGCTGACAACACCCTTACATCTAATTGCTTTGTTTACCATTGGCAACTAAAGAACAGCATATTAATAATTTTTGCCACCTTTTCACACAACTATGTATATAATCTTCACACTTGACATGTTGTTGAAATTTTAATCCTTGTTTGTTCTTTCCTTTGCAACCATACATTCATTATAACATATATGTGATACAATATATGCAAACTATTCCTTCTAACATTGTCTTAATTTCTTGAAGATGTGAAAGCTTGAATGTATTAACCAAAATATCAAGTAAAATAAACCCTTATATTAATGGATACAAACATTTGTATTTCATTCTTGGGTATTCTTTGTGACAGTTTCCTAAGAAAAAAAAAGGAAAGAAAATTTTTTTTTTTAAAGAAAAAGTTTCTACCACATAGTCTGCTAGAAATCCAAAAGAAATGGTAAAACTAAAAATATAATATTAATCTTATTTTTCTTAGGTTTTCTTTACCATATATATAAAAGAAGAAAATATTGATTAACTCTGAAATGTAACTACATCGTTACTTAATTGGAATTTCATTTTTCAGGATGATGATAGTTTATAAGTGTCCAGAATTTCATATCCGGGTGGTATTTTATGTGCAGGGTAATATTTTGCTTTTTAAGGGGAGGTAATGCTGACCTTGAGTCATCGACAAAACAAAATATGGCTTTGGAGAGATTTGTAACAAAAACTTTAGCCTTGCTTGAAAAAGAACGTCATGCCGAAATTGAAGAGACAAGGTATTTAAAAAAAATAGCTTTATAAGATTATAGATTTGAAGTTACAAATATAATATTTTTTGTTTTCGATGTTACCATAATGAAAAAAAGAAAAACATTTTGCGCTGCACGTGTAAAATAAAAATGTAGTCCAAGTATTTATTTTTAAAAGTTAAATTACTTAAACCACATTTTTACATTGGTGAATTGATTACTGCATATTTTCTCATCTGTTGAATTTTTTATTATAATTTTTGTTTAAAGTACCTCAATTACTCCTATCTACGCTGGTCATCGTCTAATGTCAAAGGACTTTTTGCAAAGACGATTTAATTTAAAGGCTACCTAATTCCATCTAGTCAAATATTTAATTTACGAAATTAAATCGATAGTAGACATGTCATTTCTAAAGAAATGATGGGAAAATGAAAGTTAAGCTTCTTAAGCAGAACAAAATCATGATATATATTTTTTCTTAAATACTGTTATGGCGATAAACTGAAATTTGTTAAAATAAATGCACTTAGAAAGAATATAAAATATTAATTTTAATAACAATAAAAAAAGATATTTAGTTGAAAAAGGAAGTTCAAAGCAAAAGAAAATATTGGAGAATATTCAACATTTTTATTTTCAGCAGACACGTTGAAGAAAAAAACTTGTAGAAAATTTCTGTCTGAATGTCTGGGACGAGGAATTAGTCATTTTCGAAATAATCATGCATTTTCAGACCATAATGGAACATTTTCATTATTTAGAGCTTTTGATGCTTACTGCAAATTAACCATTTTGGGACTATTGTCCGCATTTTTGTTGTTGTTATCACAACATTTCGGTCTTTGTGCCCACCGGCCTTCATCAGGTGTTTAGTTTATCAATTGGGATATCCTACATAAAAATAAAAGGGTTCAATTCGGAATTCCTTGTAGGTTTTCCGGATCGATATCCACCTGATGAAGGCCAGCAGGCACAACGGCCGAAAAGTTTTGATAACAACAACAAAGATTAGGACAATAGTCCGAATGTAAGTAAATAATAGAAAATTAGTGGAAACATCAATTATGTCACTTAGATTATTAAAAATAAAGGAATAAATAAAATGAAAGAATAAAAGCATTTGGGATTATGCACAGCTAAGAAAGTGGTAAAAAAAGTGGAATAAACCGAAACGCATGCACATTTTGGATACTAATCATTGATAATTGAATTTATTTCTGGAAAAGGAATTTTTGTAAGAAACTTTTACTGATAATTAAAGCCAATCTTAATAGGCCTTTATTTTATTTTATTTCTTTTTAATCTTAAAGTATAATTTGGACACTTACATTTTTAAAGAGAAAGTCAAACCATTTGAAAATTTAATTTTAAACTGTATAAAATTATACACTGAATAATTAGAATATTGTTTTGATTCAAATCACTTAACTTTTTTGAGTTATGAAAAAAAAATGTTGATAATTATTTTTAAAGATTATAATTGAAATGATTTCTAATATTTTAAATTATCTATTCTTCTGGACAATTCTGAATTGTTGTTCTTAATTGAGAAATATAACATTTGACAAGGAAATTTCAAAATGAGTTTGTTGCCACAAAATAATCAATGAAAATACCTATTTTAATTTTTCCTTTTGTATACATGTAGTAAGTTATTATTCTGCATTTTTACCAGAAAGCTTATACATGTACACGGGATCTAAACATTATTCATCACTTTGTTTTATTGATATGGAGGCTATGCATTCTAGTTATTAAGAAGGAATTGTAGAGGCTGGTAATGGTTCTATAATTGTGTAGGGCATGGGTCTGCCTAAACATGTTATTTATTGGTGAGTGCTACATTGCACTTTTCCATGAACATTTGCATCCTTCACAGAAACCATATACCCCAACAATGATAGGTTATTCCAGCAGGACAGTGCTATATCATCAGGTTTGGATTCCTTATAATGGATTCAAGAACCATTCAGGAAACTTCCAACAAATGCTAGTGCTACCATATTCACCCAACATTGAGCCCAATCAATCATTTATGGAAACTGGTGGTGAGAACTGTTTGCATGCAAGATTCTGTACTTATAAATACCAAGGAGCTGTGGATAGTTATCTAGATGGTATGGCTCATTCTCCCTGGTCAACTCTAGTTATTTATATATGCACCTGAGATACCCATGATTAGTCAAATAACAAATTTACATACCCTGATTACTTTATCAATGAACTTTAGATAAGGCTCATGTTATTACTTTTGGCAGAAAATATACACAACATGTGGGTGTTTCATCTGACAAGGAAAGTGACTTGCATTCAGAGATAAAAGTGGATAGGGTCATAGTAAGGTGTGGGTTGTGTTGATATTTTCTGCTACTTTGAACTTGAAAAAATAGGGATTAGCTATTTGAACTTATTTCTTTTGTATAATACTATTTCATTTATTAAAAGAACTTACAGGAATAATCAATGTTTTTAATCTCTTTTTGTAGCTATCTTCATGAAAAGTTACCTCCAAAAGAACTTGAAAGAAAAGGAGTGTGTCTCCTTAAGCTTCAAGTGGCCAGTCATGCATCTGGTCTTTATGGGCGGACAGTGGTCACTTTTGAACCATTTTGGATGAAAAAAGAGCTTCCGCCTCACAATATGAATCCTGGTATGTATACAAGAGGGGACCAGTAAATCTGTAATCCCACATGGAGTTATTAGCTGAATCTTGATCTGAAATTTTCACTGTATAATGTTTGATCTATGTTATTAATATTCACAACTATATTAAATGCATTAATGAAAGACAAAATTATGTTGGAGAATGTTTTCCAAAATAAATACCTTTTTCTTCATTAGGCTGCGTACTTGTTGATGTATCTGTACTGAAGAAAAAATATAAATAACAATTTATAGTAATTCTTAATGTTACGTAAAACATTTTGATTAAAATGCATGTTAAAATTATCTCAGGAACATATATGTAGTTTTTTATAGTAGTACAAAAATATTCATAAATTTATTTGGAATATAATATATTTAAAGGTACTGTATATACATGAGTATAGGGAAAGTTTTTATGATCACTTTTTTATGCAAAAATGGGGTGTTGCACTATGCCCAGGTAATTTTTTTGAAGAGGTTAAAAATTGGGCATTTGCAGTGACCGATTACATTAAAGACAGGTAATTTTTTTTCTGGAGGGTTTAAAATTCATGCAAAAAAATTCAGGGGTCACTTTATACATGAAGTCAGCTTATACACTAGTATATACGGTAGTAAAAAGTTACTATAGTTTGCCTGAGTACACAGGATTACTTTAGTATCAAATCTTTTTAAAACTTTTATCTGCTTTTTAAAAACTAATTTCTTCACTTTTAATAATATAAAACAAGATATTTTTTATTAAAATCCACAACTTCCCTCTTTCTACAGGCATACGTCAATGTATGAATCAGTTTTTAAAAAGGCCATTGTAAAGTTGAAAACATATAACGATACTGTTTAACTTTAGTAATTTTTGTTTCTATTTATAGGTGATATTGTACAACTTAGTTTAAGTCAGAGTGACATGGGTCAGAAAGAAGGTTTGGCAACTGGTCTTGTATCCAGGGTAACACCATCCAGTATTGCTGTAGCCTTTGATGAATCGCAGAAACTTGAATCTCTTGATTCTGACCTGCAATATAAACTCCTTAAAGTTGCTAACGATGTTACTTATCAAAGACTAAAACGGTAAGTTTTGCCTTTTTTTGCATCCCACTTTTTTTTTTTTTTTTAGGAAAATCATATCAAATTTCACAATGATCTCCTTTTGATAGCATTAATTTTCTCACTTAATGCTTTTCATAGAGAAAATAATTTTGTCTATATTTCTGAGATGAGGTATTATGTACACTTTTTACATTATTCGGACTATTGTCCTCATCTTTGTTGCCATATTTATTACAACATTTCAGCCGTTGTATGCTCTGGCCTTCTTCAGGTGGTTGGAATGTCGAACTGAACCCTTTATTTCGCTCACTGGAGTAGACTGTTCTAGTTCCACGTGCCATGTCTAATGGATGTCAGTTATCAGTTATCTCCTGTTAATTCCCCTCTCCAAGTTCTCCACTGCCTTAACCAGGTATTGAACTCACACTCTTTGGGTCCTCTCACTGGATCTAACTAACACCTTTATCCCCTGTGCCATGTGTCCTTGACAAAGGAGATAACTGATAACTGACATCCATTAGACATGGCACATGGAACTAGAACAGTCTACCCCAGTGAGCGAAATAAAGGGGTCAGTTTGACATTCCAATCACCTGAAGAAGGCCAGAGCATATGGTGACAAAGATGAGGAAAATAGTCCGAATAATGGAAATAGTGAAAATAATTTCATAGCCTGTAAAATATTATTTGAAATTTGTGCATCTATTTATTTCATTCTCCAACACATTTCTTATCGACTATAATAAAACCAAATTCCAAAGATATTGTGAACAATTTGGGCAATTATTCTATTTTTGTGCAACTATGTTTGTGAATGAGCATAAAAAGAAATGCAAATATAAAATTTCTGTATCTTGAACTTGTAATACTCATGTTTAGAATCACTAATGTCTATACTTTCTGATCATTGTAAATTGAATAAAAAAAAATGAAATGCCTTAAAGTACCTCCTACATTTTTTTTTTTTTTTTTTTTTTTTCAAAAACAAACCAAATCTTTTCAGTAATGTATTAACACCATTTTTCTTTTTCAAATTGTTTACACTTATTTTTCAATGACACTGTGCTATTGTTCCCAGACAGAGATAACTATTTGCTAACTACATACTTAGTTCACCCATGGAAATATACTGCTTCCAACTCTTGTAATTTAACTAATTCATCAGTTTTCGCATCCTGGGTATGATGATAAACTACATCGGCGTCCTGAGTAAGACGATAAACTACGTTCAACAGAAAGGCCTCTGATCAGGAGGTTTTGAGGAGCATGGAACCACCTCTTAATTGCTGGTGTTCCCAGGTCCACTCTGACCCAGGGTGGTAGCACCTGTTAGGGTCCCAGCTATGGGCAAATAGTTAACACTCAGATTACATCTGCGTCCTGGGTAAGATGATAAACTACATCCAACAGCAAGGCCTCTGATAATACGTTTTTGAAAAAATAATGTTGCCAGCTGTATGTTTTTGAAAGGAAAAATATTAGCAGCTGTACGTTTTTGAAAGGAAAAATATTAGCAGCTGTATGTTTTTGAAAGGAAAAATAATATTAGCAGCTATACGTTTTTGAAAGAATAATATTACCAGCTATACGTTTTTGAAAGAATAATATTACCAGCTATACATTTTTGAAAAAATAATATTACCAGCTATATGTTTTTGAGAAAAAAAAAATATTAACAGAAATGGATTTTTGACAAAACAAAAATATTACCAGAAAAAAAAAGTTGTTGGCATTAAATGACCCATTGAGGTTGATATGCCGTAAAACAAACCAAACCATCATCAGTTTTCATTGCCATTTTGTTGAACATACAATAATAATGTCAAAACATTATTTTCTTTCATTAATAAATGTACATTTCTTAGCAAAGATAAAGAAACAGATGTTATTTTTTTAAGTTTTCTGAAATTTCTTAGATGAAATATGCTCAATTATTTTTTTAACTTATTCAGCTTTTTGTTTTTTATTGCAATATTCAGGTTATTTTTACATTCTGTTATTAAGTTAACAGCATAAATAAGAAATAAAAAGGTTAATTCTATATTTTTGGTTGAAAAGCAAGGAGCTATAAGGGAGTTCTACAAGTGAGAAAAGAAACTGTTAGCATAGAACTTATGACTACATCTAGCCAGCTCAACTGTAATTTGATGAGATCTAGACGCCAGTCTAGTATTGCATTTAAATTAAAAAAAAGTATAGGTACCATGGCGAAGAGCTCATCCAAACAATTACCATGAAAGTATTTATAGAAAAGGCACCTTATGGTGATGGGAAAGTGACTGAAGCCAAGATGCCAGATCAGGACCTATAATATTGCCGATTCTTCTTTGGATTTTATCAAGGAGCTCAAAGTAAATAGCAAGGGCATCAGACCACATGTGGCAGCATATTCTAAGCATGGATGAATGGTAGACTTATAGATATGTAAGATAGATTCTGGAGAGAAAAATTATCTTGTGCAACAGGATGAATTCAATATAGTCTTTCCCTTTCATGTTAGCTCAAAAAGGCACAATGAGTCACTTTCATGGAGGTTAGCATCAGCCATGCTGATGGAAGGCAGAGAGGGGTCTCTCAGATGATTAATGGAGAGAAGTTTGGTTTTGGAGGCATTAAAATTAACAAGCCATCTTTTGACCCAGTTAATGATGGATTTGATCATTTTGGACATTGGCTGCCATTTTGACCTTGTCAAACTGATAAGCCTTACTATTGAGGTAGAAGAAAATTGTCATTGTTTCTTTTATTTATGTCTTCATAGAGATACTGAAAAGAATACAAACACTTTCATATAAAAAGTCAATAAAATTATAGTTTTGCTAGAAATTAAATTAATTTTATCATCATAACTTTAAAAGAAATTGTGGAACATTAAAATCTTTTTTAAAAATTCAACATGTCATAGTTATCTTATTCGATTCTATTGTGTTTGATGCATTTTATTTACAGAGCTTTGACAGATCTTCACAAAGCTGAACGAGGACCATCATGTCATCTTGTAAATGTTTTATTTGGAGAGGAAGAACTGTACCCATCAGAAGAATCCCAAGGTTTCTATAAAAGGATTTTCCAATTTTCAGTTTTCTGTCTTTTAGTTGATTGTTAAGAATTTATCATTAATTTATAAAGTAAATCATATTTCAGCAAACACCAATTACTTAACTTTCCTTTCATGTAATTCACTCTTTGTTTTCATTTTGTCCTTCACACACTACTGTGACGAATACTTATCTTCCACTGATTAAATTTACTCTGTGGAGAACCTCCACTGTTCTGTTTTTGGCATTGTCAGTTAAATAAAAATTGAAGATGTTAAATTTATTTTTGTTGTGAAAATAAATCTTGATTTGTTTAAGGCAACAAAAAAAAAATTAATATGTTGATAACTGATTTCTAAATGAAGATATCTGCTTGAAAAATAATCATTTTTATAATGTATTCTACTGATTTTCATCTAACTACATTACCCTCAGTTTATACACACCCACATGTGTGTACATGTCCATATTGTGTGATTAAGCAAAGGTTAGTACAAGGCCACATTCATGTAGCACTTACTGAGAAATTAACTGAGCAATGTTTTTGCAGAGGAGTATATGAAATGATAGCAGTCCCACACCTCTAAGGAAGATTTAATGAACTTGCTTTTAAGATTACCACATATCAACTAAATAAAAAGATAAACAAAAATATTTTATCATCCAATTTTTATATAATATGCACATATTAGGAAAATTAATAACAAAGTAGAAAAGTTTTTTGTGTGTGAATTGTTTCATCCTTTAAGGCTTCATCAGACTAAAGTTATGTTTCTGTTCTTTAGTTTGATGAAGTCTTAAAGTCCAAAATTTTTCCACTTTCATTAATTTTCCTAACATTTTCTGGTATATAAAAAAATTTACATCATTTTATCCCATAATATGTCCAAATACAAAGGGGTGCTGAAATCCCATTTTCAAAAATTTGATCAAATGGAATTTATTTCCGGATTCTCTGTATACTGGGGCAATAACTTCTCAGCATCCATTTGTGGGTATATTATATATATATATATATATATACTTGCTCTCTTTCTCCAATTGAGCATTATAGAGAAAGGGAATTTTTAACAGCTGCAGCAGCCTGCTTAATGCATACCTATTCATCAGAAATGAGCGCTCTGGCTGCTGGTCTAGCATTTATATACATCACATATATAATACGTTAAAATATTCCCTTTTGCTACCGTGCACCAATAGCTTAGGGGTAGAGTCTATGACTGATGCCAAATCAGTCGAGTTTCAATCCCAGCTTGAAGTAATTGAATGTCTAGCCATACTGATGAGCTGTGGATATATATATATATATATATATATATATATATATATATATATATATATATATATATATATTTGTATTTGAGCAGCAATCCATCTTTTAGACAAGTTTCATTAAAAACAACTGACAAGATACTGCAGTAAAGTTTTTTAATTATTTTTAATTTTCCGAATGTTCTGTATGTCTGAACACTTTCTACTATACTTTTAGCTATTATCAAGGATGATTTTATTTTTAACTGAATGTATGGATTGTTTAGTATATATATATATATATATATATATATATATATATATAATAGCCTCATCCACATGTAAAAAAAAGTCTAAAAATAATGGAAGCATTATTAATGAAAAAGGAAAATTCAACTCAATAACATCAACTATGAACTGTGCTGACTGTGTTTGGAAAATAAAAATTCCTATAACTTCATCCATAAGAAAAATTGAATAAAAAACAAACAAACTGTAATACCTTGTCAAACTGGAAATTATTCTATAAACTTTATAATTTCCAGTCCAATACACTCATTGTGGAGTAAATATTTAATGTTTAAGAAATAAATATATAACTATTTAGTTGACATGCAGTCCCTAAAATATTCTATTTATTTACAATATTCAGACTGTTATCCTCATCTTCATTGCCATATTCACAACATTTCGGCTGTTGTATGCTCCGGCTTTCTTCAAACATTGATTAGATCCAGTGACTAGACCCAAAGAGTTGTGAGTTCAATACCAGGCCACAGCAGTAGTGAACCAAAAACTTGGAGAGTTGAATTAAAGGGAGATAACCGAGACATCCGGAAGAGGCATGGCACATGGAACGAGAACAATTACCCCGGTGGACGAAATAAAGGTTTTAGTTTGAAATTCCAATCACCTGAAGAAGGCTGGAGTGTACAACAGTCAAAAATGTTGTGAATATGGCAATGAAGATGAAGATAACAGTTTGAATAATGTAAATAATCATAATAGGTCATTTCAGATATAGACAAATATTCTATTTGTAGAGCATTAGATCATCTATGCATCTTCTCCTTTGTCAACATCATCTTTGATGGCTGGGTCACATACATGAAATGAATGAGGGTTGTATACCAAAAAATATTGTGTACAGTGAGCTGGTTACAGGATACTGTCCAGTTAGCTGCCCTGTACTATGTTTCAAGGGCTTTTACATGAGGAACCTAAAACTCACAGACATCAATTCTAGTAGCTGGGAACAGCTAGCAGATGATTACAGTAACTGGTGCCATGCTGTTCAAGGAGGACTTATGAAAGGCAAGAAAAAGTAAAACCAACTGTTGGAGATCAGAATACAATGCAGGAAGCAGAGAGAGGAATCTCAGACTTTCATTCTACATTCTACCTTCATCTGCCACACCTACAGAAGAAAATACCATGCAAAGCTTGGGCTCTTAAGCCACACCAGACATTGCTTACAAAAGGACTGAATTTTGACCAAACAGGGTGCTACCAATATCTTACAAAATAAATGGATGCTTACTATTACTATACTATATAAATCATATATGAAATAATTTTGTTTAATGTAAGCACATTAATTGTATTTTTCCTGATGGCTTTGTAAATCATTATGTATTTATAAGTTAAGTTTTTCATATTTTCTGGAAATTAGAAATGTATATCAGAAATATATTCCATTTTGGTTGAAAAATGAAAATGTTTTCACTTTTGTTTTCTTTACAGACCTGAAATTCTTTAATACAAATTTGAATGAGTGTCAAAAGAAAGCAGTTGAGTTTGCCATATTTCAAAGAGACATTGCTGTTATCCACGGCCCACCAGGAACAGGGAAGACTACAACCGTTGTGGAAATTGTTATGCAGGCTGTCAAACAAAAACAAAAGGTTTCCTTAATATTAAAATATACCTACTTTTTAAAACTTTTGTATTTTTGTACACACATTAACGGTGTGTATTTTTCAGAAGAAAAATAAGCAATATGCTAAAAAAAATTCTTGCATCCTGCAAAATTTAAAATAGTTTATTTATCATGTGATAGCAGTTAAATTTTTTTTTTAATTAGTATCACCCCATACAAGGCAGTAAAGCCACTAAGACACAAGAAGTTACAGAGTGTGAAAAAATTAGGAAGAGACTCATTAATAATGAGTGGGAAGAGGAAAGCGTAATCAGTATGCTGCTAATCCATTAAATCCATCATTATGCTGCTAATCCATCAAATTCAATTCTAAGCTTGTTGATGTTTTAATAAAGAAATAAATTTTTGTTAAAAATTCTTAGAAGTGATAATATTATCATTGAGAGATTTATTTATTCATTGTTTATGATTGATTCATTCATTTTGTATGATTTATCAACCCTTTGCAGGTTATTTAAAGCCAGAAAATATCTTTTTAGGTAGAAAGTTTGTTTTTTTTTTTTTTTTTGAGATAACAATGATTTACAGATACCAGTCCTACTAATTAACCCATAGATGTGGGGGAGATAATGTAGATTCTCAAGAGTATTTGCGTGTAAGTGAATATAATGAACCCAACTGGAATTGGAACTCTCCAATTAACAATTCCAAGCCATTATCTGTTTCACTACCCATATATCCAAGCTTACAGCACCTGGCATTCCCAAGCAGCCACCCATCTAGGTATTGACCAGGTTTGATGTTGCTTAACTTCAGTGATCATATGTGACCAGTATTTTTACGTGATATGGCAGTAAGCTACTATTGTTTAAATCACATTAATCTCATCTTTCTTTTTGTCATATTTTGATTGGTGTACTTTCTTTTTTTTTTTTTTTTTTGAATGTATACTATATCTGATGACCTTCAGGGAATTTTAAATGGTACTTTTTATTATACTCTGTGGATATCCTTCATATTACGTTTTGTAGCTTCTTTTGCCAATTTGTTTGTTTATCATTTCTTCAGCTGCAATATTCTATTGATGTGAGTAAAAAAACTGGCATAAACTGTTATAAAAAATTTCCTTTGTATAAATCTTTACTGTACAAGATAAATCCTGATAAGATAAATATTGTTTTTATTTTTTCATATTTGTGAATTCTGTGCTTTCTTTTAACTATTCTAATTTTTAATTCTTTTCAGGTTCTTGCCTGTGCTCCCTCTAACATTGCTGTTGATAATCTTGTTGAACGTTTGGTTAACCTAAAACAGAAAGTTGTGCGCCTTGGCCATCCATCTCGTTTGCTACCTCACTTGCAAAAATATTGCCTTGATGCAATTCTCACTTCCAGTAATGCTGGCAAACTGGTGATAGATGTTAAAAAAGATATGGATAAAGCTTGTGTAAGTGTAGCTCTAAATTCATACATTTATTGCTTCTGTTAACATTCAAAGAAAATAAGTTATCTTGAAAATTTTTGTCTCTTAGCAAGCACAACCCTTCTCATGTTGCCTGACACATAAAACAATGATTATTTTTTTGGCCATTTCTCAAACACTCCATAGAGATCCAATCATTGTTCGTATTTAATATAATACTATAGCTAGGAATAGCTATAGTCTCTAAATATAGCAATACGTACTGTATGTCTCTCTCCCTTGTAACTTTGGTTTCAAGAATCCTTAGTCATGGAACTGGATGTAGCACTATGACAAGTATCAATCAGTTATTCTGATCACTGGTTCAGTGACATTCTGTACAGGAGATCCCATTATCTGATGAAGTCCCAATCTTAGGCTTGAAATGTCACAAACTTGAATCAGCCATGTATTATATGAAAGTAAAATTGATGAATTCCTGAGGTAGATCAATCTTGAAATAATGATGAATACTTTAAGAAGATTTAAACAAAATGTACTTTAAGCTGTTGGCTACATAGGTGTTTCATGCTATTACCTTCCTTTCTCAAAATCCAATACTATACAGAGTGCGATGGGTAAGTTGTTGCCATTTCATATTTTTAATTTTGCCGATGCACATTGTTTTTGATTTTGTCAACTGCACTGTATAGTAGGGTCTGTTGGACACCGTCTGTGAGAAAAAGAGCACCATGACACAATTCACTCCACTAGAAATTTGAAAACTGTATGCCGTACTACTTGGCATCCTGCTGGAAGCTGCCATATGAACATTTCAGAGTGTTGAGTGTCAATCAATCCGTGTCAGTGCAGAGGATTCAGAAAGAGTTGGATGAGTCTAATGGTAATTAAGAAGGTACAGCAGGTTTCCAACTCTGATCATTCTGATGAGAAAAGAACTCCCAAATTTGTTGGTGAGGGGCTCAGATTCAACATGGAGGCCTACATCAATCAAGTGCCTTGAGGAGGTAGTGCTTGGTCAAGAGAGTGGCTGCTGGAAGACCCTATGTCTGACAACAGAACTCTGCTCCATGCCACATAAGCAGGAGAACCTAGTCAAGGCTGTCAGACAGTTTCTGTGATCACATCACCTCTTACATCTGACCACCTAACTCCCCAGACTGCAACCCCCTTGATTATTATGTGTGGGGCTGCTATATTTAAAGTGCTCAATATCAGGTATAGAGCATATGTAAATATAAAAGTAGACATTAAGGCAAGGCCAACACCCAGTGGTGACAGTCTGTTTCATGCTTAAATGCAATCTTCAGGCTAGAAGCTATTGCACTCTCCAGTGCATATTTTTGAAAAATCTTAGAGAAAAATATGGGCCAGAGAGTGCATATGTTTTTTCTCTAATAAAATTTCTTGAATATTCAGTCCAGCAGCAGAAAATAAATAAATATACTGTTTAATAAATAAACTTAAATATGTATATCCACTAAATAAACTTAAATATGTGTATCCACTAAAAATAATATTTTAGTAATAAAAATCTGTCAGATTAATAAATGAAAATCCATTATGAAACTCTGGAGTCAGGATGCTGAAGGTAACACCAATCAGCTAAGTGACTAAGTTCATAACCATTTTGGTTCTCACCAGTCGAAGTGCAACTAAATGCACCGAAACTAAGTTGCATCTTTGTAGTGAGTAAATTATTTTTGTCTATATGAAAAAATTATATATATATATATATATATTTATTTATTTTATATGTGCAGTACTTATTGGAAAGTGCTCAATATCAGTGATAGAGCTAACATATTCAGTAGTTTGTGATACTGGGTTTCACACTTTTGTGATCATTAAACAAACTGGTTTATTTTTTTAAAAATTAAATCAGTTTGTCTGATGATCACAAAAACATGAAACCCAGGGTCAAAAACTCCTATCCATACAACTGAAAATATAATCTGAATCAGGGGACAAAAAATGTATTGGTAAAGAAAAGTTTCCCTTTTGTCTTTTTAGATATATTTTTTAGATATATTTATATATATATATTTTATATATATATATATATATATATATATATATATATATATATATAATGTATTTTTTCAAATTTGTTTTTGTTAAAATGAAAATAAAACAAATATGATTAAAAACAAAATTTTTAGACATTTAAAGGAATTTCAAGATTGTATTAGTAAAAATGTAAAAGCAAAGACTACAGATTGCCTGTAACATTGAGAAGAAGCATTAGCATATCCAATATTGATTGGATAATTGAAACCCTTTGTAGACTTATTGTTTCAGCTGATCTATTCTTCACTTCTTATTAGGTGAACCCAGTGAGGGAGTTGGGGGGAAAAAAAGAAAATGCAACAGTAAAAGGTTCATTAATTAACCCTCTGGATCAATCCATTTCAGTAGTGGTAGGTATGCCAACTACCTAGGTGATTCCAAATTTAAACCAAGGGAGTTCTGCAACATCCACTTTACTAAGAAATCCATATTGTGTTGAAATCCATACAGTAAAAGAAATTTATCTCCTTCATTCTTGTAATTAATCCCAAACACTTCATAAGAAAAAGTTGATTTTGTAGAAAACATATTTGTACAATAATGATGTATTGTCTTTTTAATTTCTTTATAGGCACAGTTGATAAAGTGTAAAAACCGTGGTGAGAAATTCAAATACACTGAAGAAATGAAGTTCCTGAGGAAAGAACTTCGACAACGAATGAGTCTGGCAACTAAAGAAGTTTTGGAACATGCTGATGTTGTTCTTGTCACTCTGACCAGTGCCTCAAATGACGGTGCTTTGAGAGAGCTGAAAGATGACTATTTTAACTTGGTAGTCATTGATGAGTGCTCACAGGTAAGATGGGAAGTTGTCATTGATTTGAATATTGATCTGACTTAGGAATTTTGTCTGATTTTTGTTGGATTGTAACAGCTCTATTCATTTAGTGACATTGATTTATCTTTGATCAGTAACAATTAAGTAACCAAATCTGTCTACTACTTGTAATAGTTTGTTTCCTGTGGGGAAACCATCTCGTTTATTGTCTTATATATATACAAAAATGTATGAGGTTGAGTCATAAGTAATTTCCGTTTTGGGGAACCAATTGGAATGATGAATATATCATTGTAATTCATTCCTCCTATATGGCAGTGAATGCAGGACAATCTCCTCACATATGAAGAAGAGACTTGAAGCAACACAAATGTGGTTCTACAGAAGGACACTGAGAATTTTAATAAGCAACAACAAAGTTTTAGAGAAAATTAAAACAAAAAGGACACTTAAACTTAATATCAGGAAGAGACAGTTGAAATTCCTCGGGCACAAAATGAAGAAAGAGGGCTTGGAAAATTTAATACTCATAGATTTGAAGACGAGGGACAAAGGAAAACAACACATAACCTACCTAGTAAGCTTGTAAATGGTTGGCAGAACATGGTTTAGGATAGCAAAAACACAAAATTTATTAAAAGCTACAAAAGACAGAAAATTCTGGAGAGCCATGATCACCCATGTTCTGAAGGAACACAGTATATAGAAGAACAAACTACTAATTATACGTGCCAGTTGAGAAGAGATTTGAAGTACACTAACATACCTTAGATTTTGTAAAGCAGTGGCAATGTATGCAGTGGATTATAGGAAAAATGTTGGTCTCTATGACAATGCTATGCTGCACACAACAATAACAAACAAAAAAACAAAAGAAAAACTTTGGTACTGAGTCAGGCTTTTCTACCCCAACCCACCATATACATCTGACCTTACACTAACTGATTATTACTTTTTTTGATCACTGTAAAATGCATTAGTGGTGGAAGATTTTCTCATGTAATCCAGGTACAGGAGTTTGTCAAAATCTTTTACTCATCAGAATCTGCAGAACTGATGAGTAGTAACAAACAACTGCAAATAATGGTGAATATATAAATTAATAAAATGTTATTATATTTTAGTTTTTGAAGAATAAAATAGATAAACAAAAATGGAAATTATTTATGACTCAACCTATTAAAACAAATTTTTCAAATTGTTAATAGCTTAATTTTTTTTTTTTTTTTTCACAATATAAAAAAATATTTTAAATTCATTTTTCTTTTTCTTTACAACTTTTTTTCCTAAAGTATATTTAAAAAAAAAAATTTCTCCAAACTCTTATGGTGGTTTATAAAATTATTTAAATAGAAAAATATGTTTTTGATTATTTTTCAAGTCAATCTTGTACTGTTTAACATTCAATCTTTGTTAAGCTTTGTTCTCTGATTACATTTTAACAAAGTTTAAAGTAATGAAAACAGTCAAAATTCACATCTAAAGGGGATAATAAACTGATCAACCAGATATTTCCTAAAGTTATACTTGTTATTTCAAAGCATCTGTTTTAATCACTTTTTTGGCAATCTTTAACTTTCATTCCTGCAATAAAATGGTGTGTCAAAAGCACAGTTTTTTCCTTGACACTGCTATTATTTTAACTACCTTCATTTCTCATCAATGTTTATTGTTTTAAAAAGCAATAATTAGAATTTTAATAAAACCCAAGCAACATGTGTAAGTGAATTTATACATTTTTGTTCTTTGAAAATTTACAACAAAAATAATAAACACTTATTAGATTGTTTATTTACAAGAATAATTTTCTATTTATAGCATTGTATAATGAATCATAAAAATGGAAACCAACCAATACTATTCAGATATGGGTATCCATTAATAATAACATTTGAAGTAATAAAAATGCTGAATTAAAAATAAATCCATTAATTCTTTAGAATTATATATGTCTATATTATTTTCATTTTAATTAATTTGTTTTTAATTTTATCTTCTTTATTTATTCTTTTTAATTTTTAACGTATATCTGATTGTAACAATTTGGATTGATGAGATATTCCAATTCATTTCCAACATGAAGTTCAAAAATTACTATTCAGTGTAAAGTACTAACAAATTTTGCTAGAGCAACAGAAAATTTTGTGAATTTTTTCAAAAACTATTGCTCTCCCATATATCAACTACATAAAAAAAATAAGCAAAAATATTTTATCATCCAATTTTTATATAATATGCACATATTAGGAAAATTAATAACAAAGTAGAAAAGTTTTTTGTGTGTGAATCGTTTCATCCTTTAAGGCTTCATCAGACTAAAGTTATGTTTCTGTTCTTTAGTTTGATGAAGTCTTAAAGACCAAAATTTTTCCACTCTCATTAATTTTCCTAACATTTTCTGGTATATAAAAAAAATTACATCATTTTATCCCATAATATGTCCATATACAAAGGGGTGCTGAAATCCCATTTTCAAAAATTTGATCAAATGGAATTTATTTCCGGATTCTCTGTATACTGGGACAATAACTTCTCAGCACCCATTTGTGGGTATAAAATAAAATTTTATTCTTATAATGTACTTTCTATGAATATTTTTATAATCGACTATTTCATAGAAAATCCCCAAAATTTAAAAAAAAATTTAAATCACTAACAAACATCAAATTAAATTCTTTGTAGACAGTTTAGAGACATTCAAATTTATATTAAACATTATAATCTTTATAAACCCCCAAAATAACACTTTCAAAGTAAAACAAAATCACAGCGTCTGTTTATAGCCTGTTTTTTTTTTTTCACAAAGAAAATTAGTGACACCTTCTCTCCTTACTTCCTTCTCTCTTTTTCTCTCTGTTTTTTTCTCCTGTACCCCTTCGATATCAATATATAACTTCCATTAAGTTAACCGTTTAAATGTGTCAATGTCTGCAAACTCACTCATGTCTTCTCTCCCCCCCCCTCACTTTGTTAATTTACATATGTTTAATATGGCCCGTCAAAAATGTGTAAATTTCTTTTCATTTTTTGTTTCAACCTTTGGAAGTAAGGTCTGATGATCTGCATTCCTTTAAAAGGGCTGTGGTGAAATAATTTATTACATGGAACCTTAAAGTGGTCTGTTTTTATTTAAATTATTTGCTCTGGATTTACATTGACCTCTCTGGATTTTATCCTCCTTGGGTTTACCCATACGAATTACCTAGTTTTTCATAAACTAAATATATAATATATATATACTTGCTCTCTTTCTCCAATTGAGCATTATAAAGAAAGGGAATTTTTAACAGCTGCGGCAGCCTGCTTAATGCATAGCTATTCATCAGAAATGATTGCTCTGGCTGCTGGTCTAGCATTTATATACATAACATATATAATACGTTAAAATATTCCCTTTTGCTACCGTGCACCAATAGCTTAGTGGTAGAGTCTATGACTGATGCCAAATCAGTTGAGTTTCAATCCCAGCTTGAAGTAATCAAATGTCTAGCCATACTGATGAGCTGTGGAGATATATAAATTTTGTATTTGAGCAGCAATCCATCTTTTATACAAGTTTCATTAAAAACAACTGACAAGATACTGCAGTAAATTTTTTTAATTATTTTTAATTTTCTGAACGTTCTGTATGTCTGAACACTTTCTGCTATACTTTTAGCTATTATCAAGGATGATTTTATTTTTATTTTTAACTGAATGTATGGATTGTTTAGTGTGTGTGTGTATATATATATATATATATAATAGCCTCATCCACATGTAAAAAAAAAAGGCTAAAAATAATGGAAGCATTATTAATGAAAAAGGAAAACCCAACTCAATAACATCAACTATGAACTGTGCTTGGAAAATAAAAATTCCTATAACTTCATCCATAAGAAAAATTGAATAAAAAACAAAACAAAAAAACTAATACCTTGTCAGATGTTTTTAATGAAACTTGTGTGTGTGTGTATGTATGTGTGTGTGTGTATGTATATATATATATATATATATATATATATATATATATATATATATATATATATATATATATATATATATATATTTCCTTTTCAGCTGGTCTGCTCAAATCTTGATGATCGATGAGATCCAACCAAACCCTGCCTTATTCTATAATGTGTTCAGTTTTTGATTATAAGGCTGGCAAAGATCAAATCATCATATTGGGTTGGTCCAGGCAGAATGAAGACGCAAGTGAGATAAAAATAACTTGAATAAAATTAAATGCTTTTATATATGTTCTTTTGTACAGTGCTTGCTTAGTCTTGATGTTAGAATTTATCAATTCCTCATGCAGAAAATTATCAACCTAACCCGCTTCTTAAGTTGATCATGACACATTGGCTGGTTTGTTTAAGTCTGTCACAAGGCTTATGTCAGAGGTTCTCTTTATTGACATTCACCTAAAACCAGCGTGGGGTATGATGCAGTTAGGAGGTTTAGTGTTTCCCCCATCTTCCAACAAGACCCCTTATGTCTGGCTCTGGGAAATACATTTTCAAATTGGGGAGATCCCATTTTCCTAATGGTAGTGGCCACAGGTATCAATCCACCCTGATAACTTCCACCTTCTCTTATTGGCATCTCACACCAACACTTCCCAATGTGCATGGGCAATTCCTTCACCTTTCTCGGTATTTCACCTGAGCCTGCCACCTTAGCTATCCTTCGAACAATCTAGCTCCCGACTGTTGGCGTGGCTTAACTTATGGTCATTGATTAAAAATTATCATTTCAAATTTTGCTTACACAAAATTTTATCAGCCTGGTTTTGCTTAGAAATCAGAAATTTACTAGGTGGTTCCTTCAGCCAGCCATTCTTCCAAATCTGCCAGGGTCATTGCACTCCAACCACAAAGAAACAGTATTCTTGAGTTTTGATTACAGATCAAATCTTATCCATCCTATTTATTTTGTGTTTTCATAACTGATGCTTCTCTAGCTGTCTAGCTCTGTCTCTAGCTTATTAATCAGCTGTCAGCTTAAAGATTGCCACATGGCTCCTTGTGGTAATATCACCTTTCTTTAAGTAACATCTGGTTTTAGAGAATTAAGCTTATCCCTTTTGGAAAAGAGAAATCCTCATTCTTTCTCTTGGTCTGTCCATTGTTCTATTCATTAATTCTTTTCATCTCATTCCGAGCTATGTTTTTGGATTTAATTCCTTCTTTCCATTTACCTGCAGCAAATAGTGTCTCACACACATATGCACACACGTGTGTGTGTGTGTGTGTGTATGTATGTATATATATATATATATATATATATATATAATATGTGTATATGTCTATGTATATTTGAATTTGCATATCTTCAAAATGAAACTTATTGATGTACAAATAAATATATTCCTTAGTGTGCTTCAAAAGTTTGTTTTATGATTTTTTTTAAAGGCAATTGAAGCTGCTTGTTGGATGGCACTTCCTCGTGCCAGAAAATGTGTTCTTGCTGGAGACCATTGTCAGTTGCCACCTACTATTATCTCAGAAGAGTAGGTAAAATTTTGTTTTTCTGCATGATTAAATTTTGTTAAATGCATCTCTATTTTTAAGAGAAATACGGGGAGGGGAGTGAGTCAAAATGTAATGCAATTTTTAATATATAGGAAATAAGAAACACAAACATATTGTACATCAAGATATAGCTATACATCACAGGTTCACATCTTCTTAACATAGTCCCCCACCTCTTTCCACCTACGAATGAGGACGTATCACAGCTTCTTAAAACTCAGCTGTCTGCTGATGTAGCCAATTCCTTACAATAGTTTTCACTTCTTCATCATCACCATAACATTTATCCCTCAGTACCGCTTTCATTGAACCAAAGAGATGGAAGGGTGCTAAGGTGGTGATGGAGACGTGAAAACTGCCGTACATGCCCTCATTCATAAGTGGAACACTAACATAGAAAGAGGTGTTGACTATGTTGAGAAGTAGGGATGTGAACTGGTGACATATATCTATATCTTGATGTATTACATGTTTGATTGTGTTCTTTATTTCTTATATAATAAAACAAAATTCATTACTTTTGCACTCCCTCTCATATTTCATGATCTTTTAATCACTGAAAGAAAGAATAAACTTTTGTTGCTTATTAATGGTCGTAATACAAATTTATCACGCTTCTTTTCTCATTAAATATTTACTAATTAATTTCTTAATATACAAGAGCAATGTTTATCAGCCTTCTTGAGCAAATGAAAATATCACAACACATTTAGCAAAATCTTTGAAGTGTATACATTTAAATGCTATGGAATAAAACTATAGATTTAAAAAAATACACAAATATGAACTTACTTTATTTCAATGTTTCTATTCAACTATTTATGCAGCTTATTTAGTCTGAAACCTGTGCCTGGTGTTTTTCAAGACTTCTTTAATGTTTGGTCAAATGTGTAAGACTCCCTTTTCTTCTTCAGTTGAGCGCAGTTTTTCTTGCTTCTTATTTTTTTATGTTATTTAGGGTTGAGAAGCCTAATTCACATAAATAAGAAGTAGAAAATTGCAATAAAACTGATAAGCCTTTTTAGCTAACGTGGGATAAAAATTTTAATACTTATTCATTTATTCAAATACTAATGCTGTACCATTACTACAGCACAGCAGTTGAGAATCACTGTATTAGACCTTTAAATAGAAAATAGTTGAAATGGTATGTACTTTTCTTTTGAAATGTACAGTTTTTCCTCTTTAGTTGATTTATCAGTCTATCCCATCTTTAATCATTTTAATTTATTTTTGCTAACAATGTGATATAAGCTTTGCCAATGGCAATTGATTTTAATGATAAACATCAATGATGTTTATAAAGGAAAGTATGTCAACTTTGATCATTACATATTTACAAATTGGTGTAATGTTTTATTATTGCACATGTTGAGATATATTTATTTTTGAGTTGTTAGCTTTGATATGTTCGTTCAGCTGAAGTAAAAATAAAAGAATTGCTTTTATTTTGACATTAACTTTATTGAACTTTATTACTGTTTTCTTCTATCTTCTGCAATCTTTCAGGTAACATTATAACTCCATTGTCCCAAAAGCTTTTATTGTATTCCATGTTGTAAAGTATCCACTTTTCATAGAACATTTTCATCATATTTAAGTAAAGTATCTTGCACACAAAAAACCCAGTCCAATGGAAGCTACATATCAAGCTAGTATAATCAGACTGGTGCAGATGATTTTCACCAACTGATTTTGATATTTTGAGTATGTTAGCTATCTTTTGCAACATATAATGTTGAATATTTTCAAGTAAAGTTTTTTTATTTTATTTTATTTTTTATTCTTTTTTGCTATCAATCTCAACTGATTAAACCTACTTGGGAGCATCATCAGTACAAAACTACACAAGCATTTTTATCATGTTTAATTATTCACAATACATTTCCATAAACTGCACAAATCTTATTATTTATGGTACATTTTGAGCTTTCTTAAAATCAGAGCAAATGCCAAAAATGTTTATTTTCTATTATTAACCCCTGTATATATGATGCTCAAGTAGACAGGCAAGATGTTAATCAGTTCTGGGCACCAAGTCTAATAGACTATAATATTTTATGTATTATGCTGCATAATACATTAGACTATAATATTTTTGTAACAAAATGAATACATCCAACTCCTGATGATGGTATAAAAATATTATAATCTTACATATTAGGCTTGGTGTCCAGAGCTGATTAAAACCATGATCATCTAGCTAGGCATGATACATAAATGGGTTAATGTTAGAATCAAACAAACATAGGCCAAATTTAACAGAACTTTTTAAAATACACACCAATATAACAGCTGTCACAATACAGCCAAAAGCAGTCTTTTTTCAAATTATATTAAATCTTAATTCAGTCTAACAACAAAAAACTAAACCAAATTTTCAGGTAACCAAATATATGAATAATTACTGATGTGAATCTAAATAGTGTGTGTAACAGGTAATAGATATCTATTTACTTTTCAAGAATTTAACATATTCTTGCTATCAAGTCATCATGTGTATGAGAAACTCAATACTCATTAATTCTTTGTTGTTTGCATATACATATTTCATATTCTTTCATTATGTTATTAATTTCTTATTGTTGCTTTTCAGGGCAGCAAAAGAAGGCTTAGAAGAAACATTAATGGAAAGGATACTAAAATTGTATGGAAATCAAATTAAGAGAATGTTGGTCACTCAATACCGTATGCACCATTTGATAATGCAGTGGTCATCTGATAAATTATATGATGGACAGCTAGTGGCTGACTCTTCTGTAGAACATCATTTGCTCAGGTGAGATCTCCTTTAACCTCTAAACTTCTATCAATGTTTGGTTCATGTATTTGTATTCCATTAATAAAGTACTTATCATAACTTTAAGTCTGATTAATGGAAACAATTCATTACGTATTATTTATATTATTTATATTCAATGCTTTGATAGGCTTATGGCCATATCATGTTGAAACATTGGTTTTCGTATGATAACCAATGTCAAACCTGGTCTGTATTTAGATGGGTGACCACTTGGGAATACCAAGTGCTGTAAGCTTGGATGTGTAATGGATAATGGCTTTGAATCGGAAATTAAAGACCAGAGTTTCAATTCCAGTTAGGTTTGTTATATTTACTTATACACAAATAGTCTTTGGAAAAGTATGAATCCACATGTTCTCCACTCTCAGATATGGATTAATTAGTAGGACTGTAAATTATTATCTCCAAAAATTCTTACAATCTAAAAATATTTTATGGCTTTAAATAACCTGCAAAAGGTTGATAATCCATAAAAAAACTCCAAACCAATCAATGCTTTGGCCATTGTGTTCTTCAGCCTACTTCAGGTGTATGTTTCTCATGTGACTTGCCGCCCTGAAGAAAAAACCTCCGATTTAAAGTAGAGAATATGGAGAATATAGTCTTGCTTAAGCTATCAATAACTGTACCATCAAATTTGTCTCGAGTAACTGTATATAAATATTATTTTTCTTCTATCCAATTTATTTTTTTGTGTGACTTTACTCTGACCAAACCAAGTCATTGATTCCAGTCGACCATTCAGACCAAGTCAGTCTTGCGATCAATTAATCACAATGTGTGGCGAGACAAGACTTGGGCCGAAATGATCAACTCTACGATCAGCTGAGGAGTTCAAACTTGAATATGCAGTGGCTGGGATAGTCATCATATGTTGATCTGGGTAACCTTTTATGGAATTTTTTGTTACACTCTACATGTCTAGGGAGATCTTGTTTTGTACTGCTCAGTTATTGCTCACTTGGTTTCTAAGTCTAAGTCTGTACTAACTGGCCTAAGGATTGAACTCACAATTATACCACCAAATTTACAAACCAGTGTTTTTTTTGTTTTTTTTTCTTATAAAAGATTCAGTTCAAAATTCCCTAAAGTTTACTCAGATTGACAGACAGGGCAGAAGGTAAAACACCCAAAATATAATAAGAGTCCAAATGTAAATAATAACTCCCTTGGCCCAGAAATTGAGACAGAAACTCGTTATGTAATATTGGATTCTTTTGCTATCGCAAAGCAGTTAGTCAGTATGTTTTATTGATGTTATTTTGTGTGTTCAATTTGAATAATGAATATATTCAATTGAAAATGGTTTAATCTGAATTGATTAATACTTTTGCAGGGATTTGAATGGAATTGAAGATGGAGAATTAACTTCAGAGCCTTTACTGCTTATTGACACTGCTGGTTGTGATTTGTGGGAAATGGATGTTCCTGAGGAAATCTCAAAAGGAAATAAAGGTACATAAATCATTTTGCTTTTTATTGTTTATTATTGCGATTATGATTATGGCATTGTATTCATATCATTTCAAATATGAAATACATGTATATTATGTAGTAATTGTTTATTGTTCTTTTTATTGTAGGAGAGGCTGATATTGTGAATCATCATGTCAGGAGGCTCATCTCTTGTGGTCTTTCTGTGGATGAAATTGCTGTCATTGCTCCATACAATCTCCAAGTAATAAGATCAAATTTTTGACTATTTATACTCTTTCTTTTTTTTTTCTTTTTTTTTTAATTTGCTTTAAATCATTGAGATATAGGTAAAACATTCATAGGCTGACTAAGATGTTCTTATGGAATGTGACTATATGAGGTTTATTTTTCAACATAGTCCCCCTTGTGGTCCATACATTTTTTCCATCGTCGTTATAATGCTTGGATCTCATTGGTGAAGCTGCTTTCATCCTGTTTGTCATTAAAGTCATTAACAGCAGATATGACATCATCATCCCTGTGATACTAGTTCCCTCCCAATTTTTTTTTTTTTCATGTTTAGGAACAGATGATAGTCAGATGGGGTCAAATCAAAATAAGGATGATCAACCAGTTCAAAGCCACAGTCATACACAGTAGCCATTGAAACCATGGAAAATTGTCTGCTTTTATCAGTTTTCCTGGGCATTTTTCTGAATAGCCTTTTGTAACTGCCTCAGCACATTGGCATAGTACTCTCCATTGATGGTGTGGCCCCTTTTGAAGATATTCAATTAACATGATGCCTTTTGCATTAAAAAAAAACTTAAGGCCATCACTTTCCCTGCAGATGAAATGACTAGTCTTCTTGTGAGGAGGGGTGTTTCCACTGCATGGATGGTCTCTTTGTCTCTGATTTAAAGTGATGAACCCAACACTCATCCTGGGTTAGGAAACCAGCTGGATCTGCCTCAAACAATTTTCCCATGATGTGATTTACCTGATGCGCTTTTGGGTAGGTGTCAGAAAATATGGTAGCCACCAAGCAGAAACTTTCGTCATGTCAAGATCATTCTGCAGAATATTCTCAACTCTCTCACAGAATATGCTAATAGTATTGGCTATTTAATCTATCGTCAATCACCTGTCATCCATCACCATATGGTGAACACGATCAATGTATGCTTCAGTGGTAGCAGTTGTAAGACATTCAGAGCTCAGGTCATCTTCAAAACTCACGTTTCTTTCCCTTCCTAAATTCAGCTGCCTACTTTTGCACTGTTGGTAAAGCTTGGAGTGTCATCCCCTAATGTATCAAACATGTCAGCACGAATGTTCTTGTGGACTGAACCCTTTTTCTGCAGATATTTAATAACATCATGATGCCAAATTTTGTCCATTTTCAATAGAAGTTGCTACTAATTTGAAGTCTTTTTTTGAACAGTCACATGTCAGTTTACTTGGAAAGAAACAATGCAGTTATTAATAAGCAGAATTAAAATGAATGCATGCAAGATTTCATAGCTCTAGCATCACTCTCCTTCATAGTCAGCCTATGAACTTTTCAGCCCACCCTTGTTGTATGTTTATCCCAATAGTTCCTTCGGTGTTTTGTTCTGTTAAACACTACCTAATAGTATTATTAAAGATTTGCTTTCTTTGTGATAAAATTTCTCTTTGAAATATTTCTAACATAAACAATATTCTTTTATATACCTACAATTTTCTCTAACTTCATCTAAAAACAAATTCCTAAAAATTTAATAATTCTATATTGTTCCGAGTTTATACAGGGTGACCCAAAAAAACGGGAACTTTTTAACAATCCAATAAAACCAAGAGTGACGGAAGAAAAATATTTTATTCATAGTAATTAAAACCTTAAAACATGCCATTTAAGAAACAATGATGCAATTTTCATTTTTAAAAAATTACGTCCTGTAGATGGTGTCCTCCTGTACGAATGCATTCTTGAAATCTGCTGTTGAGATTCCTCATTGACTGCTGCAGCATCTCAGCTGGGTTACTGTGAATTTCATCTTGAATTCTAAATAGTGAAATGTTTACTTGCTCAAGGTCACTGTCTCGCAGTGTTGCCACTTGCTCATGTCTGGCAATACGCACTTCAAACATTCCCATTTTTGGGGGTTATCCTGTAGAATTGTTTTAACTTATTTAAGAAAGACATAATTTAAAAATCTGAAAACTAGTATAATGGAGCATTTAATTTTTTTCTTTTTATTTCAAAGTAGAAATTGGCTAGCATTGAAATAATAATTGTCAAATTAGGTCAACAAGGCACATTTAATTTATTAATATTACCAATGAATAGTGATTTATTAAATGTCATTTAGATGTGGCATAAGTCTAAAAGTGTGGAACACTCAGTGAGAATTGAACTCTCTACTCAATTGTAATTGATCTAGCGAAGCATGCTTGTTAACCATTACACCAAGTTGAAGTACTCTAATTACCAATGTATACATTAGTCATTTTTCTTTTTTTTAAAAAAAGCGTGATATTCTGAAGTTACATGAATGTTTTTAAATGATATATATATATATATTAATCATTTCACTCCAAGTAAGGCTATAAGTTCATTAAGATGCAAGTTGTAAAAATCAACAAATAGTAACAACAAATTGAAAAAAAAAGATTTACAGTTTAGTTTATGGTATTTTATTTGCATTATAATTATGGGAATAAGTTATACAGTATTCATATTTAGAGCATTATAAGACATTCTGACATTGAGTGATTGGTATGTGAGCATTTCTTTATTTTCATACATGTTTATTCATTTTCTACTCAAAATTAGTCAAATATATTTCTAAGCCTCTATATTCATTTTAGAAGTTTAAGATATATTTTCTAATTGTGGTTGGTACTGAGATTCTGATAATTTTTTTTTTTTTTAAATTGAAAAGAAAGTAAAAGTTCATAAAATTATCTTTTTTAGGTGGAATTACTTCGCCTCCGGTTAAGTGCAGATTTTCCTAAATTAGAAATAAAATCTGTTGATGGTTTTCAAGGCCGAGAAAAAGAGGCAGTTGTCATTTCTATGGTGAGGTCCAACAAAAAAGGTAAATTATCCTGATGTAAACTTTTCTAACTTGCTTCTTATTGCTTTTTCAAGCAAATAACAGCCTTTACAATTCATCTTTACTATTTTTCTGAATGCTTGTGATAACATTTAGAGAAAACCAAAGCGAAATATACAAAATGTTGAGATTGCTTAAAGTATAAAATGTAGTTAAAATGAACTTCTCATTGATAACGTATTTTATATACTATAAAATATAGTAGTTATATATGCCCAGGTTTAAAATATTGTTTTAATTTGTATGTGTATTTGTTTTTCTGTAACAAGTATAAATTATTTATTTTACTTGTAGGAGAAATTGGTTTCTTGGCTGAAAATCGTCGTATCAACGTTGCTATAACTCGTGCTAAACGACATCTGGCTATTGTCTGTGATAGTGAAACTCTTAACCATAATGACTTCCTGTGTTCGCTTATGGAGTACATGTCCAACAAGGGTTTTGTACACACTGCTCATGAATATATACAAGGCAAGTAAAGTCATTAAGAAAATTGTTTCTTCTAATGCAATAAAACTTTTCTCCTAGAAAGATGTATTTTTTTTTTTGTAAATGTTTATTTTTCTGTTTTTACAGAAGGTATCACAGGTGTAATACACTCTGACAAAACAGAGTTGCTGCATGAAATTGAGAAATGCAACAAGAAAAAGAAATCAACAGATAAAAAACAGAACAAAAGGTTTGTGTTTGGAAATTCAAATTTGTCTTTGTATTTGATAACTGCACTATAGAAAATAGCAAGTTTTTAACTATTAACAACTAGAGTAAAGGACTCATAATTTGATTGTTGTAAAGCTTTTAATCTTAAATATTTTTGGAGCTGATATCACATTACTTGGCAAAAATGATATTGGTTAGAAAATCCCCATAAGAATAATTTAGGCATGTAAATTATGAGAGGAAATAGTTCTCTGTCTGACTTATTTCTGAAAATATGACCAAATGGAATTTTTTTTTTAATTCCTTCTTTGTCAGCACTAAATTGTATTGGAGATGATTATAAAATGTCTACACTAAATTGTATTGGAGGTGATTATAAAATGTCAGCTAAGTTAAAAACCTATCTAATTTACTTTTGTATATAATCTAAAACATCAGTAGCTAAATATCAAAAGCCATAATTCCTTCTCTTATTGGGAAATAGTAAATTGAGGAGAGATTTAAATACTTGAAAGTTGGAACAGTTTGCTGTTAATGGAATAATTGTATTATTACATTTTAGTCTCCAGTTCACTATTGCAACAAAATTTGACTTTCTGTGAATAAACAAAAGTTAAATTGGAAGAAATTTCTTAAATCAGCTTTTCTCAATTAAATTGTAGTTTTGGAATTCAAGGGATCTTTTGAATCTAATAGGCTCATATTTTATGGGACTTCAAGAAAACATCTCTAATGTTATTTATTTTTACTTTATTAGCAAACAGCTAACAAAGAAAGAGAATGATGAAAAAAGGCAAAAAGAACTTCATCAGATCCTTACAGATTTTGCCAATAATTCCAGTGAGACAACCAAAGCATTTCCACCATCTCTTAACTCTTTTGAGAGGATGTTAGTTCATGAGGTACAGTTATTTGATTTATTTGTTTTTGTAGCAATAAAACATTAAAAAATATCAGAATTCCAGGGGAGAGGAAAAAAAATCAAATAAAAATAAATACCAGTATCTGAAAAGTTGACTGTTATCAACTAACAATTTTTTTTTTTTAAATAAATGAATGAATAAATATTGTATAGTATTACATTTCCAAATCAAATGTTTGGAAGAAACTGAAGCCAGTTTCATATATTAAATCAGTATTATGTATATTGTTACTACAGGATGTGGCAGAAATACTTCCCACATATTGGTAAGACATTAGCTAGATGAAGACACCATTGACACTGTCTTACCCTTATGTGAAAGGTATTTCTGCTTTACACTGTATTTTCTCTTTATATAAAAATTTCATAATGAAATATCTTTTCACAGGATGTTGCTTTTCTAGATACTAATTTTTATAGTCTAGAAATTTTTATAGTCTAGTCTAAAAAAATTAGTATCTAGAAAAGCAACATCCTATATATATATATATATATATATATATATATATTATAAATTAATTGATTTAAAATGTTTTTTTTTTTTCCTACACAGTTCCAACCATGTTTCAAAAATAGAAGCTAAAAACCCGAATTTAATTTTGCAATTAAATTAAAAGCATTAGTTCCATTTCATCTTCAAGCGAATCATATTTTAAATCAATTAATTTATAATATTAATGCTCTGTAAATTTACATTGAGCACTATTTTGTAAAAATAAAAATATCTATAAGAACACCAGATTTTATATCTTACTGTTCTTTCTTTTTATTTATATATATATATATATATATATATATATATATACACACACACACAGTTAACTGTCACACTGCACATCTAACTTCTCCTCCCCTCTTTTTATACCCTTACCAATTTCCCATCTGCTTCCGTTCACATACATCACTAATAATTCTTGATGACTATCAATAATATCCCCATGATAGTTTCACCTCCTTTTTACTTCAGTTGTCCTAAAATTGTTTATAGACCATTTCTATTTCCCATCTTTGAGTTTATCTATTGGATTATCCACTACATATAGGCATTAAATCTCCACCAAATGGGTTATGATATAATAATAAACAGTTAGATAATCTTTGGGCAAATTAAATATCATGTAATAACATGTTTCAGAAGATTAAATAAATTCTTAAATTTGGATGCATATGCGGATATATGGATGGATGGGTGTATGTATGTACGTAGATGTAGGTATGCGTGTGGAGACACGTGTGTCAGCCTTATATCCTATATATAATTATTATATACCATTCAGCATATCCAATCTTAAGTAATCAAATTTTACTGCCATCATAAGGCTTTCTAATATTTAACATATGGTACATACGTTAATATAGGAATTTAAGAGGTAGTTTTTAAATGGTCACTTACTGATACATATTAGATTATGAATATATGTCTAGGGAAATAATTAGTGATTATACATTCATACCAAACAATTTTAATTCATTCTCACTTTTGTCTTATAATTCCATCTGATTATGGTTAAGTTAATGTCCATGTTTTTCTAACTTAACTAAACTCCCCTTATTATCCCTCGAAAATGTTTCATCCTAACATAGGGTATTTGTAGATACATGTCGGCATGTGCATGGACGGAGATATCTAAGTGTTTGTAAGTATAGATAGCTATGCGAGTAGAGATTCTTAACATGGACAAATACATTATTCCCTGCAAATCTTTGAAAACACTCCCCCAAACTTTGAGCTCTAATATATGGTTGAGTTTAAAACACCAATAATTTCAAATGTATTTCTCTTTTATCTTACTAAAGTTACCTCTTCATTGTTTTTTCACATTTTCATTAATTTCTGTTGAATCAAACTTTGGCTGTGTGACCATTAGGATGTAGGTCAGCTCATCAGTTTCCTCCTCCCTCCATAATATAATACTTGTAACAGTGCCTTCTTCTCTCCATATCTCCCACTAAGTCCCCTATAATGCCCTCTCTCCAACTACAAAGTGATACCATATAAACAGTTTGAAAAATCCTGTGAATTTTAAAATTAAAATTCATAGGTGAAAATGGTCATTAACTGCTCTTTTGTGAGTCAGTTTTAACATATTTCAAATTCTGTTGTGTTATAGGACTCACCTGGATTATACCAATGAATTACTACCTCTGTGTGTGTGTGTGTGTGTGTGTGTGTGTGTGTGTGTGTGCGCGTGTAATTACTTTGTGCTGCCTAAGACTGTCGAATATGAATTACTGTATTTCATCTTCATTGTGATGTTTATTATTTTCACAGATTGCTGTGAAATTAGGCTTGAGTCATCTAAGTGAAGGAGATGGAGAAGACAGACACATAGTTGTTAGCAAGTCCAAGGGCGACAACCTTGCTAAATTACAAGCAATTACAGAAGAGAAGCTTGAAGATACCATAAATGCATTGAATATTGGTGAGGAAAATGACCTCACAGAAGAGTGTTCTAACAGTAACTCCCCCCCATCTTCTGGAAATCCACAGGCATCAGGTTCATCAACTTATTGTGTAGAAGAGAAGAAAGCCTCGACTACAGTTTGTATTGAAGCAAATTCTACATCTACTGTGCCATCTTCAAGGCCCAAGCAAAAGAAATATACAAAGACTCAAAATAAGCCAATTCATTTTGAGGATTTTGATTCTCCAGATGAAGAGAGAGAGAAATGTTCACACTGTATGCGAGACATTCTCAAAAACAACTTTCACCTTCACGTGATGCATTGTAGTCGCAGGGTGGCTGCTGCACAGAAAACTCTGCTCACTACCCAACCACTGCCTCAGCCATCTAAATCCAAAAATAAGCCTAAGAAAACTGATAAGATGGTGAAAGCATTAACTAATATTGATGCAGATGATTTTGATGGCCTTATTACTGCAGCAATGAACATTAACTCCAGGTGTGGTTTCAGCAAATGTAAACAGAAAACACAAGTGCTGGGAGTAGATTGTCAGTTCTGTCGTCTGCGATATTGCTTTTCTCATTCCCTTCCTGAGGTTCACGGCTGTGGGCATGAAGCCAAAGCTCATGCTCGTTCAACTCTTGTCAAAGAAGGTGTAGTCTATCGCGGTAGTGGAGTTCCCAGTAAATTACCAAATCCTACAAAGAAGGCTCAACTCCAAAAGAAACTGGACAAAAAGTTAACAAATATGGCTGACCAGCGAAAGTCTAAACCCAAAAAATCTTGAGTTTTTTGTTTTCCATTTTATTTATTGTATGCATTTGTAAAAAAAAAAAATTAAAATTTATTTTAAATTTTAACACGTTTGCATTCCTTTAATTTGTCCTTGTAATACATAAATAGAATTTATAGTATTTGTTTAATTGTTGACAGATTAATTTGAGAGGGAATCATCATTATCAAAGTCAAATTATAACAAATATTAACCAATTTATTTAGTCTCAAATATGCATAAAAATAGAATTTGTAAAATAACAAGAACACATTTTATTAGATGAACTTTTCATTGGACGGAATTTATTTTTCTGGCATCAAATTCAGTTGTCTGGAATTCAATATGAAATGAACTTTTAAATTTTCACTAAACTTAATTTGTTGTAAAGCAGCTTTCTTTTCATTGATCATGTTAGAAACATTAAACAAGTGTCAATTATATCCTTAAAGTTCAATTACATTTGCATTGCTAAATTTACTTGATACCATGGATAATTTTTTCATGAGTAGATAAATAAATTGTGTGCATACTTGAGAAGGCATTCAATTGTTCAATATTAGCAGCAGACAATTGTAGAACAGTTTCTTTTTATGCTTAAACATTTTCAAAATTTTATATTTATATAAATATTGAAATGTTTCAAAACTTAAAATAAATTAGACACCTAATAGTGTTCAAATATTTTAGTACAATTGAGAAATACTGTCAGGACAATGATTAACATGTATCACATTTTAAAAGTTTTTTTTTTTTAATGTAACTGTTGAATAGTATTACTCTCTGTGTGTTAAAGGTAAAATTTGCACATCCTTTTTATTTGCATTATTGCACAATGAAAATAATTTCTATAAAAGATTGAATATTCACTATGAAAAATAGATTTTAAAGAGCCTGGTGAAAGAAAGGCAAATCTTTTAAAAGGCTTTTTTTTTAATAACTGTATTCACAAGTTTTGTGACAACATCAAAAAGTAATTGGCTCCGTGTTGTTTTAAGGTGATTCTGCAGAAGTTTCAAAAAATGTGACTAATTTGCTGAGTTCATAATTGCTGAGCATTTCTTTCAAAGCTGGAATTTGATTCTTCACATTTTGGCCTTTAAACTTCCAAGTGTCTATATATAAATCAGTGATTATACTTATGAAGATGTCAAGGAAAGTAACAAGAACAAAAATTATAAATAAAATAGAAATGCAGATATCCTGAAAGAAAAAAAAAAAAACATTAAGTCAATGTTAAGTCTGAGTGTTCAAGTACAAGAAATAAAACTTGTTCAAAGGTTGTGAGTGGTACTCTCAAATATAAACAATATGTTATTAGATGATGACTAAAGTAGGCTTAATTTGAAAGAAAGAAACAATTTTATTTAGAAGTGTGTAGACCTAAAGGGTCTTAGATACTGTTTAAATAATTCTTATGCAAATCAATGTTTTCAAAATAAAATTGGTATTAATCAACTGTTATTAGTAAAATTTACAATAAGTTTCTCTGCATGCACACTTGAATGAAGTATGACACAAAGCTGTCTTTGAAGTGGTAATTCTTCACATGCCTGGAAGATGTGCCACCTGGAAGGGAATAGCTCCTGGAACTGAGCATATATCAATATTTTTTCTTTTTTTTTTAAATGGCAAGAGAAGGAACTGAAGCAGGAAAATCCAGGTTATTTATTTATACTTAAAGGATTGAGGTAGCCATCAAACAATTTTCATTGTATTTTTTTTTGTTTCTAAGACATAGTAGTACTGAACTACTGTTTATTCTCATTGATAGCAGTTCTTAATTTTTCTGTTGAGATATATCGACCCTGATTATACTACATCTCTTCGGAATAACATCTTTAATCACTGCCACATCCACTTGCAACCTTTTATCTTCTATATTTTTTGAAAGAATACAATGTTTCCATTAAACTCTTATTGTCTATAATATATATTTTCTAACTCAGAAAATTTGATATTCCTTTTATTATACTGACAATGTAAAAAACAGTTTCATTACAATCAAGCAATTCCAGATAAGATGATTACTTTCTAATTATTATTTCCAATATATAGGACAATGATTTTCCAAGTCCCTCAAAAAGTAATTTGTAAACACCTTTGAGAGTTGCCATCAGTGGGGTTAACAAAGGCTGCATTAGAAAAGCACTTGAAGGAATGAAATTTTGTTTTACATTTTCAGAAAAAAATATATGACTTCAAGCTACCATGGGTCACTCCATTGATTATGTTGTTTAATTTTAAGGTCATCAGGAGCTCAGTCAAATATCAGGTTTAGTATTTATACCTATGAAAGACCTATAGCTTTTCTTTTGTTTTAGATAATTCACTATTTTTTTAAGTACTTATTAACTGATAAAAAAAGATATTAATGCTTATTGTATTTCTTCTCTTTCTGCCCCCCCTCTCTCTCTCTCTCTATATATATATATATATATATATATATATATTAATTAATTGAATTCACCCCATGCAAGACAGTAAAGCCACTAAGATACAAGGAGTTACTGGGTGTGAAAGAATTAAAAAACAAACATTATTAAGGATCAAGAATAATAAAAGAGTAATCATTTAGACAGATAATGATTGACATTGATTTTCAAAAATTTAAATGCAAAGTTGGCTAGAAAGAAAATGTTAGCACAGAACTTATGCATACATCTAGCAGCCAATTCAACTGTAAAATGATGAGACTTTGTTGCCAATCTAGTACTGCACTTAAATTCATAAAGTCTAGGTACCATAGTGAAAAGCTCATCTGTACAATTACCATGTAAATATTTATAGAAAAGGCAAAAGGAAGCAACTTTACAGTGGTGGGAAAGTGACGGAAGCTGAGACTCAGTGACCAATTTTCTTAACAGCAAATGTAGGAATGGATTCAGTATAGTCTTTCCACTTCATGTTAACCTGAGAAGGTGCAATGAGCCACTCGCCTGGAGGTTAGCACAGCCATGCTGATGTAAGGCAGTAAGGGATCTCTCAGATGATTAATCAAAAGCAGTTTTGTTTTGGAGTCATTAGAATCAACAAGCCATTCTTTTCCAGTTAACAACAGACTGTGGGCCATTTTTTTTTTTTATATAAGCCGCCAATTTTACCTTATCGACTTGATCAGACTTACCATCAAGACAGGAGTAAATGGTTTTGTAATAAGTGTAAATACCAAGTTGAGAGCTGATGCCATCAGGAAGGTCATTAATGAAAATTAAGAATAGTGTAGGACTAAGGATAGATCCCTGAGAAACACCTACATTAGTACAAAAGGATCTAGAAGAGTGGCCTTTCAGGATAACTTTTACTTTGCAATTTGATAAAGACTGAATCAGTTCACAAATTCATCCAGAGACACCATAACTTTTCAATTTATGAAAAAGACCAGTATGCTAAACCCTATCAAACGTTTTTGACATGTCCAATGCAACAGGTTTAACTTCACCATTCTTATCTAGAGCATCATAATTTTTTTCTGCAAAAACCATTAATACATCAGCAGTTGACCTAGAGAAACAAATTCTATATTTCTTGTCTGAAAGAAGGCCCTGCAATGTGATATGCTTTAACTAATTCAGTGTTGTTTAGGGCCTCTAGTAGTTTGCCAAATAGAGGTACAAGGCTAACAGGCCAATAGTTGGAAGAGTTCTTAACAGATGACAATTTACAAGTGGGAAAACAAGTAATGCATCTATTAGTTTAGAAAGAACAGAAATCAGTTTGGGAGCACATTTCTTAAAGACTATTACAGGGATACCATCAGGTTATACGCTTTATGGAAATCCAGATAATAGCAGAAACCATGGGAGGGGTTCTATGCATATTACTCAACAGTGACTCAGTTTAAGTGGAAAGTTAGGCAAGGATAATCCAGATGAGTCAAGAGTAGAGTTTAAAGAGAATTTATGGGTAAAACATTCAGCTTTATCAACAAGATATTAACACCTCAAAGTGATTGAAGAGAGGAGGAATAGAAGACTTACTCTTATTTAATACACTATTACAGAGCTGCCAGTTTTATATATATATATATAGAGAGAGAGAGAGAGACTCCATTTATAGAATCATTATTGATTTGAAGTCCTTTTTAAGGACAAAATGCATAACATTTTTTTTTCATTTTGTCATTCAATTACGAAATATTGAAAGTTGATGCACACATAATATTGCCCTTATAACTGTTGGTATACGCAGAAAACATTACCGATATTGGTTAGTCAATAGCAATTTTTTGACATACATAATAAAATCTGACAGTGTATTGATTAACCAAATCATTTTTTTAAAACTAGATGTCTCTCAAGCTTTTCATAATTATTACAAGATACCAGTGGAACTAATCAAAGAAATAATATTGTATAAAATATTCATGTTCATCTACAAGAGAAAAACATGTTAAATTGTTTTGCAGAGACATTTTATAATACCTATGTAGAAAATGAAAGGCATATAGCATTGAATAGTATCAAATAGGCATGGATGTCATGTTGGTATCAATATTTAAAACAGAAAAGGCAGGCCATAAGTTCTGATGTAAAAAAATGTAAGAGAGAAAAACTAAAGGATATCATAAAGTCGATCAAGAAGAAAAGGTTGCTGTGCAAATTTTTCTTTAATGTCATCTGCATTGTCAATAATTTGTTTGTAATCTTCAGAAAGAAAGCTCAAATCTTTCTCATGCACTTGCAGTTCCTAAAAATAGATTATAAAAAAATAAATTATCTATTCATTTCATAGAATATTTAGCAACAAAATCAAAATTACAAATACTTTAGTTTTGTTTACTTGGTAAATCAAAATGACTAATATAAATAAAGTTTGTTTACTTTGAGAGCTTCAAGGATCTGTACCTTCCTTGCAAGTGACAACTGATTTTGTAACTTGGGATGCATCAAGTTCAATATGTAAGTAGCTGAATTTTCATCAATATCTGTAATACAACAAAAAAAAAATCATTACTGGATAATTTTGATAGTAAGGAAGAGAAAAACAACTGAAAACCTTTTTACTACTGTAACACTCATAATTTGTAATTAAAGGTCAGTGAATGACACTGCTTATCAAGTCATGTTAACAATGGCATACAAGAAATGAAAAAAAAAACTAACCAGACTCTCCAGCTTCTTTACTCATGTGTTGGAGTCATATTAATGATAGCTAAACATTTGTAAGTTTGGATTGTGAGCAGAACCTCCAAATTGATTACTCAATAGCATAGGAAAATAAATAGAATATCAAAGCAAAAATAGTAGATAGAGTTATTTAAATATTTAATAAAAAATACATTCTATTAATTACATCAAAATTTCATTACTTGAAATTGTCTACATTGAAATTATATCTGGAATCACTTTTGTTGTGACATTTACCTTAATGATATACACAGTGAAAAAGAATTGATAAATGGAGTAGAAAAAGAAAAGTGAAGAAACTTGATGTCTTTGCTAAGAACATTCAATTCTAGGAATTGTATAAAGTGCAATAGTCAATAGTTTTAAAACAAAAGCTCAATTTACCAAATAAACTATTTGATTTCCAATAAATTGCCTTCAGTATTTAAAATGTTATGAAAAACAATCCAGTAAACTTAGAATTTCTAGTATTACATGTACATATTAAATTTAAAAACTTTAGATATTATGTGATATAATCTTTTATTTGAAGATATATCAGTATATATTAATATGCCAATATAAATTTAGACAATGTAAATGCTTCAGTGAATAGGTTTTATTTAAAAAGTAAACATGGAAAAAGACTTGGAGGATACTGACCATATGTAATGTTTAAATGAATTTTCCTTTTGGTAGCTTCTGCTGTAAGAAAATCTTTCAATATGGAAATAGTGGAGATGTTGTCAGAACGGAAGATGACTTCACCTTTACTATAGATAAACAATAAATACAAAATATGTCAAAAAATAAAAGAAAACAAATATAACAAATACAGATTATTAACTAACTCTTAACAAGGCCATGATTAACATTTTGACACTGAGATCACCAGGGGTTGATCAAACAAAAAGAGAAAGAAAGAAGGAAGGAAGAGGAGAGGAGAGAGTTTATTAACTGGATGATAATTGTTGAAATTGCAGGAAGATGGACTGAAAAGAAAATTAGAAACAAAATGTGTTGAAAAATCATGTTTTGAAATAATTCAAACGAGAATCAAACCCAATTTTAACTAGACAGAATTCAGTAAGATTGAGCAAAACTAAGACCACCTGTCCTTCCCCACTTCCCACTGATAAGAAAGAGACCATTAAGGTATCCATGAAGATGTCTGATAAAATAAAAACATGTTAATGATAAAGAAACCAGGGCAGTCACCAAAATAAATAACATTCACCATTCCTCTGGACATAAAGGGCCAGAAAAAACATCTGTTTTGATTCATCCACCCAGAAGAAAAGTATTCCTACAGAGATAGAAACTGACTGGACATGTTCATCATCATAATTTTGGTGACATTTGTCCAGAGAAAATTTTATATCCAAACATTAATTTGGACTCCTTTGGATACACATGATAAGGAAAAATTAATTACTATTTTGAAGTGACTTTGGACAAAAAGGCTGGGTGGTCTGATCATAAAAAATATGCATAGACTGATAAAAGATAAACTTTCATTTTAAGGGGATTTTTCTTTCCTTTTCCATTTCTTGAGTGGTCTGGTCAATCAAGAGATCCCAACATGGAGCAAGATAAAGATTAATGACTGAAAATCCCTTTTATTTTCACTGTGCCATCTTGAAGTTGAATTTGTCACTCCAGCCCAGGGAGCAAACTGAAGTTGACTGCTGAGAAAGTGGGAGAAGGAAGAGAGAGAGAGAGAGAGATTGGCACCACCTATATGGAGTTATGTTGTGAGGTGTAAAGAGAGTTGGAGTTAAGGGGTGGCTTGATCCCTCTGACCACTCTCAAAAGGAGGCTGGACAACACTAAATTTGGAAAACCACTTGAGTAAATATATTTTTTATATATGGAAATTTAGAAAAGGTTGATGCTTAGGGTAGAAGACAACTGACCTATACCCTAATCAACTCCACCCCTGCCAGATGCAGAACTTCATATAAGCTGGAGATTTTTGACAACTGACACAGAAAAAAAGGAGAGAGACAGAGAGTTCCCACATTACTGTTACTGGAATCCGCATCGTTCACTGTACTTGAAAACCAGAACTTAAAAATTTAAGTTACTACTAAAACAAGCTGCAGACTCTGAAGGGGATCCCAGTCTCATTTGATTATAACAAATGGGAAGGGTTAAAACCACTGTATACAACAAATCCTATATAAACCAAATCATTACATTTTTAACCTGAGTTAATTCTTTATTCCAAAGGATTTTTGTTTTTTGTGTTGTTCCCAAATTGTCAAACTCTCTTCACTTCAGTTTGTTTTATCAGTGATCTTCTTACCCTATGAGATCAAAAACACATGTCAGAGAAGTGAATGGTTGTGAACAGACAAATGCCAGCTAGGTCAAGTGGAATTGTGCATACCATCACGATACCAGTGACAACGAGTCATGTACTATCAAGTGAAGAGTCAGCTAAATGGTAACCATAGTGGTCTGAAGGAACTTGAGGACCAACGACTGGGTGACATTATTGGTTGCTGCTGATAAGGGTCAACTAATGGACAATTTTTAAAAAGTCTGCCAAGTGTTCAGTCTGATCATCAGTCTGAAGATGACCAATGTGTTGGACTAAGGCATTGAACAGCCTCCCACCATCAAAATCAACAACTGTGATCTGGAGGTGGTTCATTACTTCACATACCTCAGCACCACCATTTCAGACACCCTCTCCCTAGATAATGAGGTCAACAGACGAAACGGAAAAGCTGCCAACATATTTGCCAGGCTGGCCTCAAGAGTCTAGGAGAACAGAAAGCTTACTATGAACACCAAAATTGCAGTCTATAGGGTATGTGTTGTCAGTGTGCTTCTCTATGGCAGCAAGACTTGGAGCTTCTACTTCAGACAGGAGCAATGACTCAACACCTTTCATCTTCACAGTCTGAGACCGATGCTGTAGTTCTCACCCATGCCCAGTTACCCAACCTAAACATTCTTCTCCAACTGAGTTGCTGATTTGGATATGTACACCATATGTCAGATAGGAGGATTCCAAAAGTCCTTCTGTACAGGGAACTGGCCACTGGCAAGCTGGCACAAGAGCAACCTCACCTTTGCTTCAAGTATGTCTGCAAAAAGGACATGAGGTTGATGGATATTGAGAGGTGGGAAGTCACCAAAGATCGTTGACGTTGGAGATGCAATTTACAATAAGGGTTAGAGCAAAGAGAAGAGAAACAGAGGCTTGCCATTGAGAAGAAGTATGCCGACATTGGGAGAGAATGTCTTCACATGCATTCGTTGCAATCGTGACTAACTTGTGTGTGGGCCTATACAGCTATAACAGATGCTGCACTGCCATCATTGAGTCATAACTTTTTGGTGCAGATTCATGGTCTCTCAAGTCCGATGGATGCCACAGATGAATATCCTTGTCTTTGTTACTGTTATCACAATGTTTTGCCCATTGTGTCTTCAAGCCCTTTTCCGACTTCTGTTGAGCTGAGTAACCTTTAGGAAGTTTTAAACTCAACAAACCTTTATTCAATCTGCAGAATAGAGTGTTCTTGTTTTGCTGTGTATGTCTAAAAAATAAATACAATATGGGAGCCATTAATAAAGAAAGAGAAACAATGGCACAGAGAGAGAGAGATATGCTTCACAGCAAGGCTCCAGAAAGAAAAGTGAAGTGATGGCAAAGGAGGTCAAGTGAAGTAGCAGCAACAGCAGGCTGGTGAAAAGAACATTAGGTTAAGGGTGCAAGTCCTAGGTTCATGATTCTGAATGGCCCAGTCAATGAAAATATTGGTCTGTGAATTTTCCCTATGCATGACTGAAAACAGGACAAGCAATAACTGAGCAGTACTAAAAATAATAAGACAAGATATCCCTAGACATGAACAGTAGAACAAGAACATTCTACTTTTGTAGATTAAGTAAAGGGTTCATTTTGAAATTCCCTGAATGTTACTCAGACTGAAATACACCTGAAAAAGGCTAGTGGGTTCAACAGCTGAAATATGATAATAGCAACAAAAATGAAGACATTAGTCTGAATGTAAATAAGTGTTTGCATCCCTAAAAAAAAATTAAGATTTATGATAGTGCTAAATATTAATAATGATGATATTCAGATTCTCCAGTAATCCAGATTAACTTTAGATGAAAGAATTATAATTCATCTTCACCAATTTTGTATTATTTATTTACACTATTTGCATCATTCAAATTGTTGTTCTCATCTTTATTGCCATATTCACAATGTTTCAGCCATTGTACACTCTGACTTTCTTCAGGTGATATACATTGGCATTTCAAACCAAACACTTTATTTGATCCACAGGGGTAGATTGTTCTAATTCCACGTGCCATGCCTTTTTCGGATATCTCAGTTTCCAATGTATATCATCTGAAGGCCAAAGCATACAATGGCTGAAATGTTGTGAATATGGAAATAAAGATGTGGACAACAGTCCAAATGATGTAAATATTTTAAATAGTTACAATAACTCATCTCAGAAATATAGACATATGTTGTATCATTTAGTTTAAGAGGATTTCAGATGATAAACAAGGAAATTCTCACCTGTATGAGCATTCAAGCATTGTTTGTTGGAATGAAGAAACAAAGTGGAAGGTGACAGTGTCTCCCATTGGCGGTTTCTCTGGGAATTCAGGTAAGCAGGATCTCACCCAAGAATGGGCTTCTGCCAGACTGAATTGTCCTTTCAACTTTAGAGAATTAAATGGCCTGGAAAAAAATGACTGTTCAGTAATAACTTCTGCTTGGATTAGTATTTTAAAAGATACAAAGGTTAATATGAAACTTAATATCTTCAGAGGAGAGCAACCTGTTACTTGATTTACATGAGATATTTAATATACGTGCCACTTATCAGATCAAAGTGCTATAAAAAAACATCTATCTACCCACAATTTATAAGAACCCTGAAGAAAAATTCTGGTTGAAAACTCTAAAATTCTATATAAATCACATTACTGGCAACATCTTGCGATAAGATAGGACCTGTATATTAAACATCTCACTCCCACTATCAACTTATTTAACAGTGGGAATGCTGTGTTGAAAGTTTTTTGCAAAATAGAAAGACATTCACTAGAGTTCCAGCCATGCTCAATACACAAAGGCTCAGAATAAATGCTCCTACTAGTATTTAAAACAAAAAAACATCTTAAACAGTCAAAACATGAAGAGAAATTAACGACGACTAAAGAAGTGGCTGAAAGTGCTTTGGACAATGGACAATATGGATAATTTTTGCACTTCTTACTGTAAGAATGCTCGAAAAACTAAGTAAAAAAGTAAGTAAAAAAGTAAGTAAAAAATTAATTAAATTTTCCTTGTCTGTCATAATTAACAAAAATATATATATATATATATATATATATATATATATATATATATATATATATATATAAAAAATAGGTTGTTTAATAAAACAATGACAAATGAAAAGGGTACCAATATGATCAGTATGATAAACATACTTTTATTAAATATTAACCACTGATAGAAATGAAGCATGGAGAGAAATGTTTTAGCTCGGAATTTTCAGACACATATATATATATATATATATATATATATATATATATATATATATATATATATATATATATATAAAAGATGAACACTTGTATTCAAGGATACCCATCTACTAGGACAGCTAGCCAATCCCTATTGCAGGCACCTGCTCTGTGGTTTATACTGTAACTATGCGGAGCAGACTTTAGTTCTTAGTCAGTTTCTTGGAATGAGTGTGTTATCTAGTGTGATCAACAATGAGAACAAGGCCAGCATGCTCAAGCCCTCGGTCACGATGACTTGTGACTTTGTGTTAGCATAGCTATCAACGGTTCCCAAGGGTTCCATTTACCCAATTTCACCCACAAGGCTTGAGTCAACCTGTGTTATGGTTTTCGGGCACTTTCCAAAGGTGCTGCATGCTGGGATTGACCCCTCCAGTCTGATAATATCAGGAAGTCTCCTTCCTTACAAATTGACCATGGTGAGATTCAAACCAGCGTATCATAGTCAGAATGTGAATGTTGTAACCACTTGGCCATGCGCCGATAATAAATTATATATATATATATATAGTCACTATAGCTCATCAATAGTACTTAGGATGAAAACAATTTTTTTAACAAACTTTAGGATACATACACTTTATTGTACCATATTCAGTGGAAGAATGTATCTAATTACAATATAATCTAACTACAATTGAAGAATATCTGTACATACTTATACCAAGATTATTTGACAAAAGTCTATTGTATGAAGACTAACATAATTATTTCTCTTTATCTGTAGAATGTTTCAAAATAAACTAATCACCCTTGGGCTTGTGGCTTGACAACTTATCTGACCTATTTTATTTAACCTACTGTCTTACATTTAATTTGAATACAAAACAAATATTTTGAATATGTTGTCTATCTTACATGACCTATAATTTATTCACATTTTACAAACAAAAAATACAGTGGGCTATAATTATTTAGTATTGTGGAGACCACTAGCAAATACAAATTTTTTCTTTAATTTTCATTGCATTTCTATCATAAAATAATATGAAAGACATTTCTTTGTAAAATCAGCAATATATTTACAGGAAACAATCACTGCACTATTACATTAAAAATAAAATTGCATAATTTTTATAAAAAATAAACACTTTACTTAAACATAAATTTAAAATACATAGGATATAGATATAGTAAATTCCTTGAATATCATGTAATTCTTTCCTTTTTGGTTTGTTCTAAATCAAGAAATATCTGTTTCTCAATAGAAATAGGAGCCAGTGAAAAAACATTTCTTGAGCCATTCTGCATCCTAAGAATGATTGAATTCTGTTCAATTTTAACATGCTTCTTTTATTTGCAACTGAAGCTGCAGGAATGGACAGGAAAAGTTGTATTTGTTTAACAATTTCAGACATAGTAGACAAGAAATTCAGTCTATGAAGTAACTATAAAAAGACATTGCTTGATTTGCACTTTTTAAAGTCATTGCCATTAAACAAAAAACCTTTTAATAAGGATTTGTAATCAAACATATTCATATATCAGTGGAAATTTTATTTTTTTAAGTAAAATTTTAATTTGTTTAGTAAGTAAATAGGACATTTTTTAATAAAATATGTAATGTCTATAATTATTTAATTAATGTAAATTGTTTTCTTTAATGTGATGAATGAAGGTTTTTTTATCATTTAAATGAAATAATTAGTATGACTAGTTAGTTATTTAGTTTTTTGGAAAACATTCTAAAGAAATTTATTAATAAAATATAAATAATATTTTAATAAATTTTATTTATAATAAAAGTAATTTTAAAAATGAAATAAATAATATTTTATTTAAGTAAATGGTATTAAAATCATAATTTATTACATTATTACTTATTACACATGAAATAATTTTTTTGTTACATTAAAGGAGATAATGCTAAAAGTATTAAACAATACTTATTCACACAAGAACCATCCTGATTGACTAAATGCAAAAATAAAAATAGGAAATAGTTGTTTATATTTACAGCTGTTTAGTAAATGATATTAACAGGCTTTGTATTACATTTTGTTCATAACAGGCTAAATTGAATGAATTAAATTTAGTCTCGTTATATTTTGTCCATGTAACCTTATTATGAAGTGCAAAATTTATTTAAGTTGTGAAGTTGTTACAGAGCTATATACCTTAAAAGATAATAAATTAAAACCATTAGAAATTTTAAAAATTAGTAATTTGAAAAAAAGTTGTTATCCTAACTCGTTATTAGAATGATGAACGGGGTTGAATATATCAGATTGAATTAAATTTGCCCAGGTTAGCCTGAACAATTCTTGTTTATATAACACTAGCTTAAAAGTTGTACTTTGTGTGAACTTTTAAGCTTGCTCCCGTGGAGGGCTAATGTGTGTGTATATGTGTGTGATGAGTTTACTATAGAGAAGCATTTAATCTGTTCATTTTACCCAAATCAACTGACATATTGACTTTTTTCTAAAATAATGTGAAACTCAAAAAGCTTTGATTTAATATCAGAAGAGTCACTTGAAAAAGTTTGTTATTCAGATTTCTTGTTACAAAAGATCATAAGTATGAGAAAGTAAATGAAATTAGAAATTGTACAATGGGAAGGAAGAAATAAAATATATATATATATATATATATATATATGTGAAAAATGATAATTCATGATGATATCACTTGAAATTGGTTAGCAAGCTTGTCTTTCAGACTGTTACTACCATAATAACTTTAATACTCATTGGGGACTCCACATTTCTGGACTTGTGCCACACTAAGTAAATATCAATAATAGAGTTGTTGGTGATAATTGATTATGAGAATTATATAAAAAATGAGGAATATTTTACCTGTTTGCATCAAAGGAGTGTGTCCTTAAGTGTAGTGAAAGGGGTTTAATGGCAAATTGCCTGACTTGGCAGATTCTAGGTTGTGTCCTGGGGGTGACATAAACTTGCAAAGTACCATACTGCCCTTCAACAGTACGAATCTTCAGGTCCAGTCGCGTTGTGCTTGCTTGGCATCGATATGTAGCCAAAAGGCAGTTGCCATTCTGAATAAAATCAAAATCATAGTTAACAGGATGTTGCAGTATCAAAATTATTTTTTGTAAATATTGTAGAATCATTTTGTTTTCTATTAAAACCTACCCTACAATAAATCATGATTAGTTATTAATACTCATATTATTATTGGCTTAGTAGTGTGTGTGTGTGTGTATATATATACACACACACACACTACTGTCAGAGGACACATATTTTCTATGACAATTTCTCAGACATTCAGGCCGGTAAATGTTGTTAATACTGTTTATTATAAACAGAGCATTTACTTAAATATTTGTATCTATAAAAAGAATGTATAAACATAAAAATGTTTTAAAATAATTGTCGGATTTTGTTCATTTCATAATATATATATATATATATATATATATACACACACACACATGTCAAGGAAAAGCTTAACACACCACATTAAGCTTTTCCTTGATGCATCTCATATTGCTCTGTATTCTATACATAGAGCTCTCTATGGATCTATCTTTTTAATATTTCATATTGTGAAAATACTATATATATATATATATATATATATATACATGAATTATTCACACAAAACTAATGCAAAGGTTAATGATTTAAATGGCGAGACATCCATCATCGTAAACAATTCAAATAGTATACAAAAACCTCCAGATCCGTTATGAATGAATTGATCCTTGTTTATATAAATTTCTGCCGTATTAGTTGTTATTTTTACTACAAGCTTTCGTCTGTTCCTACAGACATCTTCAGGTATAGAATAGATGTTGTTTTTTTTGTTTTTTCTCTTAGTAATAAGAGGACAATGAAAATATATGTGTTGTTGTATCCGAAAATGCTATTGAAAAAGAGTTATTGGTTTTGGAACGCGCCAAAGCAACGCTGAGTTTGATTTTAAATTTTTAAAGTTTTTTCTGGAGGTTTTTGTATACTATTTGAATTGTTTGCGATGATGGATGTCTCACCATTTAAATCATTAACCTTTGCATTAGTTTTGTGTGAATAATTCATGTATTTGTAAATTGATTGCACGTTTATTGTAATATATATATATATATATATATATATATTGTGATGAAAGCAGATAGCCTAAACATGCATATACGCATATATTAGGGTTAATTTCCACCTAGCAACAGAATAAAGGTCACATGGGAGTCTTATGACATTTTGGGAAGGCAGGTCAAAAGGTTGACTGACCCAATTACTCGTAGCGACAAATGTCTAGACAGGAGACTGATGTAAGCTGGAATTCGTGCCAAAACAAGACACGTGATAGTCAGAGATTCACTCGAGAATCAGTTGCTATCTTGACTTTGAAGAGGCAAGACCTGAAGCCGAAGTGCTAATAGTTTATGAACAGAAAGATAAGACACATTTGATAGTGATGGAACTTATCCAGTTCAACCCAGGCAACTCCGGACAAGAAATATAATAATAAGTATTCCTGTTCGAGAACCCCAAATTGAAGACGCAGAGAAATTTATATGCCGAGGATTCAGCCCGCGTTTAAAGAAAAAGGAAAACCAGAGAAGAAAGCATGTACCTCTGTTACAAGTTGAATTGTGTAAAGAAAAGGAAAAGGAAAACCAATGAAGAAAGCATATATCTCTATTACAAGTTGAATTGCGTAAAGAAAACGGATATCCAGAGAGGAAGAAAGTATATACCTCTGTTACAAGTTGAATTGTGTAAAGAAAGAAAAAGGAAAACCAGAGAAGAAAGTGTATACCTCTGTTATAAGCTGAATTGTGTAAAGAAGAAAGAAAGAAAGAAGAAAACCAAAGAGAGGAAGAAAGTGTACATCCCTGTTGCAGTGAGCCGGGTTTGGAAACCGAACTGTCTACAGAAGAAAAAGGAAGGAAAGAAAAAGGCAAAACAAAGAGAGGAAGAAAGTGTATACCTCTGTTACAGCCGGACAGTGTGTAAAATTGTGTTTGTGTTGAGAAAAGAAAAGGACAATGATAAAAAAAGAGAACTGAATATAAAAGATAAGTAATCATATTTTGGACCCGTAGTAGAAAGATATACATACATCCAAGAAAATTATGTTCTTGCAAACACCTTTCCACATGTAAAAACAATAATTGTAACTCCTATTCCATCTCTTTTGTGTATACGTTGGCTTCTGCCTTCAATTCATAGTAATTCATACTTATATTTTTGTATGTCGGGTTCAGTTGAATCCATTTGGTGTTAGGCAAATTTTGATATCCCAATGTAAGTTTTGAGATCTGGTCATCGGATGTTTTAACTCATACTTATCTGTTCTTTTATTTTGATATTTGTACATATTAAAATTCTTGTATCAAAATCGCTAAGCCTTATAGTTCATCCTTGTATTGTGGATCAGTGTTCGTGTTGAAAACGAAGCGAACAGTGGTCTTAAAAATATTTTTGTTTACCAATTGTCCATTGTCACGATCTGGGAGAGATAGCTTGTATTTCTCCACAGGTGTGAGAATGTATATATCTCCTAGTCGGTGCATGATCGCCTTTATAAACCCATTTGTCGACTGGGGCATATGACAATATATATATATATATATATATATATATATATATATATATATATATATATATATATATATATTTTGAGCAAGTTAGAATATCCAGGTCTTATATTCGAAGCAAACCTCATGCATACAGATAGAAAATAAATTTAACTACACAAAAACAGAAAGGGGCATAAGTTAAGGACATGTTTTCTCCTTGGATTTATTCAACCTCTACAGCAAGGCTATAATAAGGGAGCTGGAGACCCTACAGGATTTATGATCAGTGGACATGAACAATATAAGATATGCAGATGAGACTGTGTTGATACAGAAATAAAACTATAGGACCTCCTAGAGAGGGTAGTAAAAGAAAGTAAGAAAAAAGGACTAACCATCAACTGCAAGAAGACAGTATGATTGTCAGAAAAAGAAAGGCCCAAGTTCTGAGTTACAAATTGGAGATGCCAATATCAAGCAAGTACAGAAGTTTAAATACCTGGGAAGTGTTTTTTAATGGAGGATGGAAAATGTGCCACCTAAATCCAGACATGCATTGAACTAGAGTGAAAATGGTATTCCAAACACTAAGCCCTGAGAAATGCAAAAAATCTCATTAGAAACAAAAAAAAAAATAAATAAAATAAAAAAAAAAAAAAAAAGAGTGCTGAATTGCTATGTGATGTCCATCCACATATGGCAGTGAATGCTGGACAATCTCCCTATAGATGAGGAGAAAACTGGAGGCAACAGAAATGTAGTTCTACAAAAGGATACTGAGAATTCCATGGAGGGAACAAGTAAGCAATGAGGAATCAGGAAGAGAGCTGAAATTTCTTAGACACATAAAGAGGAAGGAAAGCTTGAAAAACTTATCCCTCAAGAGAGATAGAGAAAGGCAGTGAGCCACCTACCTGACGAGATGGTGTGAATGGATGGCAGATCGGGAGGGGGGGGTCTAACAAAGAGATAAAAACTGTTAATGGCCAAGGGGTAAGAAGTTTTGAATAGCTATGATTGTCCATGTCCTGAAGGAACATGGCACATAAAAGATGAAGCATATATATATATATATATATATATATATATATATACCACCAAAAGCAATTATACATAAATTTTATCTGCTGCTGTCGAGTACACATGTGTCTGATAACCTCTTAGTTTTAAAGTTAAATACAAACAGACACCTCATTTATTATAGATTTCTTATCCCAGAAATTTTGCATCATTTTTATCAACTTGAATTTTGAAGCAAGCTGTAGTAGGAAAATTCTGAAACTTTTTCTTTTTTAACTCTAAAACACTACCAACTATTATTATTTTCTGGAATCAGAAATGTTCAAGTTTTTATGCCATATTATTATATTATACTGGCAGCTCTGCATTTTGTTGCAGCCGTACACTTTTAATGGTTATTGCTTTGTTATTGTTTACATGTACATCAAGGTTTGACTGCTTACCACCATGATGCATCCGCGAACAGCTCCCACTGATCTCAGCAGGATGGTGCACAAGTCAATTCTGTGGCCCAAATCATCCCGTGGAGAGTGAGGGAATGTAAGTGCACCATCAAACGAATGATCGAAATTATGCTTGTGTGCTCAAAACACGAGGTATTACAAAGGTGGCGTAGGTGGTGACAGAGGCGTCTGAATTGGCAGTGGAGGTTGTGAACACCGGAGGCATAATTGTGGTCAGAGTGCTTAGATTATAGGCAGCGAAAAACACCAGCAATATGCATAGGATGTTTATTTTTACGTTTACGACCACTAACTGTTTGACGCTCATCTGACAGCCACTTCAGATACCCCAACCGCTAATCTTATACTTGTACAGGGATGATTGAATTGTGCATTTTATAGTCCAGCTGTACACTTTCAATGTTTATTATCTTGTTATCGTTTATACGCACATTGAACTTTGACCTCTTACCACCAATAAGTGTCTGAGACTCAACTACTTCCACTATATGCTCACTTATCTGAAGTCATTCTTTGGCCTATAGAAGCTGAAAAAGCAGAACCAAGGTGAAGATTATGGTTTCACTTAGTATTTCCATGCTAGCTTGAAAACTCTGATGCCGGCTTTCACTCAGGAAAAAAATCTCAGTGGCACATTTCTCAACAGGATGATTCAAAATATCATTCTAAGTGGGATCATAAACAAAAACACAAAATAAGTCCCGGTCAGTGCACTGATAACAGAAAGATGTTCTGTCAATAGGGAGTTCTTGACTGATGGGAGAGTGGAAAAAGATATTTATAGACACTATCATGTGGTCAGAATTGTCAAGAGGACAGAGCTGCAGAGCACAACATGAGTCTGGGGAGGAGGTAAAGAAAAGATGAAGTTGAGAAGCATGTCAGAATTACTGGGGAAATGCATGGAGAAGTCTACTATTTAAGTGAGAGATTGAGCACTTGAGAAGTTCAAAAACTAGATGCCAGTAAGGTCAGTGACATTAGAGAGATGAAACCCCTTGACATAATGGCAGTGAAGTTAGCAAACACAAAGATACTTGCAGACGAGTGTAGGGATGAGGCCTTCTCTATACTATCAAAAATTCTATCTAGCAAGCAACAATTATGAGGTGAAGCAGAATGATAAAGGAAAAAGAGACAACCAACTGAGTTTAATAATGAAATAAAGGAAGAAGATATCAGTTGAAGGCAAAATTAAACTGATATTTTCATGGTCTAGTGTCAATGATTTATCGATTTCAAAGAATTATGAAAATAAAAATAAGTCTTACCTCAGGTTGACAAGCACTGAAGCTAACAACTGCTGAATTTTTATCAACATCCATCATATGAATAACAACATCACTCTAAAAACAAAAGGATTGTAAAGATTTATTAAGTGTTTTTTGAAGATTTGAATAAAAACATTAATAATCATAAATCAAAATCTTATTTCTGCTAATATTAAACTATTATTATTTTTTATGTTGTTACCATAAAGATAAAAACACCCAGAGGAAGTCAGAGGCTATCTACAGAATACAGACTGATACATTTTGCAAATATGAAAACTGACATGTGTAAAGATATCTTTTCATTTCACAAATATGTTTTACTTTTCTTGAATCATTCAATGTACAAGCTAAAATAAGTTCAACCTATGAGACACAAAATATATCTTTTTACCTGTATAAGGATGTTGTCAATAGGTGATTGCAACTCAACACTTAGTAAGTAGCAGGCTTCGTCACCATTCAGTACAAATCTGGTATTCATATGAAAGTTATTAATAGATGACACTGAACATTTATCCAAACCAGAGTTTTGGAATTTCTCTCGTTGTTGTAAAACATTTTTGTGGATCTCCTCCAATTCCTGTCTGAGAATTAAACAAAATCCATGCACAGGTAGAAACACACAAAATAGTCATTTCCATCAATAGAAAAGCAATGGTAAAACAGATACAATGCTGATACACATAAAAGTATTTGGATTAGCTTCAGTGTAAAATAATGTACAGGTTGCATACAAACTATAAGTAACAAAACAGTAAGATTTAGTTTTTATATTAAGTGGATACAAAAGTTTACAGCATTTCTTTGAACAAAATATTTATTAGTCAGTCACCAAAGTATTCGTCCTGGCTTTCAATGACTTTATATGATCTTCCAGGTAAATCATATATGTTATCATAAAAAGAATCTCATTCTGGTTTTTGTTTTGATGAATTTATTGATATCTTGAACTTGGAGCTGCTAACCAGGAAACAGATATTGGATGGGGTGAAACAAATGATAGACTAAATGGAACAGATCTGGAGAAAGAACTTTCTATTATAGACCCACTGTTATTTGTTGTGTTATTTGCAACAAAAAGACAGGAATAGCATAGTCATGTAGCAAAATCATCAAATGATTTCTTTCCCCAGAAAAAGTTTTTTTTCAATGCATCATTCAAACATGCCAATTGCTTATTACACAGTAACACAATATTCAAATTTCAGCAACTTTTGTAATAAAAAGTTCTCTTTGAATCCTGTCAAACTCAGAGAACTCCCTCACTCCAGTAGATTTCAATTAAAATACATTTTTTTTTTCATTTCAATGACAATCTAGTCCAAAAATGTCTCCTCTCATGCACAATGTACATAAAAAGAAAGTGTTTAAATGCTAACTGATAATTGTTTTCTTAATTTCAGATGAAACCCATTTTCCAAGCTTTTGAAATTTCCTTAAAGATTGTAAGCAATATACTACAGCTAGCTGATTGTGTAAACAATAAATAGATGATTTAACTTGAAAGACACTTCTAAAATTCCCCTAACATTTTTATAGATGATGCTGGGAACTTTTAAACTTTATTAATTAAAATTATTCTTTTCCAAAACTTATACTTTGTTAAATATATGGAAAAATTCTCCTTTATTTTTATCAATAACATGTACCTAATGAAATGCTGATTAATTACACAATAATTTTCAATCTTTATTGAGATATAGCCATTGATTTTACAAAACTCTTCTTGCTAAAATACCAAATGAGACTTAATGATATACAAAACATTACATACCAAAAAGAATATTTTATAATCATCAATACTAGATACTTGGGACAAAAACATGAAGTAAAACATTTTTTCTATAAAGTACATATACAGCATCAAACATAAAATACACACAAAGGTGTTAATAACCAACATGTATAAAAATATTCAGAATATCAACTAAATACAAGTAAAACAAGAACCTTTAGAATCAGTATTAAGAAAGCAACCAAAAGTAGAGAACACAAAGAGATTATCATAAAAAACATGACTAAATGTCAACCAAATATTAGATACAAAGAAGATGCAATGGAATTTATTTAATATGTTGGTTCCTACATGACTCACAAATGGTTTGTGCTTATATTTCATGAAATTATTTTGAAGGATACAATTGTTTTATGTGCATGACTGTGGGATATTAAGATATAAAGACCCTTTCGTTGTTTTCACTGTTTCTGTTGCTTAACTTACAAATATATTTTATGCATAAGAATATGCTTTATAAAATAAATAAAAACTTATTGAGGAATAATGTGAAAAATAAAATGGAAACAAGAAATTTATAAAACTAAATTTATATACCTAAAATTTGGAAATTTTCCAATTTAAATGTGACCCACAAGTCAAGGCAAACAATAAGAATAAATGCATCCTTATCCTGGTTTTATACTAAAATTACTTTTACAATATCTATGACTAATACTTAACACAATTCTTTTATGAGAAAAGTAAATTTTTAGACTAATAATATGACTAATGGAATCCTGGAAAATATTTATGATTTGAGGCTCAACATGTTTAAAGTGAAAACAAAAATATTAAAAAATTCATAGAAAATGTTTTGGATATTTTGTTTATGTGATTAATCATACATTATTAATAGAGATTTTGGAAGTATGTAAAATACATAAATATGCAGTGTTCACTTTAAATATAGACACATTAAAACATTTCAAGCTATTCAAAGCTACTATATTTCAGAAAATTTATATTCTATCTTAAATACTTAGAAATAATGACAAACTTCTAATTAAACCATTTTTATAACAATCAGTTAAATAGAGAGTATTTATGAAGACCAAACATAATTTGAATCTTGGATAAAATTATAAAATTTATCAATATAAAATTTACAAGCATAAATGTAATAAATATTAAAAAGTTTCCTTAGAAATCTTTCTCTTGCTGATAAGACTGAATTAAATTTAGCTCAGAGTTTATTCAGTAATTCTGCTTTAAAAAATAAAATATCTTTGTCAAATACAACAGGAGATAAGAAAATAGAAAAACAGTAAACTTGATGTTTAGAGATATCAAAGTAGGACTTTGAACCTACTTGAGGTCAGACATTTTGATTTTAGTAGCTTGGTCAAGTGCTTCTGTGGCTATCCCTCCTCGTTTGGTCAGTGGCTCAGTGGTCAGTCCTATCACCCAGCCTACATGTAGGGGTGGTGAGAAGCATGCAATGAAGTAAGCAGATAGACAATGGTTAACCAGCCATGTGCAACAGGGAAAGCAATTACTAAAAAGTAAGGAATGTATCAAAGAGCAGGCAAAAATATAGATTATTATTAAAAATGCTAAGAGTTTTTTGTGATAAGATATTCTGCATCAGTAAAATATTTTTTAATCATTCGTGTACATTCTGAAATACATTTATCTGAAAATATTTCAATTTATTCTCTCTTAAGTAGCCATTTTCGTTTATAAAAATTAACTGTTTTAGCAGATAATGAGTAATGTCGTCCTAATTTGCTACATTAAACAAGCAGTAAAGTGTTAAAAAAAGTCATCTGCCATTTGGTTAGACAATAAAAGGCAACAATGACAACTTTAAGAATATTATTATTTAACATTGGCATTGATTTTCCCATTCTTAATATTTTAATTATCTTTTGTTCTTTCTAGGAAAGTTCTATTATTTCAGGTATTGTCATTCCCTTGAATTTTTCATGTTTTAAAGAAAGTCAGAAAGAAAAATCCTATTCTGAACAGCAGATATGTTGAAAATAAAAAAAAATGTTTTATTGATGAAAAATATTAAGAGAAAAAGTTAAAAAAAAATTATGCAAGTGTCCTCATACATACAGGGGGATGCTGAAAAGTTCTCAGCTCAACCAAAAAAACTATCCCCCAAAATTTTTGATGCTTGATCATTTGGTCAAATTTAGGAAGTGGGTCAGACTGAGAACTTTTCAGTACAACTTTTACAGATAAACAATAGTACAATTTAACATTTGCTTTAATTCCAGCATACTCATCCTTTCTTGTCAAGGATATTTTTAATTAATAAATGACATTAAACCTCTCATATGAAAACAAATAAAAGCTTTTGAGGATGCACAAACCAATTTATGTACATTTCTGTTCAAATATTTGAGAGTTTTTGTGTGATTTTCAGATTTACAATATTATCATTCTTTATTGTATATAGATTTATTTGAACTGGTATCCTCATCTTGGTCAAAATGAGAACACCAGTTTGAATAAATCAGTATAAAATATTTAAATGTTTTGCCATTTTAGCTAAATGTTATTTAATAATTGAATTTTAAGTTTTTAATAGAAAATCTCATCTGGAAGTTATACTTTATAATAGCAATATACATTGCAGAATTTCTCAGATAAAAAGTGACCATTTACTGTTATGAATTATTATTTCATGCCAAGCTGTAGTAATAAAAATGATAAGTGATTAGTAATAAGAATTTATTAAAACCATGATGCTAGAAGAAAAACTTTATTGGTACAATCCTATAAAGTCAAATGCTCTTTAAAATATGTCATATTTAAATAATCAACTCAATTCTACAGAATTCAGAAAATAGAGTAACAATGTGATGTTTACTATGTAGATGTTGTTAATAAAAAATACCCCGGGAAATCCTAACACAGCTGTAGAGCAAGATATAGGACCAGCTCTGAAATTCCCAAACTAAAGCTTATAAAAACATACTTGCAGTCATCCATGATTCAAGACAGATTAAATTCTTTGGCTTTTGTCAATAGAAAATGTTCTTGTAAAGAAGATATGTGTAGAAAGCACCATGAAAATGTGTTGGAATGTGTCACGAAAAAATAAATGATTTTGTCTCTTTCTCTCCTGCTGTCATAGCGACGGGCACAGTCTCCACTTCTGAGACAAAAACTACCCTCCTTCTCATTCCAGCCCTTTACATAGAGCTTGGTAACTCGGCTATGCAAAACACCAACAAGCCAGCTACCAATCACAGTTCCTGAGCATGCCAGTCAAGTTGACCGACCAATTTATTACACGCCCCCCTGATCTTAAGATCACAAAGCTTCTCAGTTCGAGAGATGGTCGCATCTGTCTGGTGACTGCGTCTGCATATATACAACTTGCACGCTTGACATATTGGGATGACCATACATGCATGAACTTGCTTGCTCTGAGGTGGCAGATTTCCAGATTCATCCCATATCTCGCTGTCATGATCGCACACCATGCAACTCGGGGCAGGCCTCTTCTGCCGGGCACTCCTTCTCAACGGGATAACAGGGTCCTCATCCTTGGATGAACTCTCATCCGTTGAGCTGCCATCTGCCTCTAGACAGCTAGCCACGTTGACGTCCACAGGTAGAGTACTGATCTTTGAGGCAAAACTCAGTGGATCCGACTTTGAATACACCACTCGCGCACCATCTTCAGAGTCACTTTCATCATCTGATGACGGTTTTAACCCTACAACTGGCTGCAAGTCTTTAACATGATGATGCACGCCATCGACCCATACTGACTGTGGGCTGATAATCTCAGTAACATGCCCCATTCTAAGCTTGTCCGTATACTTGCTGTGTGGGGTCTTAATCCACACTACGTCACCAATTCTGTATTTTGCTTGTGTGTCGCTTAGAGCCATTGTGATGTCAATGCCTCGCAGCCATAAGTGATAGGCGTGCACCATGTTAGCCGGTGCTGTTGTAGGCGAAACACCGTCTTTAAGCGTCGCATTATACCAATAGACTGCTTCGGGGATTGAACATCGCTTCCTGGCTGCAATTACTTTTATAGACTGTTGGCTCCTTTCTATTATGCAGTTTCCAGCTGGCACGTAGGCACACCAAAACCGAAGCCACACACCCCACTTCCTTAACAACTGCGAGAATTGCTCTGAAGAAAACACTGCACCATTATCTGTCAATATTTCTGCAGGTGGCCCCTGGTCATAAAAGATGAACTCCAATTGACGTATTATGCTGGCAGTGTCCTGCCGATGCAGTAGTCACCAAATGATGAAGCGAGAGGGTGCACAGTCAATAATAGTCAAATAGAGCTGGCTGCCAACATGCATAACATCTATCCCCAGCCTGTTCCAAACATGTCTAGGCAATCCAGACATGAAGGCACAAGTCATCCATTCTTCAAGAAGCGGTGCAATTCGTATGGCAAGCTTCTTTAATTCCGCCACATATACGTCTATAAAGTTATTCAATTCCCTGTAGTCCATGACCGGTCTCACTTTCCCCTTATTCTCTTGCACTATTGCCATCAACAGAATCAGTCCTTGAGACGTCCCTAGCTCCTCCTTGGGGTACGGTGCAAGCCAGCCATTTGCTATCCAAAGCTGCAATTCATTTTCGTATTCACTCCTGATATGCTCTGGAACCGGGTACTCTGCTATTTTATTTTTCAGTGGTGCAGGCGTTCGGCCACCCGCCTACTTCCACGTTGCCGTCCATACACGTCTGTGCTGGTCGAAAGTTGCACTGAAGTCAGGTTCGTTAATCTTCAAAGCAGCACAGATGGGCGGATCAGAAAACTCGACTTTGCCCGCCTATAAAATACAATAAAATTGACCTTGCTAACCGAAACACTCCTCTGTGGCTCTCTCTCTCTCTATATATATATATATATATATATATATATATATATGCTTTGAGGTTACATGGAATTAATTGGAGTAAACTCCATACACTACAACCAAAAATACTTGAAATTATTGAAAAAGACAATAACTCAAAACACAAGAATTATGATGTGAATAAATCAATTCATAAAAGATTTAAAGGATATTTCTGATAAGATTCATGTTGATATTTAATTTCCTAAATGTGTTAAAATGTATCCCAAAACTAGTTTAAGTGAGAAAGCAACCATGAATTAGTAGTTATTGCTTGAATACCAACATTTGCAATACTTGACTACAAAATTTACCTCAGCGCATTCAATTGCGCTCGTCCCTGATTGGTCAATTCCAGACCATCTGGGCCTTTATGTTTTTTCAGCTTCTTTGTAGTCAAACCTGATACAATTCCTATAAAGAAAGATGTTAGTCAATATTTGGATTTCTTCAAAATAAAAAACACTTTACTTAGATGACCATATGAGTACAATAAATAACAAGTGGCAAAAAAAGGTTAATTTTTAGGGACATTTTTAAATGTAGAAAATTGTCATAAAATATTGCTATTCACAGCCAGGTGAATTTCAAAGTATGGTTTATTGACCTATTATTTAAGTTAGAAATACACCAAAATTTTATCAAGTAACACTCCAAATTTTGTTACCAGGTGATGTACCAAGTGCAATTCATGTTTCATCAAAATTCTACATTATCATCAGATAGAAAACTTAATAAAAATATAAATTTTATAGAAGAAAATATGAGAATATAACAGAATTTGTTTACATGATTATAAATTTTAAAACAAATTCTTTTACTGTTTTCAATCCAAAAGGCAATGTGTCAAGAACAATAATAATAATCATCAAAACCAATTCATTAAAAGAAAATACAGAAAATAAATAACAACAAAGTAATGAAACAAAGAGGAGTTGAAAAAATGTCATTAATGTTTAATATTGAAACCAAATAATGTATAACCACCACTAAAGAATTAGAAATAAACTTTGTTTTGTTATAAATTTTTCAATTTCTATCAAGCTTGGCTGAATAAATAAATTAAATTTTAATAAATTTTTAAATGCATTATTAAGCTAAATTACATATTTCCTTTTTTAGTAGCAAAATGTCTTCTGCATATACAAATTATATAGTAAAAGTGTAGACTTTGTATGCAGTTCATTTTGCCTGCCTATATATATTCAACCAAATCAGGCACCTCCAGGCGGTGTAATGGTTAGTAAGCTTGTCTCACTAGAACAATTACTACTGAGTAGTGCATTCGATCCTCACTGGGTACCCCATACTTTCAGCCTTGTGCCACATCTAAGCTACACTTGGAAAATAACTATATTCAACCAAATCACAATGTAAGCAAAATAACCCTTTGATAATATGAATTAGCTAACAGTCAGATTTATAGAGAGAGATTCACAAGTAAACTTCTACCTAAAAACTTATAAATTGATTTTTCAATTATTAAACAGGTTAATTAAGCTAAAAACTAGATTGTAATCACAAATGCAATTATCGGTCTAAACACATTTAATCTCTACTTTAACGAAATACTAAGCAATTGTAAACGTTACATTCTGAAGAAACTTTTAATAAAAAATTAGCATCATCATTCTACACTATCTGTACAAAGATAATTTTATAGTAGAGATTTTATATTGCTATCTGGTAGGTCTAGTAATTGTAATGTTGGTACATCCCAGTGAGATTTAAGTGGAGTTACAGATCCTCAGCAATTAATATCTGACTTAAATTTTTACCTAAAATTAATAATAGTACAATTTAGCTTCCTGAGAAATAATAATAAAAACACATAGTAAAATATGAAATACTAAGAACTAACCTGGGTAAGTAGAACACACTATTTCTGGATATCCTGGTGATCCAACAATGCCACCTTGAATTGATGTGATACTTTCATTGCAAGTCTGAAGGAGAATTTCAGTTAAAACAAATAAAAATTTAAGAAATTACTCATTATTTTAAAGTAAACTTAACCATAAAGATTCTAAAATCTCTTTTCTAAATCAAACAAAACTTTTAAAAGATACAAATGAAAAAATAAAAATCGTTATTTCTGGATTTCTGTAAATGCTTAATTCACTTTACATGGCACATTTTTTATAAGATAGATCACTGCTAACTAGCATTAAAAATCAAACATCATAGTGTAAGGAATTCAAATGCAGTCCAAACGGACCTTATAGCTAGTCTACAAACTTTTTTACTGTAAAAATCTAAGCATTTTTATCATTTAACTTTAAAAATCATGCTCATTTTAGCACTATTTTAAACAGATATTATGTTTATATATTACTTACATGTGCATATTTATGAAAAGGCTGAGCTGACTCATCAAAGCTGTAAATATCAACAAGCCCATCATCTCTGCCAACAAGAAGATCCATTACTCCATCACCTGTGATGTCAAACATATCTAAGCAGGTAACACCTGAAAATTGAAAATATAATAAAAATTAGGTCTTCTTTGATAAAGCTAATTTGATGCATAGAATATAAAAAAGTTATATAAAAAGGTGAAATATTATTTCTTAAATTCCAAGAAAGCAATTTGTATTGTTTGTGAAATATTTTAACACCTCATTTCACATAAATGATTTTCACATAATCAAGTGATATCTTTCACTGAGTTTTTGTAAAGAAATAATTTTCAAAAGTATTAATTCAATTCTGCTTATGAATTTTGAGGGATTCCAGAAGTATCTCTTCTACTAGACAGATTATTATAAGAAATCAAATTTCAGATATGATATTGGATATTATACACTGATTTGTTTAGATTAGTGTTCACATCTTGGTTGCTGTTGTCTCATCTTGGTAATCATACCTCCTGGCTTTCTTCAAGTTTCTGTCATAGTTGATAATCTTCCAGGAATTTCAAACTGACTTTTTTATTCATTCCACAGAGGTAGACTGTTCTCAGTCAACTGTCTATTCTAGAGGATATGTTATATTAGTTAATTCTCTCTAGTCAATCCATTCTTGTGATGTTGCATGTCTCTTCTATGGAATCAGAGTGTTACCAGATGAATGGTGTTTCCATTCTTAAGGGACAAGTAAATCCCTAAAGAGGCTTAGCAGTGGACCTGTTTGGATGGCACAGAACTGAGAAGAAGAGTGAAAGAGGTTTTCACTTCTCTTAGAGTGCAATGAAGTGCAACAGAGAAAGAGAACTAATTAAAAAAGGGTAATTAGGCTGAAGTTGATATTCTCAGGCAAATCTAAATTGAGGATTTCTAGTAAGATTGAGCGCAACTAGTGAACCTCTCTACCTACCTGTTACCTATAGGCATGATCTTTGACAAGTGAATGATTCCAAGAAAAAAAGGATCCCTTGCTATAGGTAGTTTCCTTAAATTACCAACCACTTAAAATTACATTGATTTTAGAAATTCTTTTTCTCAAGAAAAATAATTTTGGGAGAAAATATTCTAAACCAAAAACCAATCAGGCGGCATGTATTTTGAGAGGAATTGGTGAACAAAGAAAACCTTTTTAAAAAGGAAATTAATGAGTGGATTCCAATGATCCATCATCATTCATACTACTGTATAAATCATAATGAGAAGTCCATAAAAAGTAGATATTTTGAGTTGCAAAGCAGTGATTAATTTTAGAGAGAGAAAGATCCTAGTTGGCATTTCAAGCAGATAAAAGAAAGACACAACTGTTAATTTCTCAATGATGTGACCAGATTAGAATAAACAGACAGACCCGTTCTCAACATTTCTCTCATCATACATATAGTAGAATTGTTAGAAATCTGATTGCTTTGATCAAGTCAAACAAATACTGGGATGGAAAAATATATTTAAATTTGTCATTTGTAGAAAAAAATAAATAAAACTGACATCAAATGCTTTGACCTTTTTGTTATACCATTTTATGTCCTACTCCAATAATCAACTCTGGTCATATAACACTTTTATTCTAGCTTGAGACTGCTGATGTTTCGACATCTCATTAGACAATTTCTTCAAGATCAAGATAATACAACATGAGAAGAGGGTCAATGTCTAAAGTAGTAACCTTCTGTGCTCATCAGGTCATCCTTAAGATGACTACTAGAAGACCAAAGTGGGGATAGTGTCACAAGAGTATGACATTTTTTTTGTATTCTGAACCAGAAATTGAAATCATGACCATGAAGCAATCCAATTGCTTAACTAGCACTTATCCACAAGGCCATATGTCCTGCAAGATGATTCAGTAGTTGAAACATGGAGGCTTAAACCTAATATTGCATGTTTTTAAATGAACTATGGAATCTTTGAGCCTTAACATTAATGTTCTTTATTTCTGATAACAGAAAACATCATGCTACAAATTATGACAAATATTTTGAAGAAGGTCTAAGAGTAGAACAGACAAAATGCAACAATAACACCCAAGATATGGATACTACTGTATAAATCATTGCATAATAATGATAATTCCTCATCTCAAATAGTAAAAGTTGATATTGGATAAATTGATCTGTGATTGGACAATAAACTGCCAAGAAAAGCCGTATGGTGTGCATTTCAGAAGATGGAAAAAGTTGTAGCTGATGGAAGGTACACAAGTCGATACCCGATCAGTATCAGCTGGGTTACCGTGAAGAGAGGGTATGATGTTGAAAGACCCAAAACCCCTAATGAACCTTGGCTAGAAACATCACTGATGATGTGTACTAAAGCATTTAATAGATATATTTTACGAAATCCTCAAGGAAATATTGAGTTTTCTATTTGATTATATTTCACTAAAAGAATTAAATCTTACTTTTGAAAGTTCATACATCTCTGGTTATATTTACAGATTTTTACAATGTATTAATAAAATATAGAAATTATACTTTTTAAAACATGAAAGAGTAAATATGACAATGATATAATCCTATCCAAATTTTTTTTAAAAACTTGCTTTATTGAAATAAATATAAAAAACATAATAATCACATATATGTATTTTTATGGAAAGTTTTGTATTTATAAATTAATCTTAATCAAATAATTTATACTGTTTTTATAAATATTTATAATTCCCCTTTCCCTGAATAATCAAATTTCTAACTCATACATAACATATACTCAGAACAACGTTCATTAATCCAAAATGTCTGGGGATTTAACTGTCATCATTATTGTAAACTAATATGTATACAATAGCTCCTGTTTCTATGACTTTACACAACAATACTTTACATAGTATAAGAATATCTCCTTCACTATAGCGGTATTAAAGATTCTTGTAATATCAAACAATAATCTTAAGGTTAAAAGTGAAAATTTAATTTTTAAAGAAAAATTTGACTGCAAAGAAAATCACTTACCTCCGTTTCTTTTTAAATTTTCTATCTTCCATCTTTGAACTTCCTCAGAACTAAAATAAAAATATCAGATTAATAAATAACTTACAAATTAACCACTAAATGAAGTTAAAGCTATCTAAGAAAACTCAAACTATCTGTGCAATATCTAAAAATATAAGCTTGAACATATTTGAGGATTAGCATAATGTCTTCTATTGTCAGTTTCATCAGGTAATTGAGGTTAATTTTATATAATTCTGAATAAGGAAAAATTTTGAATAAATGTTTATTTAGCTTAAAGTTAAAAGAAATATTTCTATTTTGTTAATCTAACAGTAATAAGAAAACAAAGTATAAAAATGATAGTAGTGTTGAAAACAGTAACTACAGAGGGAACTATGGAGTGACAATAACATCATCAGAAGTATAAGATAATGGAGTAACATTTCTATAATTTTAGATGATTGAGAAAGCGATTAGGGTAAATTTTTTTTTTTTTACATGAACTCTAAATTTTCTCAAGACATTTTTTAAGCATGCTACCAAGCACATAAAATAAAATCACATAAAAGATTTTTGAAGACAAATCAATCTGTGAAATATTTGATCATTAACCATTTGGTTACTTCTAATAATTATAAAATATAAAAAATATTCTTTTCTTGCAATTATAAAATGTCTGGAAATAAATCTGCTGCTAACCTTCCAAGTTCAAGAAGACCAATTCTGCCATCAGCTGTACCATAGATAACTTCATTTCTTTCTGCACCTGAAAACAATATATATTTATAAAAAAAGAATAAAGGTTTTCTGTCAGCACTATAACTTAATGCAACAATACAAAATAAAGTAAATATTATAAATCCATTAGAATGATTTGTAAAGAAATACTCAAATTCTGTTCAAAAGGATATATAACAATATGCAAAAACTGCAATTGCAAAATTAAAACAAGAGCAAATAAAGTTAGTCACTATAATTCAGTGAAGCATGAACATTAAAAAAAACTTTCAAAAGTTAATGTTAAAAATGTTAAAATATGAATTCCTTAAAGAATAAATTAATGAAAAACATGCTCTATGGCCCAGTTTAACAAATTTACCACATGCATAAAAAAAGCAATACACATTTATACCTGAAACTTAAGTGAAATATTCATTAGTTTAGTGTTTCCAGTAACTCATCTTTTCACATTAAAATGACATATATTATAAGTGACGTATCAACTCTCTAAAGATGTATTTCAAAAAAGAGACAAGTGAAATATAATGAACTAATATTCTATAAAATGAGTAAGATTGGAAAATTTGCAAAATAGATTTTAACAATATGTATCTAAAATAAGTGTATGTCTTAAAATAGAAGGGCAGAAACAAGTTGAAGTGAAATGTTTAGGAAGAAGCATATCAAAGCAGTATCTTAGAATGTAGACAATTATAATGCAGAAGAAAGAAAATAATATAATAAAAAAATAACTGATTAGAAAGATTGTTAATACCAAATAAAACAGTCATTTAGGAATTATGATTCTAATAACATTTATCTTAACCACTTACCTCCGTCCTTGTCAAACAGTTCTAATACAGAGGGAGGACCAGGTACCTCAACTTTAAATAATACATCAGATCCCTAGCAATAAAGAAAAATTATAATGAAACAAGGATTTAGATTAAAAGAAATTAGTGATAAATACATCAAAATTCTAATAATGCATTCTTTTTTGTTTAATGTCAGAGATTTTTCACTTCCAGGAAAGTAATAAAAAGAGAATTATACTAGAGAATAGTAATTTTTAAATACATTACTTAGGTAGAGTTCATTTTCAGAAGGCTTCCTCATGTGAATATATATATATGTGTGTGACAAATTGGAAAAAGTTTTCCAATTTGTAATACATCTTTTCTTTCAAAAACTATTCTTGATATATAAAAATTCATATATATCGTTATCCCACGTGTGTATATGTCACATACAACTATATATTTAACAATGTAAAAATAAATATAAATCCATATAAAATACATCACTAATGAATTATAAAGAAATACTCAAATATTGTTCAGACATACAATAATATACAATGATTGGCTTGTTGCATTAAGTTATATAGCCAATTGAAAACCTTTAATCTCAAGTTATATTTATAATGCAAAATAATGGAATTTTGAAAACACTTGTTTAACAGATTAAAATTTTAGGTGGATGATATTGAGTATATACTTGGATGTTACTCATGACTAAGTTGATGCATCCACTGACCGTCTTCATGTCTCTGTTGTACTTGGTAGCTTTCTTGGAATTTTATTAAATACATGATGGTACATTGTTCTTCTTCCACTTTTCTTGTTAGGGGAAATCTCATACCAGTTAATTCTCTCTAGACTACTCACCTTTATGAAACAATCTTTATTATGAAAGAATAAGAAACCAAAAATATGATAAAAAAACATCATTGACATTCTCTGTTACTGTAGATTCTAGGACTGAATTCAAAGAGTAGCACTTTGCATTGAATGTATTTTTGGTTTTGAAAATGCATAAGAGTAATTTTGCAGCAAGCACTGAAGAAACTGATACTATTCTGTTAAGTACAGATACATACTGTGCTTACAAAATCCGTTTGTAAAAATTAAAAATTAATTAGAACAAACCTTTATAACACGTAAGAGGCGATCTTGACATGCAATCACAGGGGTAGTTACAGCTTCTTTAGTTTGTGGCAGACAGAGAACATCATTGATTTTGTCAGTACATAACATGTTATGGATGTCTTTACATTCTTTATAATGGTTGAAAATGTAATTTCCACACACAAAAAGATCAGCCCCCTCAACATACCTGGAGAAATAAGATAAAAAAGTAACAAAGATTCATTTATAATTTTCACTTACTGAAACATCAAAATTTAATTTTGAGTTCAATGAATAAGCCTAAATTACATCAGAATGAAATCTGATGTTTGTACCTTCATTTATAAACATTATAATGGGATACATTAAATTTTATCATTTTTCCCCCAAAAAAATAATTTGAAAGACTTACATTGACTGAATAGTTTCTGAAATATTTGTGTTGAAAGCTAGAAACTGTTTGCCTTTTTTGGAGAAGCCTCTCACCTCAGAAGCAGAAGCAACAAAAATGTTACTTTTTGGAGCATCATGAACTCCTCCAAGTTTTAGTCGCTGTATCTTCTGTGAAGGAAGAGTTTTGAACTGTGTCTGCAAACAAATGATGTGAAACAAATTGATATATATATATATATATATATATATATATATGTGTGTGTGTATGTATTTTCCATTTATACGTTGTTTTTATAGATATAATTTAAGTAAATGCTCTGTTTTTTAAAATTATACAGTATTAATTACATTTACCGGCCTGAATGTTCGAGAAATTTTGTAGAAAATGTGCTTCTCTGATAGGAATTGAGCCTGTAATCCTAATGGGAACCAGCAATTGATTTGATGTGTTGTTAAGGGTTACAGGTTTAATTCCTGTCGGAGAAACACATTTTTTTACGAAATTTCTCAAGCATTCAGGCCAGTAAATGTAATTAATACTGTTTAATTAAAAAAAAAACAGAGCATTTATTAAAATAAATTATATCTATAAAAATAATGTATAAATGGAAAATATATAAAAATAATTGTCAGAATTAATCCATTTCATAATATATATATTAGCAATAAATAAAACTTCAAGCATTATAAATAAATGGTTGTGAAGTAATAATAACTGAGAAAAATAGATAATCAACATTAAAATGTAATGTTAGCTATTTTAACATTTGCTAAACCAGAAAAAGTATAAATTGTGTAATTTTCATTGTCTAGCTATATCATTTCAAAACTGGCCCAACAAGAAACAAAAAAGAATAAGTGCAATTGGAAAATTTGGAAAATAAACATTCTAATAAAAATAATAATTTTGGTGTACTACAGAGAAAGAAAAGAAAATCAAACAATTCAGAATATCTTTATTTCCACTTGGTTGTAACTGAAAAAAAAAGTAGAGGTTATTATTGTTTTTGGCTCATAACATTTTTTAAAAGAAAGTTACATGTATATTTTTACAGAATAATTTTGATTCCAATGAGAAATATTTCCAACTTACAATAACTTCTCCTTTCTTCATACTAAAACACTGCACTACTCCATCATTGTCAGCTATTGCAATCTGTAAATGATTAAGAATAAATAACTATTACAATCCTAAAGAACTTGTAAAGTATTTATTATACAGCTTCATTTCTCAAGAGAAAGAACTGAAATTTTGTATGTGCAACTGCCTGTCCCCATTTAGTTTTTATGCTAGGTGACCTTCAAAGTCATTAAGGGTTTAGAATTCCACAATTAAAAAAAAATAAATGAAGAATGGTTTAATGATACATTCTAGTTTGGTTGCAACTGTTCCAGGTTGGAGGGTTTGTCCTGGTAATGTAAGCTATTTTAGTGATTAGCTACTTTAATAATTAAATGTGTAAGGTTTCTTATGGAAATATTTTATAGTACATGAAATAATGGAGTTGAAAAAGAGTACATGTACAAAATAACAGCCCAATTGATTTGCAATGCAAGATAACACTTATTAAAACAAAATTAACAAAAGGAAAGTTTAAAACAATTTTTTTTGTTAGAAGTAAATTGCATACACAACAAAATTACAAGAATAATTTTATATTTACAACATTCTAAAAACTAATACAATTGTATTAAAACTAATGATATAACAATATATAATTTTGTATAATTTTATATATCAACAAACAGTATTTAGAAAAATATGACAAACTGTTCCTGAATATATTTGAGTAGGAGTTACTTTGTTAATGTGTTTTAGTGTGAAGAATTTACAGCCCTTTTAGCTTCAGCGTGGAAAGTTTATGACATACAGTTCAAAAGAGGAAAACCCAGAAAAGAGAGTTACTTTAGGGTTCACTTCTTTTTATATTCAAGAGCTGCTGCTGATACAAGGTTTATTTAGGTCTGCTATTGCTATTATGCTTAAGGGCAGTACAGACTTTTCAAACGAGAGAATTATACAACAATCTCAAGAAAGAGAATTTTTATTATGTTAGGTAAGAACATAGTTTCTTAGGCCATCTAATATGATGACCGCTTTTTGAAGTCCTAGGTTGTGTCTGCTTAGTGGTTTCTAATGAATCATCACCAATATGTTCTACATTTGCCAGTTTTAGTTAATAGAAATATTTTCTTGCATATTATTAATAACAACTGTGAAATGTTTCTCTGTACATTTTACTACCTTGTAAGCAGAGTTGTAAGGGATGTTTGGTTGCACTTCTTTTTTTTTTTAGTAAAAGATAATGCAATCAAAGAAGTTGCACAATGCACAAAGTTGCAGTTTTTGAGTGATTCTGGCAAATATGTTACATGGGTTGATTGTCTAGGAGATGGGGATGTTACTTGAGACATCTTCAATTTCAACATATTTACAAAAGAAGCAGAAGCAAAGATTGGTTCATTTGGTTTAGTTATTAACTCTCCTGGCAGACCTAAAGGCATGTCATATACAAGTTCAGCGAGAACTCTGTGAATCAGATTTTACAGCTGTTGTTAGCCCTAAAAGTATTAATGGAATATTCGAAAGCTAAGAATTATAGTTCAGTGCAGTTCTCAGGGATTCCTTCAGAGAACAATGAAAACATTCCATCATGCTGCTAGATTCAGAATGGGAAGCAGTTGTACAAATTCTAGTTGTTACAAGCAGGTTGGTTAGGAAAGCGAAAAGTGAGGATTCAAATTGTGTTCTTCTATCTGTGGTGATGATAGTAGGAACACCAAAACTGCTGACCCAACCAGTCATAAAACCCTATGCAAAGTATTTCACACTGATATTAGTAAAGGGAATTGTTTCAGGTCAGTGGGTGAATCTATCAATGCAGGTGAGGCGATAGTAATGTTCATGACAGGGAGGAAATGGTCCAGTGATATTGATACTGTGACGGACGCAGATAGCCCAAACACGCATACATGCATATATTAAGGTTAATCTCCGCCTGACAACAGAAGAGGTCACGTGGAAGTCTTGAGACATTTTGGGAAAGCAAGTCAAGAGGTTGACTGATCCAATTACCCGTAGCAACAGATGTCTAGACAGAAGCTAGACAGGGGACTGATGTAAGCTGGAATTCGTGCCAAAACGCAGGACATGTGAGAGTTAGAAAATTACTTGGGAGTCAGTTGCTGTCTTGTCTTTGAAGGAGCAAGACTCGAAATCGAAGTGCTGATAACTTATGAACGGAAAGATGAGACTCATTTGATAATGATAGAACATGTCCGATTCATCCCAGGCAACTCCGGACAAGAAATATAAGGACATGTATTTCTGTTCGATAACCCCAAATTGAAGACGATAACTCGCATTATTTATCACAGAAGACGCAAAGGAATTTGTACGCTGAGAATACAAACTGTGTTTGAAGAAAAGAGAAAACCAGAGAGGAAGAAAGTATATATCGCTGTTACAAGCTGAATTGTGTAAAGAAGAAAGAAAGAAAAAAGAAAGAAAACCAGAGAGAGGAAGAAAGTGTATATACCTGTTGCAGTTGAATCATGTTTGGAACTGAACTGTAAACAGACAAAGAAAGAAAAAAAGAAAACCAGAGAGAGGAAGAAAGTGTATATCTCTGTTACTGCCGGACAGTGTGGGAAATCGTATTTGTGTCAAGAAAAAAAAAAAAGGGAAAGAAAAGAGGAAATGTGAAAAAGAAAAGAAAGGACAATGATAAAAAAAGAGAACTGAATATAAAGATAAGTAATCATATATATTGGACCCGTGTTAGAAAGATACACATGCATCCATAAATATTATGTTCTTACAACATGTCTTTCCACATGTCAAAATAATAATATGTAACTCCTATCCATCTCTTTTGGTTATGTGTTGATTTCTGCATTCGTAGTTATTCATACTTATTTTTTATCCGTTTGGGTTCAGTCGAATCCATTTGGAGTTAGACATATTTTGATATCCCTACATAAGTCTTGAGATCTGGTTGTCGGATGTTTTACTCATGCTTATATTTTCTTTTATTTTAATATTTTGTATATCTGTACATATTAAAGTTCTTATATCAAAATTCACTACGCCTAATTGAACAGTGTTCTTTAAAATATTTTTTTTGTTTACTAATTGTCCATTGTCATGATCTGAGAGAGATAGCCTGTATCTCTCCACAGGTGTGATAATGTATATATCTTCTGGTCGGCGTATGATCACCTTATAAACCCATTCATCGACTAGGGCATATGACAATACAAACATGATCAAATCGAGTATCAGCAACAGGAAAAAATGTAAGAGATGATTTAGTGTGTCTCACTATTTTGGCTTTTTGATATGGTACATAATGACATGTACAATCCCTTGTATCCTTGTTGATTCCAATCCAGATATAATTTTTACTAATTAAACTGCAGGTCGCTTTTATACCTGAGTGCGATATTGAGTGCAGAGTGCCAAATAGTTTTCTATGGAGAGTTTTTGGAATAAAAGGCCGCAAATTTCCTGTAGAAATGTCGCAACAAATAGAATGTTTCACTTGTGGAATATATATTTTCTTCAGTTGAAATGAAGAATTATTGTTCTCTAGAAGAGATTTTAGATCTTCATCTTCTTTTAAGGAAGTTGCAATAGCTTCAAAATCAATGGCTAGACTTATATTGATTGTAGAAATATTCCCTTTAGATTCAGCGTGGAAAGTTCATATCACACAGTTCAAAAGGGGAAAACCAGGAAGAGAGAGTTACTTATTTAGGGCTGCTACCAACTGGAATTCAAACTCGGAGAGCTGAGTTTGAATTCCAGTCGAAACTTTATTACATTCCCTTACATGCTAATACCCTTGGGAAAGGTATGAATCTTCTTCTTCTCTTAACTATGGGTAAATAGCAGGACAGATTGGATTCTATACCTTAGATGGCAACTGGTCTACTGCAGAAAGAAATGGCAACTTACTGCAGGAAAAGATCTGCCTCATCAGTCATGTATCGAAAGATACATGATCGCTTACGCATGTATCATGCATGGCACACAATTGACTGACTGCTATTATTTATGTTTAAGGGCACTACACTATCATTATTTTTTTTTTATGTCAGCCTTGAAGCTTCAAGAGTGTTACATCAGAAAAACATTTTATTAGACAAGAAAACTAATAAAAACTGAAAACTGTCCCAGTTTGAGGTTTGGAAATTATGGTAAGCCTGTATCTAAAGAATGTCATAATTTCATCAGTTCACTAAGACATATTTTTTGTTTATCACAATTTTACATTTAGTTTAAGAAAAAATTATTAATAAATATCTTTTAGTTTTTTACTTTAGTTTAGTTTTCATATGAATCAAAATAATTGAATCCAATTTACCTTTTGTGTTTTTCCAGCCAATGGAAGCAATTCCATTGTCTTGGGAGAGGTCAAACCAACCTGAAATGAAATATTGTTATTTAAAAAAAAAAAAAAAATCAAGAGCAAAACTTGGAAATAATTTCTGTAATATGAACTTTAAGAAATAAAAGAACATAATTCAGCTTTTATAATTGATTCTAAAATTATGAGTGATTAAAATGGTACAATCATGTGAATTCAGACTGTTGTCCTCATCTTTGTCGCCATACATAATACCTCATCTCAGAAATATGCATAGGATAACAAAGAAGTCACAGATTTTTGAAGAGTACAAAAGTTCACTTTGAAAAGAGAATTAAATCAAATCAATGATGTATCATTTTTTTTTTAAATTTACATTATTTTTATTTTTTAACATAAATTACTTCAGACTAAATTTTCCCAATGTTCAAAGATTCATCAAGATTGTCATATAGAAAACTAAATGCTACTATCATTTTTGAGTTTGTTTTATTTTTTCAACTTAAAATTTATGGGCCAAACTTTTTTTATGATAATTTTTTTCTCTCTGAACACCAGTCAAGTAAACAATTTGTGATTAAAGAGTAAAAATATTTTTTAAATGTTTAAATGTGCCAAAATTACAAAAGCTATTTTCATCAAATTACAGAAGTCTTATTAAGATTGACATTCATAATATTTTAATTTCTGTCAATTTATTATAAAATAATTGTCTAAAACCTGTTTTCAAAGAAAAAAGGAAAAAATGTTCATCTCCATATTTGGCACTACTTAGACTAGACCACTCGTAAAAACTAGGGGAACAATTTTAGGGAGATCATTTTTATTTTTACCATTCTTTAGACCTTTCTTACACTGTGACACTTACTTGTCTGAATCGAAAAATATTGATTTATTTTTTTATCATTATTTTTAGGAGTGTCCTTTAAAAAAAAAAATGAATCCCTAACTTTTACAAAGTTTTTGAACTGACAAAGTTATATAATTTTATTTATAAATTTCACTTTTGAAAGTGAGGTCACGTCATTAAAATTAAAGTATTATTATCCGCATATTTTTTAAATTTTCTGAATTTTTAACCTTTTTTTCTGGATGGTATATTTTTGAAAGAAAATGAACATTTGATGTGGTTAATAATAATTTTATCTTAAATGAAGAAACAGATATTTTATTTTATTAATTTTTTGTTTTTTAATTTAAAATAACATATGATGATATCTGTTTGTTCTTTACTTTATTTTTAAAAGAAATCTTTTTGTAAGCAACCTGACAAAAATGTAGTGAAAAACAGCTAAAAATCCAATTAACGCCAGGGGTCGATTTGACACTGCCTGTATCGATTTAAAAATAGTGCCCCTTCCTAAATCGATAAAAAGAATCAATATTTTCGACTTGTCAAAGTGTCGCAGTCAAAGGAAGGTCTAAATGTCCCGTAATTGTTCACACATATGCAAAATATGTTTAAAAAAATGTTTTTGTTGCTGTTTTTCCCAAATTTAAATTCTTATATAAATTATGATTGAATGAAAATTAATTTATTCTGGCATTTATTGTTACAAACTTACAATAAATGAAAAATTATTTAAAGATGAATTTTAAAATGAATATATTGACATTCGTGTGTGTGTGTCCATTTTTTTTTTTTTAATTAAAAAATTTGATTTTTTTTTTTTTTTGTGGTGGGCACAGTTAAAAACGACTACATTATGTACTTTTTGATTGTACATCAATAGATCGAGGCGAGAGCTTTAAGGTTAGGTTCTGTTCGTTGTTGAAATCAATGAAGAAAGTAATAGCTTTTTTTAACAAAACAAAAGTTCAAAAGTTTAGTATAAAAAATTAATAGAACAATACTTTAGAAAGCTACAGGTGTTGGTAAAATAAAATATACCTGTGTATAGTCAATGCGTGTTAAATTCAAATCCATGTCTATTCGAATAAAATAAAGTAAAATATATTTCACCAAAATGTGTGAAAGATTTTGAAAAAAATTATTTTCAATAAACAGACATTTTCGTCGTTACCAGCGACTGTATACAAAGTATAACGCAGTAAATCACTTGGCTTTATGATCAAGTAAAAAGTAATAATAGGAAATCCGGAATAGCAAAACTTGAAAAGTTAAAAGTTAAAAATAATAATTATTATGAAAATAATATATCAAATTTTAAATATAAGGAATATTATTTTAAATATTAATAAATATTATTCTACATATTAATAAATTATTTTTAACCGTTAATTATGATTTTGGAAGAATAAGCTAAAAATGTATATGTTCTTTTCGTTATTTCAAATTTGCCATAAACCTATTACTGTTTTGTTAGATTTGTCAATTTTCTTTAAAAATCCACAAATGTATAATTCCACAATTTAATAAATTTAAAATGTATAATTTCATTTACATTATTTATACAAATCAAATCTATAACAATCAGTTACAAAAATTTAATCGGTAACTGCGTAGCAGCGAATAAAACAGTACTAGGATTCAATTGTTTTGCATATTGTCACGTTTGAAAAGAAGGTAAATGCATTTAAAATTATTTTTGCAGTTGATTTGGTGGTGTGTAGACTTCACGTATTCTTCCTTACTCATTATGTAATATTTAATGTTTTTTTCCGGGTTTTATATGTTTATTTTATTTCACAAAGTGGTCGACGATCTGAAGATGTTTTTTGATTTGTTTTCTTTTAGTTTTGATTTTTTTTAACATTTAACTCATCCACTTCTGTAGTTTGATTCTGCAACTAACCTTAATCGCATACTCCCACTTGTAATTATTTCTAATTCTTTGTTTACAGTCAAACATTACGTTCAGTATTTGGAAAAAAAAAAAAAAAAAAAAACTTCTTCATAAATATTAGAAGAGAAAAATAAATAAAAGTGTGTAAAAGTCCTCATGACAATGTGGACAAAATACAACGTGGTTAGTAACTGAAATCGACGATTTTCACTTGTACCAAGATTTTCCAGGGAATAGTTTAAAAATTTCGATTTTATATTTATTCAAAATGAAAGCATCGACATTTCTCTAAAGTTAATGATTCACAGCAAGAGTACTGTACAAATATACATATTTATTGAAAAATGTAGTGAAAAAGCGTGTACTTTTTAGTTGTAGGTTTAAGTATGCAAAAAGAAAAAAAGAAGTAATTGTCTATCTATCACAATTTTGTTTTCTTAAAAATATTTCAGCTTGATTATTTCTAAATCGAAATTCCCACCTTAAATTCGCATTTGCATTTCTCTTTTTAGCTCAAAAATGTACTTTTCATTAAGAGACAATTAACAAAAAGACTCATTAATAAGCTTTTGAAATTTTAAAGTTTGCAAATTATCAATAAAAAATAAAAATTATTCTAAAAAGCAATTCAGTTATTGAAAAACGACTCAAATTGACTGTTTCTGTTTTAAAAGCACGAAATTTTAGATTATACCAAGCAAATAGTAAACAAAAATTTATTGATTTTTTATTCATTAGCCACTTATATACATCTGATTTTTTTTCTAAGTAATTAATCACCTTTTCTTTTACCATTCCTCTTGTTTGGGAATTGGAAAGCTATATCAATTTCATCAAATAAAAGAAAAAATAAGCGACGTGGTTGTAATTGTAGTATGTGACTAATTCCAGATGATGCCAAAATAGACTTTTGCACACACTGTCACACCAGACCATCAAAGAAGCCAGATGAATCAGCAATTTGACCTCCTGGCTGCCTGGTGAATATCTGCACTTCACCTGGTGCCAATGGCTGCCCTCTACATATAAACATATGGTTGATCTAGCTGCACATATGTACACATCAGGGGGAACAACATATGACAAGTAGATATATAAACACCCAACCCAGAGAGAAGAGTGTCTTATACATCCTCATGAGAATGTAGAGTCAGAGAAGGTTACAAAGCCACACTCGCTCAGCAATGGCGATGAACAAAGTCCAGAGTTAAATAAACAATATACTGTTACATATGAGAAACTAAGTCTCAGGTTTTCATTATTCTGTATGGCAATAATGTTACACAATTAAATATGAGTTTATTCCTACCATCAAATGAGAGGAACATTTTAGTAATTATACAGTTATCTTATACTCATTAATATTTTTTTTTACTTTCTTGTTCAATATGGCCACTGCCACTTGGTGTCAACAGTGCAAGGGAACATATTCTGGTTATCTCCTTTGCACAGACAAAAATATACACTTTGTGTATCTGTTGCATATCTTCTCTCTCGGTCAGGGGATGCTAAATGTTTTGGATCAGAGATGAAAAGGACATTAAGCACTGAGAATGTTAACCTATTTTTATTAATGTTTACATTGACATGTACTAACTATCCAGTGGGGGTCATTTCCTCTCACTGGAGAGCCATTTCAGCCACAAAAAAACACATCTACATAGCTTGACAGTCAAGAAACAACTCTCTAAAAAAAAACTTTCTCTATCTATCATTCCCACACTAGATCAGCCAATGAAAATCAACTTCTTATTTTGGCTTCCATCTGACCTCGAAGGTCAACCTCCAGAAGTTACAGCAATTACCCCTAAAAATAATAGTCTGCTAAACTATTATTTAACATATGTATTAACATTTTCAGAATTAACTTTTTGTAATATAGGAAAAGAGAATATCTGTATGTTTTTTCTTGAATTGTGTATTAACTGATTGTATCTTGATTTTCAAAATTTTAGAATTCCAAGATGTCTGAACAACAAGGAGTTAGCTCTTTTCCTCTGCCACCAATGCAATATATTAATCTTTACACAGACGATCATATCAAACGTGGTCGAGCGCCTCAGCCACCCCCAGTAATTCAGGTAAGGTACCTTTTATTTAAAAACTTTCTTGGACAAATGTATGTTTGTAATTTGGAATAAATGTTTTGAATTTAGTAGATGATAGAACTCTAAGGTGACTACTTGGGTGTAAATTAATTTATGTATATTATGAACCTCTGAAAACCATCATAAGGAAAGAAAGATAGGCAATCTTGGACCTTTGTACCTGCAAAAAAAAAAAATGCCATTATTTTAACTACTTTCACTCCTCAGCAACTTTTTTTTTTTTGTTTTAAAAAGAGATGATTATAATTTTAATAAGAACTAAACATGAAAATGAATATTTTTTTTTTTTAGTTCTTGAGAATTAACAGCAAAAATAACAACACTATTTATTTATTAGATTGTTTATTGGAATGGGTGGCAAAACATTGGCTAATTTCCCAATAGATTTAAACTTTATAAAATGGTAAATAAGAATTTAAGGATGAAATATTTTTCTAAATACTGTTTGTTGATATAAAATTATACAAAATTATATATCATTACAGAATTAGTTTTAATACAATTGTATTAGTTTTTAGAAGGTTGTAAATATAAAATTATTCTTATAAGTCATCTAATAAATAAATAGTGTTTAATATTTTTGTTGTCAATTCTCAAGAACAAAAAAATGTATAATATTCACTTTCATCATATGTTTAAGTTTTATTAAAATTCTAACTATCATGTTTTAAAACAATAAATATTACTGAGCAGTGAAGGTAGTTAAAATAATAGTGTTGAGACACTTTTTGGTGGGGGGTAGGGCATGAAGGTCCAAATTTGTCAAAAGATACTACTTTCATGCATTTTTTTTTTTTTTAAATATCCTGGATTTATATGCAAATTAGATACATCTTGAATTCATATCCAATTAGTATGTAGTTCTTGTGTCCCAGGAATCATTTCATACCATGACTTTTATTCTAAATAATGTATTTGATGGCATTAAGATACCTGCTCATTTACATTTAATATATGGAGTTGGATAAGTGCAAGTATTCTGTAGCATAGTGTAAATATTAGACTACCATTTGCTTCAACTTTGCCTCTAAGACCAGCTTTTCTTCCTTTTTTGAGACTAAAATGTCACAAAGGTGTCTTATATGCTGTCAAATATAGATTTGTTGAGCACATTTGCCATTACATCTTTTAACCAATTTTTCCTTATGGCTCCAGTGCCATTTTGTGTTTAGTTTTTGAATAACCAGATAAATCTTCTGTTAATATCTAATTTTTAATATTTGACTTTTAAAATACAATCATTTGCTTCAATTATGCTTTATCAAAATACATTAGGTTTATCAGTACTTTGACAATTCCACTGAATATGATCTTCCTCTACAGGATAACTACATGATGTTTGGAGTGGCTTTCAGTGCTGAGGATGCAATTATCAGGCCCCTGGAATCTCAAGGATTCAGAAGACTTTACCCACAGAACTATGACCACAAACGAGAGCTGAAAAAACTAAATCATTCTATTTTGATCAATTTTTTGGACTTACTTGATATTCTCATCAGAGCTCCAGATTCACCAAAACGAACAGAGAAATTAGATGATCTCAATTTGCTTTTCATCCACATGCATCATTTGATTAATGAATTTCGGCCACACCAAGCTCGTGAGACTCTACGCATGATGATGGAATATCAGAAACGTCAGCGGTTAGAAATTGCTGACAAGTTTCAGAAGCACCTTGATGGTGTCAAGGAACTTATTCAGAAATCACTACAAGCTTTACCTGATGCGGATGCTATGGAATGTAAAGCAATGACATCAAGCGAAATCTTACAGGCCAAAGATAAATCAGAAGTGAAAACAATGGATGCTGAACCATGTGACGGACTTGACAAACTCATGTGTGAAATTGTTGATAATCTCAGTTAAATAATATTGGCATTTTGTGCCCAAGTTTATCATTTTATTATTAATAAAATATATATATAATGGAAAGTATATTTTTGTTTATATATATTCATATGCAATAAAAACTTTAAGAAATTTGAATATGAAAAAAATTGGTTTGCTATTTAGCCTGTATGAATTACTTTCTTATTCACTAATTTCTAACCTATAAATATTAGCTAAGGATTCTTATGTAGGACTTTAGTTTTATTTCATGATATTTAAAAACTTTCTTTCGTTCAAGAAAAAAAATAAGTTATTGGTGTATATCCAAATCTAGACATAAATTCCATTTCTTTTTACCTTCATGTACATTCTATGAGATGAATGGTGTCTCCACTTGTAAGGAGGAAATAGAATCCTGGAGATGTTTGACAGCAGTTGATTGATGGCAGATATTAAACTTGGTTTTGATGGCTGAGAAAGCTGAGGAGAAATGTTTTGCTTCTCTTGTAAATGTAACAGAATGCAATGAAGAAAAAATAATTAAAAAAAGGCTAATTAGGTTTGATAACAATGCATTTGAGATTCTCAAGAGAATTTAACTTGAGGAAATATTGTAAGACTGAATATAATTGGTAAACTCCTGCATCTACCCATTGCTCAAGACAGGCATGTAATTTGATAGGTGATTGTTTTCAAGGGAAAATATTCCCTCATTGAAAGTTGTTTTCTTAAACTGATAATCACTTAAAATCATGTTGATTTTAAGGAAATTGTTTTAAATTTTCAAACACATAAACTGGGCTGGGAGTCATGTTTTGAGAGACACTTGTGAAAATGAAATTAAAGATTTGATTTCACTGATCTTGTAAAGCTAGGTTAGCTAACTCAATAAAAAATAGTCCTGTTAAATTGTAAAGTAGTTGTTGATCTGGAGAGAGAATGACCCCAGTTTGTGATCAAATTGTAGTATCTATTCCGTGGCATTGTCCAACCGTGATCAGCTAAGACAAGTTTTGTGTCCGATCCTGCGTAAGTGGGGACTGGATAAATTTTGTCCAGTGGCCCAGGTATTCCCGTTCAAGGTCTCCACATTAAATAAGTGGCCTTGTGTCACAACCTAACCCAGTGTGTGTGTGTGTGTGTGTGGGGGTCTCTGGTAAATACCAAGAATGACCCCAGTTAGTATTTTGAGTTGGTGCAACTTGTAATGTAACTTGATTTTCTTATCACATAGATACAAATTCTCTGATATAGTACCAATAGGTGAACTGTTAAAAATCTGATCACTTTGATCAAGCCAACCAATTACTGGAAAGGAAAAATATATTTAAATTTATAGTTTGTAGAAAAGACAAATAAAAGTGTTATTTTGTGTGTGTATCTGTGTGCAAAATAGATTCAAATCTTTGTCATTTTGTGTTCTACTCCAACCCAGGAAATTAATTCTAACTCTAGTTGTGCAATACTTCTACAGTTTAAGATTACTAACATTTCATCTTCTTCAGGACTAAATTAAAACAAAGAGGGCTGAAAGCTTCCATTATGGCCTGGTGTGATCAGTCTCCAAGATAGTAAGCTTCACACTCTCTTTGGTCATCTTTGAAGCTGAGATGATCAGTAGTGGGTCCAGTCATAGTGTCACATTTTTTGCCATTTCATCCAGAATTTTTTATCCTAAAGTCTCACACAGATATTGTGGTGTGAATGTGAATTAGTTTATATAAATAGGGTTTACAAGGAATGATTCTTTCAAGATTTAAGATGTAACTAAAATTGAATCTTACCAATAACCTTTATTATTAGACTGTATTTATGATTGATTTATAAAAGGTGATTTCTTGATATTGGCCTGGGGAAATGATCCCAGCTTGTGGTACCATTGGGAAGTACCTGAAAACCATAACATGAGTTGAACCAAGTCTTGTGAGTGAATTTAGGTAGATAAAACTATTCAGAAGTTATCGATGATTTAAAGTCACAAGTCAAGAGTTTGAGTGTACAGGGCTTTTGTTTTTTTTTGTTTTTTTTTTAAAAACTACTGGTCACACAAGTCTCTCCTAAAAAATGTAACCAAAGTCTGCTCAAGATAGTTGCAGTACAAACCACAGGCTGACTCCTGTGGGTGTTGAATAAACATAAATATGTCTGAGCAGGCATCTGCATCAGAGATTATCTAGCCACCGTTATAAACTCCATTCTGACAGATACCTACTATTTAGATTATAAAAAAAAAATGTAATGTACTGCAACAGTGTATTAAAGTTGGGGGAAACACCTCTCCCAGCAACTACAGGAGTAATAGGCAGAGAGGGAAAAAAAACGGGAAGTAACAAAAATAACACTGTCTCAGCAACCACAGCAACTTGAACAAAAAATGCCCATGAGAATGACTTCACAAGACACCGTGTCTTGCCAACTGCTGGTTTTCTCTACTGCTTTTATTGGCATGAGGCATCTCAACCAGTTGCAGAGGCCTGTATCTAACTGTCCACTGTTGGCAAAGATGTCTGAATGTTATCTGGGGTCTCTTTTGCATCTGTACTGACATGTGTTCACCACAACAAAGCTCTTTTCTCAAGGTTTTTAGTATGATAATGTTACTAGTAAAAAGAAAATCCTTAAAAAGTTTGCTTATCCCCATTTAGTTTTCTGAAAATGTTTATTTACTTCTATAAAAGAGAGAAAAAAAAAATGAATACAGCAAGATTTATGAATTTTTGACCTGCTCGAAACCTGTATAGCTTGTTATTCTATGTATCAATTAAACGATAATAAAAGTCAAATTTGACCAATTATCAATCTAGATTTTAAGTAGAGACTGTGTATTAACAAACTGGTACAATATTTCTCATTGTTCTTAATCTCTTTCAACATGTGATATTGTAAACAAAAATATTTCCAAATTTGTCATGAATGCATAATTATCTCATATCTTGTGCAGGACTTTTCAAAAATCAAGCATTATTCATTTTCAACATTACAGTCCTAACAAATATCAGTTGTGTTGCAAAGGCCAGATTTAAAACAAAAAACAGCCAAGAATAATGGTCAGATATTGACTGATTAAACAGTCAGGATTATAGTCATTGTAAACATTCTCAATCCTTTCATTAGCTGTATGTTTTTCCCTTGTAACTTCAGGCTCAAGAATCTTTTTATGGTACCAGATGTTAACACTATATCTGGCTGGGGACATGGGGATTTGTGTGTTTCGGAATTTTTTTTTTTTTTCAACACTTTTAGTGTCTGGTGTAGACGTAGCACTATGGCAGGGAGTGTCAAGCTTTTATTTTGGGTGGAAGTTCTTGCAATGACCTTAACAGGAAACTCTACATCCACATGTTTAGATAAAATCTGATTAAGTCCAAAACTCAGGTTTGAAATATAAGCCCAAGAAAATCATTTAACACAAATCTAAACCGGATAGATTGATCAAAACATTGGAACTATGACAAAGATCAGAATACCTCAACAAAAAGTTTTAGTTTTTGGTTAGATAGGTGTTTTCAAACTAGTAAATCTCACATCCCCATTCTAAATGCTTAGCAGCAGTATGCAATGAACTTTGAAATACTTATTCCCAACTATGATGATAGAATAGTCGTGTTTGTCTCGCTCTTTTTAAAATTTGGGTGGTAATTTATGGTTGGTGCTAGAATCTACTCATCTTTGGCAGCCTTAGTGGAGGTACTTAAAGTGGGTAGACACAATGTTGTGTGTGTGTGTGTGTGTGTGTGTGTATAAATTCACATTGCAGGCATGTCACCAATATATTGGCACAATTTGATTATTAATTTATACTCTCCAAGGATCACGTTTGTTCCAGAAAACTCATGGTCAGGTAGCCACTTGATAGAGTTCTGATATACTTTCATAAAACTACTTTCTTATAAGATTACTAATAAACATGTGAACAAACCACACATCCTATTAGTCAGACTTAATCCAAGTGTTTTTGGAATTTTTTTTCTTTCTCTAGAATAATTCTGCACAAGAAACCACTCCAATCCAATAGATAGGTGTTTGTATAAATTGAGGATTTTTAGAGATAATTTCTGATTTGACTGTAGTAATTTATTACTTATTTTTACCTAACTTGGCAAGTGGCTACAAAACCCACACACATACACGAAATGTTAACATGATCACTCCCAACTTAGTTGCTATGTCACATGTTAGATGTGTACGAGGCAATTGCACACAGGACCATACTCAATTATATTAATATTCCTTAAGAAACCCATAACCAATTTTGAAAAATTGGTTAACTTTCTTAATTCTTAGTATTTTTTTTTCCATACTTAACTAATCCTAATTAAATGCAATGAAGCCTTCTGTTATGACCTTCTCTGGTTCTATAAAACCAGGCCTTTCTAAATTTTAATGTTTTTTGTCCATCGTCAAGTCTCAAGGCTCAACTTACCTCACGTGCGGGTCAGCACCCACATCATCACAGCAAAACTGACTAGGAAGTACAATTTGAACTTATATTTTTGACACATATTCACCATGGACTGGATTTTTTACTCATGGAGTAATAAAAGTAGCTTGCAAGATTAAAGAAAAACTCATTTATTCCTGCTGCTTAAGATTTAAATAACACTTTCTTGTATGAAAATGTTAAAATTTTCATGAATAAAATTTCATAAAAAATGAAACAATATACTTTTATTTATAAAAGGAAATGAAAAGTTGTGGAAAATTCAATTTAGATTAGTTTACACAAAATAGATTTGAAATAATGTAATCATTATTCAAAAGCTAGAATGTACAATGGTTGCTTCGAGATGATACGGAATTTATTTTTATACAATTCCTTTTAGTATGATTTCTAGTACTCAATACATTTGTGTAATTTGCACTCTAATGATTGAAGTATTGTTATGTAGGTTAGATAACATGATTAAAAAAATTTGCTTTTGTATAATTTTGTGTTAAAAGTAACTTTGATACAATTTGTGTAAGGCATTTTAAGACACAAGCATGAAAATGAACTGCATTTCCAAGAGATTCTCAGGTTTTACTCATGCAACAAAATAACAACTCTACTTAATTTTATAATTATTTAATCTTTCAACACAGTTGAAATAGTTTTGATAAACACCAAATGTCTTTAGAGGAAGATTTTGATCTATTAAATTTTTACTTCTTTTAATCTTTAGCACCCATGGCTATAAACATGGTGAGCTTTTCATTGAGTGCCAGCTGTGTACGTGTCAGATGGGACAAGTAAGTGACCATTAGGAGATCCTGCAAGAACAAAAAAAAAAAAATTAAATACAGATACAAATTTAAATAACTCCTATCACAATGGGAGAGGGGAAATGAATAAAATAAACAAATAAAACAAGATATAACTAAATAATGATATGTATATAGCAAAAAAAATATCCAAAACACTTTGTACTATATTAGAAGTGACATATTTTCATTGAAAAAAGATAATGTAATATTAAAAAAGGAAAAAACATTGCTGCATTATTTAAAACTTAAATTACTCCACTAAGTTTGTGCTGTTTAAAAATAATATAGACAGCAAACTGAGTCAATTTTTGATTTTTTTTTTTTTTTTATAAAACAAGATTTGTAAAAATTTTCCTCTAGTTATCCAAATTATTTCTGAATAAAATTGAACAATTTGTTTTATTTCATGAATTAGGACATGTCAATGTTGTCTCAAATTTGAATTTTAGAACTAAAGAATCTCTAAGATCACAAGCCTATTGTTTTTCAGGATTATTAAAAAAAAAAAAAAAGAAGAAAAAAAAAGAATATTTTATGAGTATCCAAAGAAAATCTAAACCACATTTGTTTTATTTTAACTACAGATTTCAGGGGCAATTTAAATTTATGTGTTAGTTTTGTTGACCGAATTTAATTGTTCTGTGGCCTTAGATGTTGATGTAATATACTTGAATTAAAAGAGACAAACACTTCTTTCTCCCTTCACTGACCATTTCATGTCATGCAGTTTCAACAATGAAGAAAATATTAAAAATTTAATTTGTAAAATTGGAAGTTTTGTATAAATTTATTTAAAAAAAAAAAAAAATAATAATAAATAAATAATTAAATAAATAAAAAAATCAAATTTAATAAATAAAAAATCAAATTAATTTTGCATGATGTAGATTATCACCCCTACCTCCCTATTATCCATGTTCATTTAGGAAGCTAAATTTAGTCAATATATTTTTAAATTCAATGTGATCTGTTTTTCAAGATGAATGGAAATTTTAGATCAATAGCTAATTTTAAGTGAATGGTATTATTAATAGTAAACATGAATATCAAAATGTATACTGACCTTCATGTTAGCATTAAGCATGGTCGAGAATTCATCTGGCTCAATCATTGGGACACTGTGAATGAGTTCCATGAGGTATCGGCCTACAGTGTTATCTGCAGGGATCTTACCAGCCTAATAAACCAGAAAAAAAACAAAAAATTAAGTAAAAATATCTAGATTCCAAATATAATTGTCAGGAGTATTAACTCCTGTATAACTGTAAGAAACAAATTTTACTTTGGACTGGAATTTGAATGTACATAGTCAAATAAACATTTTTCTTATTTGTATAATTTCCAAATGAAGAAAAAGAAATTCAGATTATTGTATTAATTTAAAACTCTTATTTACATAGGTAATGTCATTAGATGAAAATAATATATGAAAAATGCATTAGTAAAGAGTCAAAAATCAAAATAAATTAGTTTATATACGAAAATAGAATACATGAAAAACTTGCCAAAAATGAAAGTAACAATTCAAAAAAAGCCTACACTAAGAATCCAGTAGTGCAATGTTGGATAAGAAAATTACACTCAAGGTGAAGACTAAATATTGTGAATTTTTAAATATGAACATCCAAATATAAAATCATCAAAAACAAAAATAATTAGCATAATAAAATAGGTTCAGCAGATATTCTTATTTCAAATTCCTGTCGACAGGCAGCACTCATGCATTGTTTTCTGCTCAAACACTGATTTTGAATTCAGACTTGTTTACATCTGTGCTTTGACATTGGCATTCTTTAATTACATTTTAATTGTGATTTAGAATACACTTTTGCCCATGGCTTTGAAGAAAAGTCCTAGTACAAGTGTTAATGCTAAGTGTAAGGCTATATCGCTGGAAGATAAGGTGGAAATCATTTATTTTATTCAGAATACTGTACGTACATATCATAAATAGTGTAATAGGCAATGGGGAGTGCTTATTTGCAGTTTATAGCATGGTTATTTCGACCTATTTTCAACCTAAGTGGTGACCTCTGTAACCAACGACAGAGGAAGGTATAACTGTATAAATAAATTTGTAGCAGATCTTCATCTTTCCACAATTTTATTTCTCTACAAAAATGGCGACATCCGACATGATACTTTTGAAGAAGCCTTCAAATACATAAGCAAAGCAAATTTAAAAAAAAAAAATATTGATTGCTTTTTGATTTTTTTCAGTATTTTGATCAGTATATTTTTCAATTATCAAATGACAATATGAGACATTTTTCCATAACAAACGTCTACTCTAAGTAGAAACAGTTCTCAGTTATTTCCTTAACACTGATGAAATTACTATTTTTTTTCTTAACAGAAAATAAAAATTAAAATGAAAATATCCCATAGATATTTTGTCTAAATTTGTTATGAATAATGAATATAATTTATGTTTTTAGAAAAAGAAACAAGTTTCTAAAATTATAAAGTTTATTGATTTTTTTTCCTTTTTTTATCATTTCACTCTAAGTAAGCCAATAAAATCACTAGGACACAAAGAGTTACTGAGTTTTAGAGAATATGAGAAAAACTACTATTAAGGAAACAGGAAAATAAAAGAACAAGAATTAAGACAAAAGATAATGACTGACATTGTATTTAAATTTTTGAAGATCAATATTGATTGGGAAGTAAGAATCCAGAAGAACTTATGGTTACATCTAACCATTTCAACTGTAAAATGAGACCTTGCCACCAATTTAGTACTGTGCTTAAATTCATAAAGTCTAGGTACCATAGCAGAAAGTTCATCAGAACAATTACCATGAAAGTATTTATAGAAAAGGCATGGGGAAGCTATGTTATGGCAGTGTGAAAGGGACTGAAGCCAAGATGTCAGGTCAAGATCAATGACACTGCTGATTTTTTTAATTTTATCAAGAATCTCCAAATATATAGCAGAATCACCAGACTAGATGTGGCAGTAATATTCAAAGTAAGGATGAATGGTAGACTTATAAATATGTAAGATAGATTGTGATTTTTCATGATGTTACATGAGAAAACAGTTTCTAAATGCAGAGAATGAATGTAGAAACTTACCAGGACATCCTCTACATATTGCAAGACAATGGAAAGCATTCCCTGAATTCTGCTACAAAGAATATCCACTTGCTGCAGATCTGTAACCATGGACACAGACCTTTTTGGAGACAGCTTACTCTCACGAATTAAATTCACTGGAAAAAAAAAAAAAAAATTCAAAACATAAGTCCAGTAACCATGGCTAAAACCAAAATTTCACATTCCATTACATTTAAGAATGACTATTTTTTTTTCTATTCTGATAAATGAATCATCACAACTGTCAGCAGTCTCCAACTTACATTCTCTTTTGTTTTAATTTAAAGTATCCTTCACATTTTGCTGCTACTAACAAACATTGAATGGTAGCATTCAGGAAATATAATTTTCATATGAAGATATAGTTAATCAAAAGTACTTTATTATTTAAGTGAGTAATGTAACATTAGACAATTCCTTTTCAAAAGCACTAAAACATGATAATAGCAAACGTCAATGAAACATAAAATTACTTCTAAAATAATTTCCAGATATTTTGAAGCATGTGTAAGGTTGGTACAAAAATAATGACGTAATAATGTCGTTTTTTGATGTATTTTTAACCTCAAAAAACGACATTATTACGTCATTATTTTTGCACCAACCTAATTCAATTGCAATTCATCAGAAAAATATTCTAACTGCAATGTAGCTTTATTTAGTTTTCATGGGCAAAAATCAATTAAAATGTATGCTTACTTTCTGAATAGAACAATACAGAAACAGAGAAAAGTTGAAAGAAAAACAACTGATTTTAATCATTAAAGCATGCAAGTTAAATTGGTCATAACTACTGAAATAAATAAAAACCATTAAAAGTACTATAAATTCAACATATAAAGTGACTTTGGCTTCCTCCATGTGTAACTAGAATTACCAGTTTATAAGGTGTAAACTTAATTTTAAGCCAAATGCTGAAAATCTGCAGTTGTGCAAGTTTAACAATAAAAAAAAAATTCAGCTCAGATACATTAAACAATTGTAACAACTTTGTATTTGCATTAAGACACTATATTTTTCTACTCATTTTTATGCTAACCAGTTTGTGAAACTTAAGATTTTGGTGCAAAGCAGATTCATCAAAATCTAGTTTAGTATTTGCAGAAAATAACTTAAAGGAACTAAACTTTGTATTTGATGTATGCAAACTTCCCTCAAGAGAACTTTAAAAGGTAAAAAATTTATTTAAAAAAGTCCATAATCTATATAAGTTAATTAAAATTTCCAATTTCAATAATACAAGTATTTGCTCTTTTAGATATTCTATCATCCAATACAAATACTAAAGAGCTACAATGAGATTAAAGAAAATATGCTTACCAGCTACTTGTTCGGCTTCATACTGTTGAATTTCAACATTTACAGGTGTAAACATAGTACCAGTAGTTTTGTTGGCTACGCCCATTTGTGTGCTGCGGAGAGGAGAAGAAGAAGAAAAAAAAAAAAAAAAATATCAAACATTATATTTGACTATTAGATTTAAAAGTCCCAGAGCTAAAAAGATTAATTTGCTTTAAATGATTTTATTATTAAAGTAAGAGGCAACAATCTTGAGCCTCAAATCTTTATAATTTCAATCCAATTCTGTATCACAGATTTAAATTTACAAATGCAAGTGGATATTGTGGAGAAGAGATTGAAGAAAAGTGAGAACGATTATTTGATTGAAAATTGTAAAATGAATATAACCATAGGATATTTAGTGCATAACAAACTGAAAATGAACAAAATTGCTCTGGAAGCATTTAAAAGTAGATTGGTTACTTAATGACATCAAGTAAAATTAAACTCTGGATAACTTTGTAGGATAGTAATTCATTTCAATTAATGATTGTATAAATACCAATTAAATTACTGTAATTATTTTTACATTTAAAGTAAATTATTTTCTAAAGTCAAGTACAGCTAAAAGAATGAATAGTCACTCCTGCACACACAATATACATAATAGGTTGGAACAAAGCTTTGTGGCATTTTTCTGTAGCTGGCACTCAAACATGTGACATATATATATATATATATATATATATATATGTAAAATGTATCAAAAATACTTTTACAAAGTTTGGGGGCATGTTCCTCACACCTAAACAAGGACAAATGTTCATATAAACATGTCTGCAAACCCTTTGTTTTTCAAGGCAGAAACCTAATTTTAAGAATATAACTATATATGTTCATTTATTAAAGTATTTTAAATTTAATTAAATCACTGTTATAAAGTCTCAAAAAGAATAAATAAAAAAGAATACTCAATGATTAATTTATTTATTATTAAAAATTCCATGATTGTAGAAAACTGGTCCGTCTATCTCAAGCTGTGAATTTATCACTATATCTATATATAACACAAAATATATTAAAAGGCTGGAAAAACCAACATACCAAAAACATGGATGTATAATAAAGTGCTCAATGCAGGCGTCTAGAAAAACAGGCATGCAGAACAAACCAATACAATAAAAATAGGTAAAAAACACTGTATATCACAGTAGTGTAGAGTGTTTTTACCTCTTTTTATTACATATATATATATATATATATATATATATATATATATGTGAAAAGTGTATATAAATATAAATAAATATAAGTATGTATAATTATTTATATATTATATCTGTATTTTATTAGAAAGCGCTCAATATCAGAGATAGAGCTAACATATTTGGTTGGATAGATGTGAGTTTGTGACCCTGGGTTTCACGCTTTAGCGATCGTCAAACAAACTCTGACGATCGCTAAAGCGTGAAACCCAGGGTCATAAACTCACATCTATCCAACCAAATATATATATATATATGTGTGTGTGTGTGTGTGTGTGTGTGTGTGTGTGTGTGTGTGTGTGCGCGCAAGTGAAAAATTCCCAGCACTCTCTTTGAAAATAAGAGACTGAATATGAAGTTGAAAACCATTTTATCACTGGAAACACTCTCTCTCTCTCACATGCAAGATAATTATGTCATTGTAAAATAGAGCCTAACACAAGGAAAAAAAAAAAAAAAAAAAAAAAATTAAAAAAAGTGCTCTGCCATATTTATATGTGTAGGAGATATTTAAAATTTGAATAAGTCGATAGGCATAAAATAATTATGCTGTTGTAAATAAAATAAAATTAAAAAAGTATCAATGTTTGGGGAAACACATACATGCTGCAGACTGAAATCTGGTACCAGATTTAAAAAGGAAAAAAGCGTTTTAGCCTGTGTCCCTTCAGTTTTATCCAGTTCCCACACTTATTGTTGTAAATGTCTGTAACCTTCTGTCTATTTAGTTTAAGCTGCACCATACGTTTTCTCACATTCTGTCAATTTGATAGTGAAAGTTAACAAACTAGCAAGTTGCAATGCAGTTTGTATTGATTTTTCTTAATTTGATCATATATGTATACAATTTCAGTTATAAAATGTAGCTAAATAAATTATAAAGTATTAAAAAAGCATAAGTTTTATATCTAAATTAAACAAAACTTTAATTAATAAAGGTTTGAAAACCATTACTAACCAAATTTTATGAAAATATAAGCGTTATTTGTATTATAATTATTATTTTTTGTTTTTTTAGATTAGCAGAATTTGCTTTATTGCAAAATTCACAGAATTACATAAATGTTTACTTTAATTACCTGATGTAGGCTTTGACACCCATTTTCCCACTTCCGGTCTGAAGTGAAGTGTCAACTGTGATGTGGATTGGGTTCTTTGCCTCACGTGCATAATATTCATGAATGAGCACAGAATACTCAGAAATTTCTCCTCCACTTGAAAACCTGAAATGAAAATATTAAGCTAAATTGATATTAAGAAATAATAAATAACTTGATAAAAGCCTCAAGAAATAAAAATGCCTCAAAGTTGTTAATATTTTACCCTGGAAAATTTTCCCAGAATTTTCAAATATTTTATATAATTAATATTTCTTTAATTCTTCAAAATTACATTCTGCTTCATTCTTTGACTTTGAAAATATGAATTTTTTTTATTACAAACTCAACAGAACAAAAGGAAAAAAAATGAGAATAGTTTCCATGTTTTAAAATGTTCAGAAAAGATTCTGTGTGTATATAGTGTTGATAAATCTAGTATTTTAAGAGAAGAGGAACACAAGTGTGACAGAGGGAGTATGATAAAAGCAAACAAGAGGTAATAACATTAAGAATATAAAAAAAAATTATAGGAAAAAAAAAAGAAGAAAGAAAACAATTTAGAGCAGGTTAAATTTTTTTTTCATGTATAGACAGGAATGTTGTTTGCTTGGTTTAGTAAAAGCTTTACACTGAAAACAATGGAAGAGTAGAAAATATGTACAAAAAAGCACTAACCATCCAACAATGACCTCATTATTGTTGACCTTCCTGTGCAATTCATACATGTTTCTGGCATATTCAATATCAACAGCCACCTGTGAAAAGGAGAAAATTTTTTTTTAAAAATATCAATTTTTATCATAAATGCTTTGTAGTAAGGTTTTTGAACCATTGAAATATCACAATTTTTCTCTAGAGAAAAATTATAATATAAACTGTTTATTATAAAGGAGACATTAATGTTCTTTTAAATTAATTAATGGTAAATATTTACAACTGTATTGTGGCAGATAACACCTAAGAATATTAATGTTGAATTGGATAGTCTATGAAACATCTAATATTAAAAGCAAAAATATATTAGGTTAAAACTGTTCTCATGAACAAATACTTTCAAACCACAAGAAATTATCTGAGATACTCAATAAAAAATATATCAATAACAAAGCCAATATTTGTTGGAGAAAGAAAAAGAAAAACAGACTTACTTCATCTTCAGATTCATTGTGTGGAACTGTAAAACAATTAGAAACTTCTACAGCACCCTTTTCACAACATCCTGCAAGATAAAGTGACTCATGTAAAGTATGGAAAAAAGTAAGTCAAATTTGTGTACCATAAAAATCTCTATGGAAATATATGAACATAAACACAATTTAAAAAAAAAAAACAGTTGATATTCCTTAGTTTTGTTACTTCATCATCAGGGTTTTCTTTTTCCTTTACTTTTAAATAATGTTCTTCAACGTTTACTTAAATGAAAGGAATTTGAAACAAAATTGTGACTTCTAATAAAACTGAAACTTGATGACCTTTTCCTACTGATTTTGTTACTTAAAACCACTGTTGATTATCTAGTAGTAATAGTATTTTAAGTTGTTCGAGATTAAGTATCAGGTCATCCCATAAGTTCTGTCTGAATTTTGAATAAAGAAAACAAATGACCAAATGTTACATTTAATTACAGATTCAATCAACAATGTATTTTCCCTGATTATCTATGACTTCCTTCCATCTATTAACAAGCTTACTAATTCCATTTACTGTAAAATTCTTTTGGCTTTGATTCGAAGAACTCACAAATGTCAGTTTTAACCTCTTCCTGTGTTACAAAAGCTGTTTCTTCCAAATGATTCTGTAAGCTATGAAACAAATGATAGTCTGAAGGAGCAAGATTGGGAGAATAAGGTGGATGAAGAATTTTCTCTTAACCAAGTTCTTCGATCTTTTCTGATGTTATTCTTGCTGTGTGGGGTCGCGCATTGTCCTGATGAAACATCACCTCTTTTCGATTCACTAGAGCAGGTCTTTTTTTCCTCAAAGCTTGGTTCAAATGCTCTAATTGCTGACAGTATATTTGAGCATTAATTGTTGCATTAGGTGGTAAGAATTCAAAGTGGATTATTCCTTGGTGATCCCACCAGATTGAAAGAAGAACTTTTGCCCATGAAGTTCTCTTCTCGGCTGTGGCTGGGGTCCTTCCCCTTTATGAAGCCACTGTCTATGACACTTAACATTTTGATAAAAGATCCATTTTTCATCACCAGTCACAAGTCTATCCAAAAAAGGTGAAACAAGTTGGCGAGAATGGAAAGAGCAGATATCAACTTGGGATTTAAGGCTGTTTTCAGACAATTCATGAGGCACCCATTTTCCAAGTTTAGGAACTTTTCCAAGTTGTTGAAGATGACAATGAACAGTTGTATGATTTGAACCGAGAACCACTGCCAATTCCTCAACTGATAAAGCAGGATTTTCTTCAAGGGCTGCTTCAAGAAGCTTTTCATCAAATTCAACTGGATGTCGGTTGATCTTCATCTTCAAGGGTGAAATCTCCACCTCTGAATTTTGCAAACCATCTTCTGCAAGTTCTTTCATTCACATTCCTCTCCATAAACTGAGTGAATGTTTCTATCCGCCTGCTGCCGAAGTTTCCTTTCTTGAACTCATAAAGCATTATGTGCCTCAAAATGATTCTTAGGTACTTCCATGTTAGCAGGGTTTCAATCAAACAAAATTTAATCTTATTGTTCTCTGAAATAAAATTTGATCAGTTTAAATGCATCTAAACATAAAAATAATGTTCAGCTCCATTAGACATTATAAAATACTCTTTAAATTTCATTCATTTTAAAAAAAGGTAAAATTCGGACAGAACTTATGGGATGACCTGATATTTATCACATTTTCTTTTTATTAAAAGGAACAAAAAATAAAAACATTCTGCCAATATTTCTAGCTCTCTTTATCAGGAATTCTGTCCAAAACTTTACATGTGGATGAGATTTAAACATACATCTCATACCACAGGAACTTGTTATATAATGTATCAACAGAATAACGGTTTCATCAAAAGTGGCTTTGTTCTGTTTTTAGAACTGTGGATATCTCAAAGTATAACTTATTTATAATTGGGCACAAATTTAATAGCAGTTTAATATATTAATTAAAACTTTTGGTTGTACATTAAAAATAAACATTAATATTTCAGGAAATAATGATAATTTCAAACAAATTTAGTGAAACCTTAAAGATTTTTATAATGAATAGAGTATATAAAATGTTTCATGACACATATACTCAAAAAGTATATATTCTTGAAATGAATTATGAAATTTACTTATGGTACTTATTTCTGTCAGTGAATAAGAAAAGCAGGGAAAGGAATGATTTTTTTTTTTTTTTACAAGTTGATCATTTCCTTGAGTAAACAATTAAATAATGAAAGACAATGACTTAAACAACACAGCCTATCATTCTTATTAATAAACATTCATGAATCAACTACATGTTGAATAATACTGTGCCAAATTCAATTTTATTGCAGATTTAGTAGCTGAATTGGTAAAGGCATCACCCGTGTTGGTTATAGGTAATTAAAGAGAAACAACTTCAGATTTATTAAGGGTAATTATGTATCTGTTGTAATATTAATCACTTAAAAACAAAACACTCAAACATTAATTATACTTAATACAATCAATATTAATTTAAAGCTAAAGATTTCAAAATCCAGTTAATCAATTACTATTTTCAAAGATGAGAAAAACAATCCAGTGCTACAGGGATTAAGATAGACAAATTAATGTAATAGGGATAATTATAAATGTAATTGATTTCTCCAATAAACTATAATCATTCTAAAATATAGAATTCACATTTTTTTTTACAAGATTGATTAATAAATTACAATATAACAATGTTATTCTTTTATGGCTAATTAATTATGTCAGTCATAAAATTTCAATCTTAATAGCTTACAAGTAGGTACCTCCAAAGAATTGCTAAAAAAAAAAAAAAAAAAAAAAAAAAAATCAGCAAACATGAAAAAAAATGCCCCAAACTTAATAAAAAAACAAGTTTTATCAACAAAATCTTTAAGAGAAAGACCAAAGGATTTTTTGATTCTTAAATTATATTTTTTATCCTTTTCAGAACTTTAAAATTGTTTTTTTTTTTTTTTATCAATGGGTGACCATAAATTAGTATGGGAAATTTTAGCATCTTTTTGCAGTGAAAAAGGCATTGATTTGCAAATTCTTGCAAAAATCAGATAATTTTCAAATTTTAATGAAATTTTCAGAACTTATTTGCAAATGAAAGGTTTCTTTTTTAGAAAATCTTGGTACATATATATATATATATATATATATATATATATATATATATATATATATATATTTTACACATTATTTATTTATCACTTATTTAATTTTATGAAATTTTAAGAAATTAATTTTTGTATCCTTAATGTTTATATTAGTTATAAACACAAGACCTTGGAGAACTGAAATAAATTTTTTTATCAAGCAGGAACCCCAGTTATAGAAAATCTGTTTTGAATTGTAAAATAAAAAAAAAAAAAAAGAAACTGTAATAAAACAAAGACATTATTTAAGAAAAGCTTTTAATTGCTTTTATGAATAAGATATATTATCGACACTTGTCTTAAGAAAAGTTTTTTCAATGAATAATAAATTTTCACAAGAATTGATTTCATTTTTTTTACATTTTAATCATAATAATTTAAAAAAAGTTTTAAATTTTGTAAAATTCTGTATTTATTTGTAGCAATCAAGTAAAAACTATATTTACTAATCAAAAAGCTTACAATTCAGTGGCCCTCAATATATTAAAAAATATTTTTGGATATATATATATATATATATATATATATATATATTATTTAAAATCATATACCAGGTGTAACAGCAGAATTAACCATCCCACAAAATGTTTATCATCTAAAAAAACAAACATTAATCGAGTTTCTTTTTTCCAGGTTTTCAGATAAGATGTTTAGCCATCTTGATACCATTCATCATAAGAATCACTGAAAACCCCTTTTGAGTTATTCAACTAGAAAGAGAACAGTTTAAAATCATTTTGTGTCAGCCTCACTGTCTTCTCAACTGAGTAATGGTGAGAGGAACAAAAATCATTCAGCCCTTCCGTAATGGTATCAACATTCATGCTCTGGATTCCATCTTCAAAGTTTGTTCAAGAACTATCAAGAGAATGGTAAATAAGTTTAAAATAGAGAAGAGAGAAAAACTGGATCAGGAGGTCACAACAGGAAGGGGGATCATCATTGCAACTTGGAGCTAAAGAGATTGATTAAAAAAGATCAGACTCAATCCATAAAATGTTTGGCATGTGAGAAAAGAGTTTCAGCTGCAACAGTCCATATAGCAGTGAAAAAAAGACTTGAAAATTAAATTGTACATAAAACAATTGAGGCACCTTGTACTCCAGGCCAGAGAGAGAGAGGGTAAAGATCATTTTGAATAAATTGGAAAATGATCCTGGAATATATATATATATATATATATATATATATATATATATATATATATATATTTGAACTTTATTTTAATCCTTCATGAGCTTCTGACCCTTAGCTATGATTAATTAATGATGAACATGTCATTTTTGCTTATGATCAATTTCAACACAAATTTTCTGTTAAGCTTGGAGAGTTAATTATACATTCTTATTGCTCATAGTAGAGTCCAATGGTGTTAGAAAAACCTTGGAGAATTCTAGTAAGATATATCTTTAATCATTTCTAAGACAACGGTTCAAAGCTTAATTTAACAATTGGGTAATTTTGCCGTTACACCCGATACAGATATATATATGTGTTTGTGTATGTGGCAATTCTTGAAAATACAGACATCCATACACATAATCAGAAAATAAGTGGTATTAAACCATATTAAAATTTTCTAACATTTCTTCAACAAGTATCTTTGTAAGGCTATAAACCAAAAGTACAATAATAATAATATATTAAATTGCTTAAAATATTTTCATAAAATTTTAAGATTACTGGAGAGTTAAAAAATTATATAAAAAAGGCATTCATATTATATTCATCAAGTAATTGCTATAATAATCACACCCCCTTTTGAAAAAACATAAATTTATTGAGAGTTGCCAAAATCTCATAAAAACACCCACCTCAGAGTGAAAAAAATGATTTTCTGCAATATTTTAAACTAAAATTAATATTTGTTTCAAATAAGATTGATTAAACTTTACATCAGCTAATCTTTCTCAAATAAAGTTTCAGAAAGATAGATTTTATTTTTTTTTAAAGAGAATTATGTTGTGTTGACAGATTTGTAAATATGGGCGATTTTAGTCATTTTTAGTGATTTAAAAAATATATTCCAATCAATTTAAATTTGTTTTGAAATACAACAAAGTATTTTGCTTATTGGAAATCTTTAAGTTAATCTATTAGTTTGAAATAAAAACTAAAATAAAAGCTTCAAAAAAGATTTTTTTTTTTCATTTTTAAAATGCATTTTAAACCTTAGGTATTGCTTTTCTTTAGTGTTACCTACTTATGAGGTTGAAAGCTTTCTACATTTGTTATCAGAAAGCATTTTTTTTATGAAATAGACAATAATCTCAAAAATTGTCATGGATCACTGGAGACTTATAATGTCACTTGATTATATAATTTGTGAGCCGTTTTCTAATAATAGACAATATCTTTGTCATTTAACAGCATTTTACATATTATTTAGTTTATTTTCATTCTAATACCGTGTTCAAGTTATTTTAAAAAAGAACATTTAGGAAATATTTTTTTTTTATTAACACTCAAGCAAAGGGTGAAATTGACACTTGAAGTATATTTTTGTTTAGAAACTACCCAAGATCACATTAGTGCTGAATTTTTGCAACTACAGAAATTTTGACATTTTTTTTTTTTTTTTTTAGTGTTCATCAATTGCATTGAAAATGTATCTACGGTCTTATAGAGAGGCATTTTTAAAAGTAGTAGCCCCGGTCTAAAAAAACCTCTATATTGGTAAACATTAAATTTTTAAGCAAAAATACAAAGAAATCAAATATCCCGCTATAAGTATGGTATCAACCATAAACTATTGAATACTCAATAATACAATTTCAATTCTATTTGATTTCCTGGTATACGTACATTCACTCGTGTGTGTTTGTGTTAGGTACCTTGCGATGGGGTTCTCGTATTGTGTAACATTGTAACAAGTTTGATCCTCACTGGATGCTTTATACTTAGCCTTTTAAACAGACCAAGATGACCTTAGTAAATAAAACACAACGTTTTGATTCAAGTCAATCAATAATTGAATGAACTGCCCCTTGAAAAAAATAAAATCGATAACATATGGATTCAAGATTTATTATTTTAAATATGTATTTTCAAGAAAAATTAATCTTAATAAAGCACACAGTTACAGAATAATATTAATAACCATTTTTTAAATTAATGCAACGAAAGAGAAATTTAAATAAAAAAAGTTTTTTTTTTCTTGGAGATAAAAATGGAACTAAAAAGCCGTTTACAGCTTAGAGGGAATTAAGGAAATCGTGTTTTCTATATTATTTTGCTTTTATTCGAAACAATCAGTCAGCTTTATTTAAAATATATAAAAAGACCATTCTCTATAACTTACCGAAAGAATATTCTTTATTTTCACATTAAAATATTCCATGTGCTGTGCATGACATGCTTTCTTTATTTAATCGCAAAAGAAATGAATCAATTTCTCACTACGAAAAAAAAAAGTGAAAAAATTAAACTTTTAAATTAAATAGAACTTCTTACCCAGCAAGGTTCCAATGACTCGATGTGCATCTTCATTTCTTCTTTCGTATGAATCGATAATTGTGAACAAGACTACAGGATGTACGCGACAAACTAAACCCGCCATTTTGAATCAAAAGGTTGGATCTAAATACGAAAATCGTGACGCATCAAATGCAATAAGAGAAAAAAGTATTCTCTCACTTCAAATTAATTGACAAAATATCTTTTTATTATATTGTTTGTATTTTTTAAAAATATGTTAAATGATATACTCATAAAAAAATATTGAACTCATAAATTAAATTCAGATGGAGAAATAAAAATAAAGTTCTTCTTAATTTAATTATAAATCATTTTTATGTTGCTTATCTCCCTTGCTTAAGCTCGGTGAGGTGTAACAATATTGCCTAGCAGAACTGTAGTGAGTTCAATTGTCACTAGGTATCCCCTACATGTGGCAGGCCAAGCAAAATTTCGTTACTTAAAGGACCTTTAAACGTTTATTGTTTCTTGATTCAATAAATTCTACATATTTATTGTTAGTGTAAGTAGTAATCTCAGCAAAATTTACCATATCAATTTTATTTTACCTTTTTTTAAAAAAAAATTATGGAAAGGTATGCCCCCACCACAATATTTCTGGTTTTAAAGAACGTAAAGGTTCATGTTGATCTTACTAATCTTAGCCCAGAACAATCTTTATTCAAGAATATGGGTCACCTAGTGAAGTCTGAGCTCACTATCAGGGCTAACATAGATTCTACAGGGTGGTCCGAAAGTCTTGTCACTGCCTACCTCTTTTTCAAACTGTAGGAGCTCATTTTAGCCATCTGAAATAGAAGATTATACTATGTATGGTTAACAAAACTTTCGGACCACCCTGTACTTCGTTTGTCTTGTGTTCCTTTCTGACATGGGAGATCATGGATCTCCACAAGTTCCTATCCTTAATAGTTATAAACAGTTTGTTCCCTTCCTTTCCGTCCCTGTCTATATTCTGCCATCCATTTATACAGTGCAACCCGGATATAAGAGAGTTGTCGGGACCGGAGAAGAAGTCTCTTATATCCGGGTTTCTCTTATATCTGGGTTTGGTCTATTTTATATACATTAACACAGGCTCTAATTTGGGACAAGAGAAAATCTCTCTTATATCTGGGTCTCTTATATCCGGGTTACACTGTATAAGCATGTTAGGTAGTTTACTTGTTGTTTCCCTCTGCCCCACTTTCATTCAATATGTCCTGTGAGGGTCAATTTCTACAAGCCATCTTTCTTCATTATATGTCCTTGTGGTGAAATAAGACCAAGGAATTCTAACCATCCTGTGGCTAAGTGGCCATGATGTTGGAGCTGCCATTTGCAATTTAGGCAAAGCATATGTGTGGTTCTTGTGATTTTAAAACTACTGCTAATTTGCATGTGTGGTTGAAAACATGAATAAAAGGTGAGTCGCACAGCCAAACAGAGAAAAGGATCAGAACTTGACCTGTGTTAGATCAGGCTCGTTGCAACTGCCAACTTGTAGGAGAATAAACTAATAAATAAAATAATGATAAAAAAGTAAAGAATTTTATTTTCCCATTATGAAAAAGGAAACCAAAATGGGTTTCTGGTCACACGTGAATACTAAGACCCCACTTCTGGAAAGATGATCTAGCTCTTCTCTCTTTCTATCCATTGAATTTGGACATGTTTAGTAGCCATCCTAACAAAAGGGAGATTTGGCCACTCTCATTCAATGTCATGCTGACTTGAGGTCAACTATTCTCTATAGCTCCACATCTTTGTACCCACATGTGTCAATAAACATTGGCCATTCATTTCCTTATCAAATTGTGGAATCTTCCATATTAACCTTCCACCCATTTCGGAAAAATGTTTCCTTCTATAAAACAAAGCCTTAACCAATCAACATTTCATTTCAGTAAAATTCAATCTTCTATTGGTTAAAACTGTAGCAAAGTCACAACAGAACCTTTTCCTGCCTAAGGTCCCTGGAGCCGAATTTTAAACACCCAACTCTATATAAATAAACGCATGACGCAATTCAAGTCAGTCAGTCATCAAATTTCAAGAGATCCATACAAACTCCACGCTGTTCAATTTACTGACTCGCAACCACTTAAAGTTTCTCAACAAACTCAACACAGCATTCAAATAACCATTGTCCACGTGGATATTCATCACCTACAATTGACTTAAAGAGTGAACATATTCACTACATCAAAGTAATTGTACATTTATCATACTAGCCTATTAGTTAAAGGCAAACAACTCTTAGCAACTTTAATTCTGACTCATAAATAACACACACACACACTAACAGTTAAACAATACATTTTGATATTTTACCACAAAGAAACAAAAATTATTTTAATTTTAATAACAAGCCAAAAGCATCAGCATTTACTTATCACAATTCTGCACAAACATTCTTCACAACATTATTTCAATTACCAAACCAAACAAAAATTCTGTTTATCTTTGCATGTGTATTTATTGTTTATAAAAAAACTCTTTATTGTTGATTTCTAATCATGTTGTTCAGTCATTCCTTGCTATGCAATTGTCCTTATGTTCTTTGTGTAATCTATTTGTTGTGGGATAATCCAAATTGCAAACACGCATAACTTTCACCTTATAAAATCTCCCTTTTGATACATCTCACTTAGTATATGACCCGAAACGAAGTCTTTGTTTTGTTTATTGTAGTCCACCGACATTCAACTTCTGTTAATAGCACAAAGTCAATACTACCCTCCACAATTGATGAACATGCAGAACTAAAGCTCAACTATAGACACTTTCTTAAAACCAAGAACCAGTGAAAAAGTAAGTCAACCAACTTGTATGATATGGTACTTACCATACCACACACAAGTTGGTTGACACAAAAACAAATTTTTCAACAAAAATAATAATTTACTCTTACAAATTTGTGATTAAACTCGATGTAAAGAACTAAATAACAAATTTAAAAACTCTACATGACATACAACTATCTGGACAAAATTGTCTCCAAGTCAGCAAAATTTTTCTCACCATGTGTGTTGGGAGAATTTTTTTTCACCACATGCATTTAAAAAAAAAATTGTGAATATTTACCTTGCTACACAAGTGTAAAAAAATTATAGATATTTGCTTTACCACTTGTGTGAAAAAAAAAAAGCAAAAAAAATATATAAAATGGATATTTTTTTTTTAACTGTCAACCTTGCTACAAATGGATGAAATAGACCCAGCAGCAATGGTCAGTATCAAAATACCAGCATTATGGAGACAGTGGCTGTGGCTGGTTCACTATTATCAAGGCACAGTTCTGCCTATGAAAAATAACACATATGGAAACAAAATTGTGCTTTTGGCCCTGCCACCTGAACTAGTAATGAAATCCAGGTGTGATGACCTGAAAAAAAAATGTCATTGAAAGTTACAAAAAATCAAAAAGGGAACTTTTTGAAAAATTGATAAATGACACAAGGATGACAGGCAGACCCACTCACTACCTGCAGCCGACAAAGTAGGAAAGGGAGAAGACTTAGTCAGGTACTGTTTCACACAAACTCTGTCTTCCACAATAACACAAGTCATAGCCACTGCTAGGAACTTGGCATTAAATGAAATTGGTATCTTAGCTGACAAACCTTTGCCATTTATGAAAACAGATATAGTTCAAAACACCACATCTGAACACTACAAAAAGCAAACCTGAAAGACAACAAACCCCAACACTGAAATGCATACTAGAGTACTTCCATTTTATGAAAATCAGAGACCTCATGTATGCCAGTGGCCAAATAAACCACCCTGTAAAATACAGACAAATTCCAGATCAATGTCACCAGCCAGAGGTCCTATGCTGAGTGAAGAGTCTGGTTTGGAAAACTTTTAGGTTGGATTGCCATTGCTAACAGTGATTTGCCACTTTTTGAGATTTCAACCTGGATTGGAAAAACAACACTGAAATTACTGATTGATACTGGTGCTTCAGTGACAATACTACTCAGCAAATATGCTAACAGTCTTTGCCTAAACCTAATAACAGTACACCTATCCTCAGCCAATAGATAAAATATCCAAAGTTATGGAGAAGTGTCTATTGACTTAGACTTTTCAGGACTTTGCCACTCATATAGATGGACTGTAGTGGTGGCTGACACCATCAACCCACATTTGGGTGCTGACTTTCTTTTGGTGCTAATGAACTGTAAAGATAGAAGACTGGTGGACCCAAATACCAAATGCTACTTACAGGGTAAGCATGCTGAGAGACCCATACACCAGATATCAATGAATAACAGTGATCGTCTCCCAGAAATTGTACATCCCTTATTCCGAGACCTACCAACACTACTTACACCAAAAATGAAGGCACCTACTCCAGGATTGTCAAAAGTCAGACATAGCATAGATACAGGTGATAGTTCACCCACCTATGCCAAAGTGAGACAAATGTCAGAAGAAAAATTTAAAGCTGCTAAGGAGGAATTTACAATGCTACTCCAAACGGGAATCATAAGACAGTCAAACTCTCCTTGGTTGTCACCCCTTCACATGGTTCTAAAATCCACACGTGGACAGTGGTATGTCTGTGGAAACTACAGGAATTTAAATTTATTGACAAAATTTGATAGATACCCAGTGCTGAATGTCAGAAGTCTTTCTTCTAAATTAGGTAAGAAAAATATATTTTCCAAAATATATCTACTACAAGCCTACCACAAAATACCTATGAGAGAAGAAGATATAGAGAAAACAGCAGTGGTAACACCATTAGGCCTCTTTGAGTATGAATATATGTCTTTTGGTCTACGAAATGCTACAGCTACATTCTTCTACCACTGACTGAGCTGATAAAAAGCTCCCTCAGAACAAAACTATACAGCTTGATGATGCTGAAAAAGAAGCATTCATGAACATTAAAAATGTCCTGGGCAAACTCACTGCACTTCCTTACTCTGACTCAGATGTAACTCATTATTATCTGGAGTCTGATAGTTCCAACTATGCTGTAGGTGCAGCATTACATCAGATGATTGACAAAATACCTGTTCCTATAGGGTTTTTTTTTCTCTAAGATACTCTCTAAATGCAAAGAAAATGGTTCATATTTGACTGGGA